ATTTTAAAAATAAAATTAAAATTTTTTTCACTGTAAATTAGAAATAAAATGTAATTAATTATTTATGAAAATTTTATTTTAATTACAACTATAAATAATTATGTTCTGAATTCTTTGAAATAAATTCATTAATTTTAATATTATTTTTTATCGACGTTTTATATATTAATGATTAATAAAAAAAAAAATATTATTTTCCTTTTTTTCAAAAATAGGCGAAAATATATTGATTTTTATTTTTAAAAAAGTATATTAAAAATATATTGAAGAGAATTTGAGAGACATCTAGTTGTTACATAAAATAATACTACGAGAGGTTCTTATCGCAGTCGTTCAAGTAACATATAATCAATATTTCGAACAATTATTTAAATATTTTTTAATTTTTTTTTTTTTTTTTTTTTGCCGAGAAAAGAAAATTTTTACATAATTTTATATATTTTTTACTATTAACATTATTTAAACTTTTCGAGTTTTCACTTTATTAATTATTTAATTAATTGTTTAAAATAATAAATATAAAAATAAAAATAATAATTTGTTTAGAATTCAGAAAAAATTAATAATTTTTAATTTTAAAATATTTACGAATACTTTGAATTATTATTCTAATCTATACAACAGAAATATAAATTTTTCTTTTTTTTTATAATAATATTCTAAACTTTCAAATTTTCAACTTTGTATAAATTTTTATCTTATACTTAGTCATATTCAGCCCCTATGGTGATACTCATATCTTCAGAAACGATCTTTGTTTGATGATACCACCAGTTTGTGTCTAAAACAACTGCAAAAGAATTGTAAAGAAATTTTTTTTTACTCAATCCTCAGTATATAAATTGATTTTTCATAATAATTACTATTATTACTACACCAATAATAATTAATAATAAAATTAGAATAAGAAAACTAATTAATCCGAAATTTAATAAATTATTAATGATTTGAAAATAAATTTAATGATAAATCTTTTGTATTAATTTTAAATTTAGAATTTTAGTTGTATAATATGGATAATTGAATATTTAAATAGTCCATAAATTAATAATTTATTTGAATTCTAAGGAAGTTATTTAACGACAATTTATGAAAATTAAATGCACTTTATGTGTGTTTAATTAATCTGAAAATCACATCCAAAATTACACCAGGGAAAACAATTATTAATTATCATTTTCAATGTAATTTTTAATAAACTATTATTTCAATTTCTTTGTATTATGTTTACTGATAAAAAATGGAAACTATTATATTTGATTAATATTAAAATTAATAAATATTTTTTTAAAAAAATATAAATTAAGAATTAAAAAAAGAGGACAAAAGAAAGATCATAAAAAATCTATGAACATTCTTTTTTCAAAATGGAAAAAAAAAATTAATCGTCCTTTCCGGAAAAATTATAACTAATGCAATTAATTAAAATTGTTAAACTAGTTAAAGTCATTATAATAATTTATTGCAAGTTTGATATAATGCGCATCAGGCAGTGAACTCGTTTACAATATTGGTTTCTCAAGTCGGAATATTATTTATTAATTATTCATGGGACTTGAGAGGGATTAAGAGTTAAAATTGGAATCCGGAAACGACATGAAATCGATGAATATTTCAACAAATAATTATAAATTGAAGGAACTCGCAAATAACGCGAGTTATATGAAATGACTCTCATCTCGTGTATATAAATTCAAAATCGATATAAACTAATTTTAGTAAAATGCAAAATGATTTTATATTTAATTTTCAAATATTCAAAATAAAAAAAAAAAAAAAAAAAAAAGAAAAAAAATTAGAAACAGAAAATAATTAATTTACTTACATATTTCTCCAGGATTAACAATTACATCAAGACGATTACACGAATAATGACATTCACGAGGCGGTTCCAATGACCATAATTTTTTCCCTTTTATTTGCGCTTGCCATGATGGATTTGTAACATCGTCAACCTTTTTAAAATAATATTGATATTAAATTAAATTTATTTAATAATTTTAAAGTTGCTTTTAAAAAAAAATAAGGTTTTTTTTTTTTTTTTTTTTAATTAAAAATACTTACATGCATTGGTGCTCCATATCCGGGACTGCCCATAAAAATCCAATCGGTTTTTTCACTCTCAGCATTTTCGGGCAAAAAATATGGTCTATCGTAATGTTTTCTGAGAATTGTACCAATACTTTTTTCACAATTACTCCTAGTAACAAAAGATATATTTAAAAATCTATTTTCAAATTTAAACAAAAATCATTATCAAGAAATAATAAATCTGATAATAATTCAATATTATTGACATTTTTTGCCTATATATTCAATTGTAGAAAAAAATTTTTTTTTTTAAACTTATTTTAATAATTCGAGACAAATACAATTTTAAAAATTTGTAAATATTTTAAATACTCAAAATATTTTATACAGCTGCTAATTTAATTGATTTTTTTTTAACTTCAATTTTGATTTTTTTTTAAAATAAAAATTAATTTAAAACTTACCAGCCAACGTACCAAGGCTCAGTACCAATTTTAAGAAGTGAACGTTCTGCGCTCATATTAAATAATTCTTGCAAATTATTAAATTCCGTTTGATATGGAAAAAATTGACAATTAACGCGTTGTTTTTGATATAATTTTTTAAAAAATTCAAACGAAAACATTTCCATTGCTGTCCAATTAGTTGCACCGTCAATTATAACTACCGGTCTTCCCGTATAGGCAAATCTGTTGAAAAAATAAATTTTTTTGATAAACACAGAGAAAAACAAAATTTTGTAAAAAATATACGAATTCAATAACAAGAAGAAAAAAAATACCGTTCTTCAAATAGAATTGGATCCAAATTAGAGACTCTTTCAACCTGTTGAATGTCCAAACACATTGAACAATCCACTGGAGGACGAAAAAATTTCTGAGCAAATGCCGGTTGATCTTTTAGACACTAAAAATTATATTAAAAAAAGAGAAAATATTTTTTATTAATTTAGATTTTTAAAAAGGCAAAAACAAAAAAAGAAGATAAAAAAATTTTTCCAATAAAAAAAGAGAAGAAAAATATAAAACAAATTAATAAATAAAATACAAAATTAAAAAAAAATTGGAAAAATTAAAAAAAAATATTTTTATACTCACACGATCGTATTTAATTGATGTAATGTAATTATTAATTGAATAATAAAGAATCCAGCTAATAATGACAAATATTCCAAAAATTGAATAGCGTGATAGATGAAATTTAATTTTATTTGAACGCAACTGTGAATAAACGCGCCAAAGACAAAAAGCGCGAGACGCGTAACCAATATGATCAATTTGTTCGATAATAAGTCGTAAATCTTTTTTTGCATTAGTCAATGATTTTTTTATCACACTTGATTCACATTGGCTTTTGTCAACTTTCTCGTTTCTATCAGTCATGGTGGTTTCTATTAGACTGTTACGGTTATTCACTTTCTTCTTTGAAAGAAAAAAAAAAAAAAAAAAAAAAAATCATTTGTGCGCTTCAACTGCGCCGGAGCGTTGGCGGAGATTCACTATACCTATAAAGAAAAATTCACAGAACCGTGAAAAACTGATGATACAATCTGTGTCCCCATAGAAATTGCAAAATTTTATCTCCCCCCCTCTCAATATAATATAACTTTGAAGTTTAAATAAATTTTTTATAAAAAAAAAAAAATAATTACTCAAAAATAACTAGTCTCATTGAAAAAATTTTGAAAATACCTTCTGAAAAAGAAAAAAAAAATAATTTAATAGTGAAAAAAAAAAATGACACAATTTTTGCAAGTAGAACGAAAAATTATAGGGTCAGAAGAAATCGTTTTGTTATATTATTTTTCTTATCTTAAAAAGCAGCTGTCACGAGCCATTGAACCGATTACTTCAATTACTTCACCATAAATACACAAAACATTTCGATGCTTTTTACTGATAAACAATTTTTTTTTTCAATATCGAGAAGAATTTAAAAATTTTAATTTCAAAAAAATTACCTAAAATTTCTAATTTTTAATAATAATAATAATTATTATTATTATTTCTCACTGATTTCCACAAGAATCGTTAATTATTCTCTTTTTTTTTAATATATTATTTAAAGAAAAAAAAAAAAATCATTTAATTTTCTATTTTTCTCTCAATTCGCAATGTTCGAAAATGCAATTTTCTCGAGATTGAAAAGAACGTACAGTATAATTGATTTTCACAATATATAGTATACAAAGTTATATTCTCACTGATAATGCCTTTTTTTCAATTTACACGAATCGACAAAAATTTTGTTACAAAATAAAATTCCATATGAAAAAAAAAGTTCTCTTCATTATACTTAAATTTTTTGTTTAAAAAAAAAATAATATTTTCTTTTTGTAAAAAATAATTAAACTTATTGTGGTATATTAATAAAAATAGAAATTCAATTTTTGATAATAAATAAGAAAACAATTGCGGAGTTAAATTCTTTAATTGTTTTTCAGTCGGATTTGAATTACTTTTAAGTACGCCTTTAAAGGCATGGTACAGCGTCGATAACAATAATAATAATAATAATTATAATAATAATAATAATAATGATATAAACTCTCGCTTAAAAATTAAATCTAATTCGATATAGAACTGCTAATCACGAACAATATTATTCGATGATATAATTTTCAGTTTTTCTTAGGGTCCTTTTTCTCACTTAAAGAAAAAAAATTAAAAAAAAAAAAATTTGACCAGGCCAATTTAGAGCCATATGAGAAAAACTGATGGAATATCATTAAATTGTGTTCGCAGAAAAATTATAATAGATTTTTTTTTTTTTCAATAGAGGTGCTTTAAAAATTCTCTACGATATGAGCCGTGCAAAAGAAACGTCTTTCTTCGTCGATATTCTAATAATAATAATTAATAATAATAATCAATAATAATAATTACTATTTTTAATTATTAATAATAATTTGTTAATTAATATTAATAATCAATAATAATAATAATTAAAATAATAATATATCTATATAATTCAACATAATATTTATATTTATATATTTATATATCATATTTATATACCCTTGCGTAATAATTATGAGTTACAAGAAATCTCACGCATTACAGGTGGTCGTTAAAATTACAAAGTTCAGTCTGCCTTTTTTTTTATGAAATACTTGAATACACGACGACTATCTCATTAGTATTTATTTGTACATATTTAGTAATTGATGTTCGTCGTAAGGCTAATTTGAAAGTCATTTACGACTTATCATTACACGATTTGCTTTTTAAAAAAAGAATTAAAAAAATAATAATAATAATAACCTAGAGCTAAATGCAAAAAAACTATACAAAAAACGGAAGTCTATTGAAACCGTAAAACCGGTAATTAATATATTTATTATATTATATTATTAAGTAAAAGATGTCATGAAAAAAAAATCATTCTTCATTTCACAATTATACAATTTTGATTTACATATAGAGTTAAATAAGAAATATCACAAAAAACACGATCAAAATTTAACCGTACTTAATTATTTCAATTATAATATTTGTATATGTATCAAAAATCTAAAAAAAAATCAGTTTATTTCATTTTTTTTAAAAAATTCCCTCACATTCAAAATTTAATAACGACTTATCGTATTATTATTATTATTTTATAATAATAATAATAATAATAATTAATACTAAATGCGTGTTGAAACTTCTTTTTTTTTTGAAATACATCTATGATGCACACCCATGCTTATTTATACTTCAGTTTTTAATTAATATTTAATATGCGTATGTGGAACAGTAAACTATTATTTTTCTATTCGTTATATTATGCATTACGCATATATTTTATACGTAATGACAATATATGGTTTTTAATTCTTTTTATTTTTTCGTCATCATTTTTTATCTTCTTTTTAGCGATTGCTTAAAAATTGAACTTTTTTTTCACAAATTTGAAAATATGCCAATTATTCTGTAAAAATATAAATTATTTTTACTTTAAGCCAAAAAAATTCTGTTACAAAGAAAAGGTTTTCTTTAAAAAAAAAAAATTTTGAATTCAAAGAAACTTTGATTTAAAGAGATTTTTTACTTTTAATTTAAAAAAAGCAATTTGAAACAAAATTAATTCATGATAATCAATTTATTTTCAAAATTGGAAAAAAAAGTTAATTTTTTTTTTTAACTCGTCGCGTATTAATATTGGGGTTTCCCTTTCATTTCTAATGGATTTTCTTTTTGTTTTTCATTTGTAATTCTTTTTCATTTTCATTTTGTTTTCTTTTTTATATTTATAATGTTTACGAAGTCATGAGAATGAAGATTTATATACACATGGTAATATAAGACTCGCTCAAAATTTGAGAAATACTAGTGCAACTAATATAAAAATAGCGTGCACACAGTTAGGCTGCCTGTTAATAAAAAATGATTTGTTCCCCCGTAATAATTCGAGATTGTCACAGTGTGCAAAAATCTTTTTTTTTTATAATTATTATTATTTTTAATGTCTCTATAATGATATACATTTTTGAAAAAAAAACAAAAAAGCTCACAAAATATGCACTGCTCGACTTTCTCTTTTTAAAACAAAAAAAATTCAAACTTTGTTTTTCTCATCTTTTTAACATATTTATCACACAACGAAATTCATTTAGAATTTAATCGAATAAAATTTCATTTCTCTTGGAAGAATTTATGAGAAAAAAAATAAATTATTAACAAGAAATTAAAAACTTAAAAGAATAAAACTTGCTAAGAGAAAATTAATATAGAAAATATCTCTTTGACTTTCTTTTAGATTATTTCATTTAAAAGTTAGTACTCATTTAATTGCATTCAATTAATATAAATTTTTTTTTTTTTTTGAACTGTTTTTTCATTATAACGGAGATTTTACTCTCTATTATGCGCAATAAAATTTTAAAATATTTATATATATATATGAAATAAAACTTTTCTAAAACAATTCTATGATATTGATAAAAAATAAATTTTCTGAAAAAGTCAGAGTAAAAAATTACTTGAATCCTGTGATTTTAGAGCCTTGATTTTTTTTTAGAATTGTCTGAGATTATCATATTAATATGAAAAAAGACGTTAAAAAAAATATTCTCTTTATGATTATATGAAGCTTGAAACTAAAGAATAATTTTGTAAACTAGCGAATTCTCGTCAGATAAAATGACATCGTCTGTTTATAATATTAATTAATAATTTTTTCTTCAATTGTTTTAAACTAATGTTTAGTTTAATTCAATTGATATATTAATTTTTTATGAGACATCCTAATAAAAAAATTATATGACAAAATGGAGAGAAAGGCGAATGTTTATAGTACAATGGGCGAAAGAAATAATATTATTTCTTGAAACTATATCGAATGATTCTTAATTTGCTAAAGCGATTTGTAAGTTCTTTTCTTTCTTTTTTTTTTTTTTTTTTTTTTTTTTTTGCTTAGAAGAATTGAATATGTTTTCTTGAGCGTTCATTTTGTCTACTGTACAATTTTTTCAAAGCAGTTTTGTAAAAAAATTATATAAATTCGGTTTACAAAATTTTTATAGAGAAGAAAAAAAGAAAATAAAAATGTTTATAAAAAATTTACCAATAATCGCTTTACAAAAACTCCTTAATTCATTTTTCCTCATTTGTGACAAAAAAAAACATCTCTCATTTTTTTTTCACATAACGAAACTTTTATTTGATATTTTAAGAATCGAATTTAACTACGAGAGATGTTTTTTTTTTTTAATTCGGAAATAATTTTAATTGTAGTTTCTGTAATATCATCTGCTATGGCTTCCTTTGTTTTCATTTTACACTTGTATTTTTTTCGTTTTCTTTTTGGAATGTCATAATTTTCTTCGAAAGTCAATATAATTTAACTATCGAAGAAAATGGATTTATATCTATTGATCCGAAATTTATTTTTATGGCTCATTCATACTATGAAACGGATCGAGATCTTAATTCGTGATTATTTTTTTATAATTGAGGCGTCGATATATAATTTTTTTTGTTTTTCAATAAATAATAGTGGCCATTATACTGCTGTTTTTTTAAACACTAAAATCGCTTTTACAGTTCGTATATATTTATATATATATAAAGAACGATTTACAGTAAAACAAAAATCCGATTGCAATTTTTGTTTTTTCAAATTGTAAGCTAAAAATTTAAATTAAATTTATTTAGTATAAAAAGAATTTAATATTTTCTGTATTTATAAAATACAAAAATGTACTTTTTTTTGGCATAAAATATGAAACAAAAAAGTAAAACGCTTGCAATCGTCATTTTGTGAAATGAAACTTAAATTCTAAGTGCGACGATATATTTTTTATATGTGTACATGTAAATCGTTTCCATCAAATACAATCTTTTTTTTCTACTTTTGGATCTCTCGCCTCCTATTTTTCTTTTTCTATTTTTTTTTTTTTTTTAGTATCTAGAAAATTGTCAACTATGATAATAATATTAATCATGAAATAGAACAGGGGTTTATAATCTATGCAAATATCGGCTCTTAATTCGCTTTAAATAACGATTTGACAACGATAATATAATTATCACTTTTCTTTTACACGTGATATTTTTTTCAGACATTCTCAAATATTTCAAACATTATTCTTTTATCGTCATAAAATCCATTTATTTTATTTTATTTTTACGTATTTACGACGTTAACATCGTTAATGGCGATACTGTTATCAGTGTTAAACAAATATTTTTCGAAAAATTTATTTATTTTTCAAATTTCTTACACACTGGGTAAAAAATTTATTTTTACACAAAATATATAAAAATTATTTCTACACAAATTGCATTTTTAAAAAATGTTTTTTTACCCAATGTATGAAATAGGATTTTTTTTCTAAGATGTGTGAAAAAAATTATTTTCCTGAATAAAGGAAAATTTTTTTGTTTGTAAAAAGTAGGACAAATTTTCAGATATTGTTTTGGAGTCTTTAAATATTAAAAAAAATAAAAAAAAAAAAAAAACGCTATAAATAACATAGTGCCGTAGTAGTGTTGCTCGGAGGTTATCATTCATCCTCTGCCACACCCACAGCCTCAAAAAGTTTATACAATATAATTGTGTATACAATATATATATTTTTATATATATTTATATTTTATATATTTATAATATAGCAATAGACTATAATCTACTCGTGTATTTCCGGTTTTTCTTGCAATTTTTTGTTTTTTTTCAATCAATTATAATAATAATAATAATAATTTGTCATTCGGACAAAAATCGCAAAAACTGCGAGAAAAATGTTCCATGCTTTCGGCAGGAGTATCATTTTTGTAATACATATATATATTATATATGTAATATATTAATTTAGAATTGTGCTGCAAAGTTTAGAGCCATCGGTGCGCGATTATAGCTGCGAGATATTTAATAGAAAAAAAAGAATTCTCATATGAAGATATGTAAATTTATAAATATTCAACATTTAACAAAAAAAAAAATTGCCAAAAAAATATTTTTTACAGTAAAAATAAATAGAATTTCAAACAAAAAAAATTCTTATTTAAAAAGAGAAAATAATCCTCATACGAGAATAAAACAAAAATAAAAAAAAATCACAGAATCAATTTAAAATGCAAGATTGTAAAATCTCTAAATTATTCAGTCAAACTTGTGGTTTGCATATAAAAAAAAAATCGTTATCATATTAGTGATAAGATTTTTTTTTTTTTTAAATTATGGCTGGATCAATGCTCAAAAAAGAATATTGTTTTTTCAATTAATAAATTTTTTTCTCCCTTATTATTGTAAGGAAAGAATTGTTTTTTTTTTTTTTTTTGTTTAAATATCGAGAGCGTGTTATACCCAGGAGTCTCCTGCGGACACTGCTGTTGAATTCGGGGGTACATTTACGGTGGCAGCAGGAGTTTCCTGTACGTTCACAACACCCACGCCTACACCGTCACCGATCCATTGTGTGCCGGTGCCTCCGATACCGACCCCCTGCACAGCTCCGACCGGGGCCCCCTGTACTTGGCCCTGGCCCACCCCCAGCTCATACTGACGTTTCTTTTTCTTCTCCAAGTTAACTTGCGCGTACAGCGGCTCACCGGGTTTCGGTTGCTGCAACACACAGGTCAACGATTAGTACTGTGCAAATTTTTTTTTTTTTTTTTTTTTTTTCACAAAAACCGTGAACGTGGGGGTGGGGGCAGAGAGGGGGTGGACTTGGGCACACTAATTAAGAGGGCCACACACCGCCAATGCACTTGCTACGTTTTTCCGCAAAAATTCCATTATTCCGAGACGAAAAAATGTTCAAAAAAAAAAATAAATAAAATTACAATAAAAATAATTTTTGTTTGATTTCATTTGAAATCAACTAAATAATAATTTATCACAATTATTATCAGTGAATATTAATAATTCAATATTTAAATAATCCTAATGCGATTTTAATGTAAACGTATCAAGTGATTGGAATTGAGACAAAAATAATTTGCGCTCACTCTAATAATAACTGAAAAAAAATGTTGTTATTTAATTAATAATCAATTCCATAATCAAGTAAATATTTTTTTATTTTCTAAACTTAATTTTCAAGTAAATAATTTTTTATATTTGAAACAAATTATTTGCTTCAAATATTTAATTCTTTAATTAATTTATAATTTGAAATTATTAATCAATAATAATAATTAATTAAACCTTAATAAAAAAAACTTGTTTTTAAATTAAAAAAACAGATTTTTAATATTTAAAAAATATTAACAATTCTGTTATTTTTGCAGTGAAATAAAATTTTTTTACTATTTAATAATATCATCTAGTATATTTTTTTTTCCATAATTTATTGCCATTTTCGTGTAAATAACACTGGTTTACAATTTTTGCAATAGCTGCCATAATTCTTACAAATAATAAATATATATATATTTATTCTACCATAATCAATATTATTATCGAAAAGAAGAAGATATTTTGCTTATAATAGTACAAAAAATTCAAACACCAGTCAATGTGTATTTGTAATTACCATTATATCTATTTGGCACAATTACAATATAATATATATATAAAAAGATTCTCTCTTCGTTAGGCTTATGGAAGTTCAGAAAAAATGCATTCGTTTCATAAGTGAAATTATTAACAGTTAAAAAAATAAAAAAAAATTGAAACATTAAGTTTAAAATAATAATAAAAAATACCATTAATAATAAAATCCATTTGTCTGTTCTTTAAATACTTCAATATTTGAAATCAAATAATTTTGCCCTAGGCAATTAATCATTTCTTTTTTATCGGAAAAAAACTTGTTAGGTTCAAAATCAATTTATTACCTTCAAATCGTAATAAATGTAGATTAGTTTAAAAAAATAAACCAATTACCCTGATATATTTAATAATAATAAAAAAAAAAAGATTAAAGCTTTAACAAGAAAAAAAAACTTAATTTCCTCTAACAATTATTCTTTACTAACAATTATACTTTAAATTACTAAAAATTATCCTTTACGCAAAAATTATTCTTATAGTTAGTAAATATAATTATTTATAATATGTCTCATAATTTGCAAATCAACTCAATATAAACGAGTGAAACAAATTTCTAATATCAAATATATATATATATAGAACTACATTTTTGAAGTCCAAGTTTTTTTTCAATTTGGCACTTGTGCAAATTTTCGAGTATAATTTAAATCTCATGAAAATTAATTTTTAAGTCAATATGCTTTCTCTTTCTCTCTCTCTCTCTCTCTCTTGATTCTCATACTTTATCAGCTTTTCTATAATAATAAAAAGCTTCGAAGGCTATTACTTTCCATGCATTGCGCTTGGAAGAATATTGCATTTCTAAGAGGAGTCGAAGTTCTCATTAAAATTTTCTCAAAACTCAACGTTTGCATTTTACAGGCCACTTGGATTGAAACCTTCAATCAGAATACTGAAACTTTAGGCCGCTTAGAATAATTGCTTTCGTTTTCTATTATTTTTCACAATTTATTGTGAAACTTATTATTATTATTATTGCATAATTATAATATGAAGCAAAATTAACAATTGCACCATTTATTGTATAATTGAGTTTAAAATTTTTTTTCTTTAATTATAATCAATTATTAATTAAGGGAAAAAAATTGAACTTCGAAATGCTCTTAGCAATTTTCTAATAAAAACAAAAACAATAAATATATATATGTAGTGCATGCTTGCAAATACAAACGATTTATAGTGCCATTGTCATATTATAAATGACAATTATTTAATGTTGTTACTTTTTTCTTTCTTGTTCTTTAATTGACTTAGTTTATACACTTTCATAATCATAATACGTAACTATCACTGCACGTATACATACAAAGATTACAAACGTTTTTTCATCACGAAAGTTCATGTGTATTTTTTTTTTTTTTAAACTTTGCCTCATCAAAGTTTACGATAGAGTATCATATAAACAAATAACATATATATCGTATCAATAATACTTTCGTGTAAATGTTGGTGTATAATTAGTATCCTTTATAAAAATTTATCATTCTATACATTAGTTTTATTTTTGTGTATAATGTTAATATATAGAAAAAAAAAATTACGGTGAAAAACGATAAAGAAAAAAAAGACAATTTTCTTTTTAGTCCTTAAATGCATTCCTGTGTTATTTATATTATATTATAATTAATATTATTAATTAATTAATTGTATATTATTCGATCATGCAAATTGCAAAATTCGATTAGTGCGATACACATTGCTACCATGTAAAAAGATTTATCATCCCATATTAGTGTCACTTTCAATGTTTTTCAAGCTCTTTATTATAATGCTCTTTCTCTCTTCATTATTATTATTTTTTTTTTTTTTTGAAAATACCAAATAGCATTAAAAAAAATAATCTCACAATTTAAAATACATGCATGACAAATTAGAAGATTGTGTTAGTGAAAAGCAACGAAACAATATTTATTTCAACTTGTGAGAAAATAAAAAAAAAAAATTAATTACATATACAATAATTATTTTAATTAATTAACTATATAATTAATCTCATTAGTATTAAATGAATATTTCAACTCGACTTTTGGCAAATAAATATCTATGTCTAATTATCGATATAGTAATTAACTTGATTGATCATTGATTATATTTGAAAAAATAATAAATTATTTTATATTATTTTATAATTAATAATAAATATTTCATGAAAAATATTTTTTAATATTTTAATTTTCAAAAAAAAAAAAAAAAATATATATATTTGTTATTTTCAAAATTTTACAGCGTTTTCAAGAGCATTGAATTATTAAAAATGTAAATAACAAATGCTTTGTGTTTTCATTCTCTTATTGCAATTTTTTTTTCTTTTTTTTTCAAGGAGATTAATAATTAATTTTTGCGCTCTAAGCAAATAGTGCCTAAAAAAGCTTGGTTGGTGTTTAGTGTGTTTTTTTTTACGTTGATAATTGCGCAAAAAATCGATTTTTTTTTTCTTTTTTAAAGTCTAGTGACTTACTGGGTTGGGAGGAAATACGCAAACGCCTCCAGCGGGTGGTGCGTGTGTTCCTTGTTTTGGATACTGCATATCAGACATTGCGATCTCCTCGTTTTGCTGTTAAAAATATAGATCGATATTTTCTGTTTCAAGTTCTCTCAAATCAACTTGATGATTTATCAAAACTGTTTATATTGCACTTTTTTCTGTTTAAATTCGCGCTATTTTTTTTCTTTTTTTTGAATAAAAGCGGAATTAAATCCTTGATAATAATAAAAGATAATAATGCCTATTATTAAAATTATTTAGTATATAGTGTATTACATACTATTAATTTAGTATTTTATTAAATATATAGAATACTATTATATATATAATACATTAATTTTATAATGTACTATAAATTACATAGTATTCTATTAATTACATAATATACTAATTAATAATATATTAATTGCGCAATTAATTATCCGTTAATAATGTGAAATGTCTCGACGAGTAACAATTTGTTAATAAATTTTCCAATCGTTAAAGTTCTTCGATACTCAACAATACAAGGAGAATTTTTTTTCCACTCATAAAATTTTGTTTATAAATTTAAAAATTGTAAAATTCAACTACAAGACTATTTGTCTATTTTTTTTAAAAGTAGAACTTTAAAGATCCTTTGCGGAATAATGTCAACGACTAAATGTTAATTATAATTAAAGTTCATTACTTTAGTTCGTCTTTACTTACAGACTGATAAATGGTGGAACGTCCGACATTATTGGAATTAGCGTTGCCTCGTTGTATGGTTCTATCTTCATACCTGGTGCTGCCTTGACTTGCCATTGGTCGATTTAGAGTGCTGCATTCATAACTAATTTTAACATAGAATCAATTTATCTAAAAAAAAATTGTCTTAGGACTCTGTGCAAAAGAAAAAAACATTAAATTAAACCAAAAGTTTGCGTATCAAAATTTATAAAGCACAGAGTCCTGAAACTAAATAAAAGGAAACTAAAAAAAATCTATCACGAAACTAAAAGAAGATAATCTGATATAAAAAAAAAACATGAAAATAAAAAAGAAAATTAGATTTAAAAGTATATACCTATTTGCATTATTCGGTGAATTAGGTCCAGAATTTCGAGCAGCAACTGTTTTTGTCACGAAATCCTGTTCTTTCCAACCGTGTTTTTTATAAACGTCTCTTAATTCTTGATGCTGCCACATTGTGTACAGTACTTGTCCTAAAAAAAAATTAATTAATTTAACTCATTTTAAAACAAGTGAAAAAAATTGTTTTTTCAAATAGTAAAAAAATAATTTAATTTAAATTTAATACCAGAAAATTTAAGAACTCGTGGCGTATATTTCTGTCGTTGCCTAGTGATATTCATAAGTCTTTCAACACCTCCAGCATCAAGAAGGGACCTTGAAAATTCAGCATTCTTCTTAATAACTTCATTTAAAGTTGCAAGAACAGCAGCAATTGTATCATCACTTGTTCCTTGATCATGTTGATTATTTCCCGATGGTAATTTTTGAATTAAATCTCTCAATGCATATTTGCCAATAAGTTCCTTATTACGTTGATCTATTGCTAAATTTCGAAGTGCTGTTGCAACTGCACAAACTACTCTGTCAACCTGTAAAAAAAGAAAAGAATTTTTTCATTTATAAATAAAATAAAATTCAATTTCAATTTCGTTACAATAAATTTTTTTTTTAATTTTTCAAAAATTTGAAAAATACAATTATTTGTAACAATAATTAACAAACCTCCATTCGCAAAAGTTCAACGAGAATAGGAAGTCCCTTTTCTTTTCGAACAGCAGCACGAATTTCAATACTGGGCTGCCAATAGCAAGCTGCAAGATTTTGTAGAGCTCCAGCTGCCGCCTCGAGAGTTTCAGGATTCGAACACGATTGTAAAAGGCTCAAGTACGATTGTACTACTTCCGGTTGCCAAAGTAATTCCATACCTTTAACAGGCTCTGTTCGCGGTGACGTTGTTCTCACAGTTGTTGTTTCCTTCTGTACGGGTTGTCCATCCTTTTTCTTTTTACTTCCACCAAAACAACCCAAATTCTCACCTATAAGCAAACAAAAACAAAATATTTTAGCTTATTTCTTCTATATTTATGATTTTTCATTTTAAAAAAAAATATATATATATACCGGAAAACCTGCAAAATTTCATTTTGTTTTCTTATAAAAATTCAAAAATCTAGATAAATAATAAATTATTCTCAAAAGCTGATACAATAAAAGCATAAAGAAACCTTAGAAAAAGATAATTTTTATTTAAAAAACATTAAATATCGAATATTCTTATCTACGTGAATTTAAAAATTAAATATCTAAATTATAGAAAGAAAAATTTTTTTTTAGCTGAAGCATTTATCAAAAATACTGCTAAATAAATCAATAAGAAATAAAAGCACATATATAAAAATATCAACGCACCCAGTCATTAAAAATGAAATTCAGTCGATAAAATACATTACTAAGGAAAAATTGAGAAAAAAAATACACTACAATTACAGAATTGTCTTACCTTGACACAAACTGTACGCTAAAAAGATTGAAACAAAATTTAATTTTTGTGTCGATGTAAGACACATTTTTTTCAAAAATCATTTTATTTGGAACACTATTCCCCAAGACATTTTTTAAAATTCATTTTCAAATTCTAAATTCAATTTTAAATTAAATACAGCCAAAAATACTAAAAAAAAAAACAAAAAAAAACTAAACCTATTTACTAAAATTTGTTCAAAAAAACATTTTACTACATTTTCATTAAAAAGAAACAGCACTTCAACTTCTAAACTCAATATCAATTTTTCCATGCTCCTTTCTTTAACAAATAATCTAAAAAATAAATTTCTATAAAACAGATTAGTTTCTAAACAAATAAATTTTCAATTGAAACAATATTCAAAAATGCTCAATCACTTGTCTTGTTAGTGATTGTTTTTCTTTTTTTTAATGACAAATTTTCTAATGAGAATCGTTCCTTACAACATAAACAAACTGTTAATTTAAAAAAAAATAATACAAATAATTGATGCATTGGAAAAATAAATAACACACCTTTAGTTGGAGCAGCTACCCTATTTTGCACAGTCGACTGAATAGGATGTTTATCATAGTTTGGATCTTCAACTTCCTGGCATCGATAACTCAAGTTTCTCAGAATGCAAACACAATTTTCCACAATTTTGTTTCCAATATTCGATTTTTCAATGGCCGATCGTACAACATAAAAAAGTGCATCTACAAGACCTTCGCATTCACGTAATTTTTTCCTCGCATATTCACCAGCACTCGAAACATTTCTTAGGACACCTGATGCATTTCTAAATACAGTTGACCAACAAGTTTCACCACTGGAAGAACTTGGATCCCAACCACTATGTGGAATAATTATATTATTCACCACCATTGTCACTCCATCGTCAATAATCGATCGCTTCAAATCCTACGACAAAAAAAGAATAATTAAAATAGGAAAAATAAATTAAACAAAAAAAACAAACATTCTAGCAATTTTACAATTGAAAAAAGGAAAATAAAAAAAGTCACATTACCTCGCACGAAGACAAATTCCACAATACACCAGTAACTAGTTCTTTAACGTCAGCGTCTGATGTTCTACGTAATAAATTAATCAATGCTGGTACACCGCCAGCATTTTTTATGGCCCGTTTGTTTTCGTCATTTTGCCGGCCATAAGAAAGATTTCTAAGCGCTCCACAAGCATTTCTATAAACATCAGGACTATCATGATCAAGCAATTGTACTAATGGCGGTATACCTCCCAAACTGCGTGTCTTCTGTTTATTTGGATCGTCCATATAACATAAATGCTGTAAATATGCAGCTGCATTCGCTTTGATTATATTATTCGGATTGCTCAGAAAACCAATAACTTCCGATAAATTTGGATCGCGCCATCTTAATGATTTTTGATCATCATCTAATGGACTTGCCATACCGGGTACAACTGGATGTCGTGATTGAAGTCGTTGAAGATGTAATTCATCTTCAAACATACCAGGTGGAACGCCACCGCTCAATGGAACAGGATGACCTTCCTCATAACCAGGAACATCAGCTGGCATTGGCACTGATCCCACTCCAACATTCGGACCATAAGCAACTGGACCGTATGGGGACGGAGACACATAACCATAGGCCACTTTTCCCTCATCTATCAACGAAAATTAAAATTAGAAAATAAAATAAATTTTTTTACATTTAAAATAAATTAGCTAATGAATTTAAATTAATTTTTAAACAGAAAACAATGAAATCAATGTGCGTAAATAGAAAAAACTGAGAAACACATACCGTATTGATCTCCAGGACCACCCGGACTAGGTGTAATACGATAATTATCCTGCAAGGCTGGATTTAATCCAGGATCTATATCATTGTAACCGCTTTCAACATACGGAGCTCCTTTTCGTAAATATTCTATAAAAAAAAGCAAAATAAATCAAAAATTACTTCATTTACAAGTTTTGTAAAATCAAAAATTTTTCTTTTATTGCAAAATATCGAGAAAAAAAATTTAATGAAACTTTACCGTGTGGTGTAGGAGATGCTCGACTGTGTTCCGAAGGACTATGAGGGCTGTGAGGGGAATGTGATCGTGGCATATAAATGCCATGTGGTCCAGGATATCCCGGTTGAGGTGGATAACCAAGATATGGATCATAGTGATCGAAACTGACCATGTACGGATCAGCAGCATATCGAGGATCGGCATGTTGATATTCTTGTGACATTAAAGGAACTGACATGTAACTGACGGCTCCTGGATCCGGATCCATGTGTGAAACTTCTCGTACAACTTTCGTTACTGTTGTCACCTTAATAAAAAATAATTAAATAATTCATAAAGTATTTTTTTTCTAATTACTCTATAATAATTATTATAAATTATTAAATTACAATTTTTAAATGTAGAAAGAAAATAAAAAAAAAAGAAAATTTAATATACGCACTTGCTGTGAGGTTTGCTGCTTATGAGTTCGTATAAGCAGCGGATCATCTTGAACTGATAAATGCGATGAATGCAGGGAATGTGTATCAGCCTGACCATTGCTTCCATGGTAGTCAGTCTCGCCTTGTCCACTATATAAAATAATAATGAATAATTAAATTACGTAAAAAAAAAAGAAATTACGTCACATAAGAAAGAGAGAGAAAATACTTACGTATATTGAGGCATGTCGGGGCCTTTTTCTTGAAGAACGCGTCTGTAACAAGAAAGAAAGAAAAACATGAAAAATACAGTTTTTTTTTAAACAAAATTAAACATTAAAGACTAAATTTCTACTAATAATGAAAATGCGATAATATTTCCATTTTTTTCTAAAATTAATTTTAATCATAAACTATTTCTAATATTTCTTAAAAATAAAATTTATAAAGAAATTTTTAATTTCATTTCTATAGAAAAATATTAAAATTTCTTTCTTATATTCCAAAAAGAATTTTTAATTATTACTCAATAATTAAAATTGCTAATTTTTTTTTTCAATTCCAAGTTCAAAGAAAATATTAAACAATTGAATAATCAATAATAATAATTTTCCACGAACTAACATCAAGCTTAAGATATTTTAGTAGAAACATTATAATACACTACAATTTTCAAGTCAATTTTCACTACAAAAGCATGCGGTGCTTTTCACATGAAGAGTCGTTTTCAATATTTTCTATCCTCTATTTTTTATTTTTATTTATTTGAACTAAAAAAAAAAATTGTAAATTCAAAACAAATTCAATCAATAATATTATAATAATGATTATCAATTAATTTTTTAACTTTCATTATTTATAATTATTTTTATTATATTATATAAATTTATATTATATTACATAAATTTATATTATATTTATAAATTTAATTATTATTAATTTATAAAGTGAACCATCAAAAAATTGACAATTATAAATAATTCATTAATAATATTTTGAAATTAATTAAATGTATAGAAACTTTATAAGAGAATATTAATTAGCATATAATACTTGAGAAACTTGTTTGCAATATTGGCCTTCAATTTTGTAATCGAATGTGATAAAGCATCGATTAATTATAAAGAAGCTTATGCTGCATTTTTGACAGATTGTACAGTTGCAAATATTTGCATTATATACCTTCGGTTTATCACAAATTTGAATACTCATGAAATAAGCAGGAATTTTAATCGATTTTGCATAATTTATTTAATTTTCTAAGTCACGTTTCAGTAATAAAATTACCAAATTTAATTATACGTAACAATATGAAAATAAATCATTATTATTCTATTAAAGAATATTTATAAAATTATTACAAATTAAAAAAAATTAATTTTCTAAAGAAATTTTTTTTTAAATAAATAAATAGTAATTTTAAATGGAAAATCCAAGAATTTACTGTGTATGGTCTAATAGTTGAAGTAGGCGAGTTAAAGTACTTGAAATTACATCATTGAGATTGAATTTATAGAGTTCAAAAGAGATACAGAGGATGAGTAAGATCTTTATAATGATACATGATACTATTTAAGTGATATATAGATATATACACAACGTTGAGAGACTCTAGGGAATTGTTTTTACATTTATTATTATTTTTCTTGTTTTTTTTTCGTAATACCTCTATTTAGTTCCAACAATTCAGAAATGGCTGCAGAAAATAAGAAAAGGTATCAGTTTTCTCATCATCCAGATGAAATATACTTAATCTCCTTTACAATAAATTGCTAGACAACTATATATAGACTATTGTTTCAAAGGAGTAACGACGATAATTAAAAAAAAATTCTCTTACACTCAGAAAATAGAATTTTTTTTTTTCACGGAATTTAATGAAATAAAATTTTCTAATTTACATATAATTATAATTCTAAAAGCGAATTTAGAGAAGTTAAAAACGAACATTTTTTTTTATTTATATTAAAATTATCAGAGATAATAAAAAATAATTTTCTAAGTGTATTTTTATTTCAATTAAAAAGAAAAAATAATTTTCTAAAATGTAGAAATAAAAACTAATCACTAAATTCCATGCAGAGAAAAAGAGATTAAAACAACCATGCTGATACACATGAAATGCCGATAAATAAAATGAAAAATTCTAATCTGAGGAAAACCAGGTGGCCTAGGAAAAAGTAATTAAAATATCCTTGAACTAACAAATGTATACAAGGAATGATTCATGAGCCATCTAAGGTAAGAAATAAAAAAAAAAACAAAATAAGGAACACGATTACTCTTTAAAAGGAACAAATCACGATTTAATTTAATCACCTTTGTGTTATTTCAGTTCGTGTAAAATTGTGCTCCTGTCTCTGCTCAATCCGCCGATTCACCAGTCTATTTTTTTTCACAATAAAAATAAAAACTAATTAAATAAATTTCATTTCCCTTTTTTTATCGATTTTTTTTTTGAATTATTTAATTTCATTTAAATTTTCAATTTTACAATTCCATTCACATTTTAGTATTCTTTACCCGTGACTTTTGTAAATAATTAGTTTAACTCTTTAATTCAGGGTAGTTATTGATCAGACGTCGAGACGACTCGGTCGTAATTATTTGATACGAAACGTAGAGTCAGAGTACGCCAACATTCATACGACACAAGCCAATCAAAATTAACGAATTTAAAAAAAAATCAATTCAATAATTATTTCAATGCTAATTAAATTCATTATAAATCCATGGATTTTTAATTTTGAAAATGTCAAAAATAATTAATTTTTCGTCATATTTTTAATTAAAAAAAAAAAAGGAAAGAAAGTAGCAAATATTTTTTTTTATTTTTACCCACATTAAAATAAAAAAAAATCCCTTCAATTCAAAATGAAAAGATTTTTTTTTTATTTCAAATGAATTGACGAAAAATCATCAACTCAAAATGAAAAATTTTAAATATTCAGGTCATCGATTATTTTGTAAACTGAACTTTTCTTTTTTTTACTTTAAATGTAAATGTGAGTTTAACAAAGAGTTGAATCAGCAAACGTGACAGAAATGAAAGCTTTGTAAAACGTATATTGGACAGAAAATATCTATATATATACAAAAAAAAAAAAACACTTTGAAGGTGTTTACGAAAATTATTTTTTAAAAAAAAATTCTTGTCAAAAACAAAAAAAAATTGTTTTTTCAGTAAAATAAACAAAACAAAAAAAATATCTTATACTCACAAACAAGAGTCAACCAGCTGATTATTTGACATACCAGCTGACCTTCGACTGTTGTTCTCAGCTATCGGACAAATTCACCTGCAATAAAAAAAAAAAAAAACATCAATTAAAAAAGTTCTTTTGGCTCTTTGTAAAATCATCGATCTATATAATATATAAATTCCCCTTTTTATTGGCTTGAGAAACTTTTTATTTTATTTCATAAAATTAATTAATTCTTATTTTTTAGAAAATCAAAAATCATTTTCAAACATTGAAAAAAGAGTTTATTTTTTATTTATTATTAAATTATTTGTCTTTTTTTTATTATTTATTTGAAAGAAATAACTTTCTTTTAGTTTCGTAATATAATTCAATATTTTATTTGTATTTTAAATATCAATTAAAATATTTTTATTTGTAATTAACCAACAAGTTTCAACACTCCAATTATTATTATAATATAAAAATAATTAACTATCACTATATACCTGTCTATATAGATTCTCATTAAATTGTAAACCAAGAGTAGTAATTATTAGTACTAATAATATCAAATATTAAACATTGAATATCAAATAATTTACTAAAGCTCTTAATTGGTATCAAATATCGTATGAAAATTTTGAGGGAATATTTTTTGAAAAATTAATATCCCATTTATTTTTGAATTAATCAATTAACATCAATTATTAATTAAAATTACATATAAATAATTTATTTTTTTTATTATTAAAAATATGTTTTTTTAAAAATATTGCCATTTTATAATTATAAGTTTCAATTAAATATTATTATTTTTTTTGTCTATTATGCGTGTATAATTTTCCCTTGAGAGGAAATGAAACATCCGAGATGGTAGTTATATATGAATAATCTTCAATTGATCAGACATCTAATGTAATTGAAGCTCTATTAGGTCATAGCCCTTACGATCAACGAGTCAATTCAAACTCGTAGAAAGAGAGAGAGAGAGAGTGAAAGAGTATTACCTACTTTATTTTTGACTTAACTTCATCGGTTTCCACCGGAAGACACGATCGAAGATTGTAATCGTTATCGAATTAATGCTCTTCTATCTCAGAGCGAGAGGGAGAGAGAGAGAGAGAGTTCTTTACTATCCACAGACGTTCAAATCGATTCCAGACGGTTAATGCGACATTTTAATGGACGTCGTGATAGATTTTGTTGGTTGTCATGCATGACGGTTCAATTTTTATAAAATATTTCACTATATGAAACGTTGTAAATGTCGATAAATCAAATTTAATCATGTTCCATTTTTTTTTCCATTTCAAAAAAAGAGATGATCTATAACAAAAAAAAAAAAATAAATTAATAATTTTTTCAAAAAATTAAATAAATTTAAATAAAAATAAAATAACACAAAAATAAATTATTTATACATAATAAAAATAAATAGAATATGTGTGTGTGATCATTTCCGATTGAGATCATTCTTTGTTCGGAAGGGGCTAGAAAATCCTTTGGAATAATAAACCGGAAGATGACTTAATTATACTATTATCCGATCGAAAATGACAATGCGACGTTTCGTATTCGACTCGCTTACACGAGCAACGCGGAAATACTATTCTTTTTCTCCTCTGTTATTTTTTTTTTTTTTCTATTTTTATAACTATATATAAAATAACATTCAATTTTGTAAATTATAAGAAAAAGTAAGAAGCAAAAATAGAACTACTGTAATTTGAAAAAAAAAAAAAATTATATATGTTTTTGAAAAAAAAATCTGGAATGCAAGATGAAATATAATTTCTCCTTTTTTTTTAATATCGCGTCTTCGTTACTCTTTCGTTATCTACTGCACCAAATATTGAACTAGTCTTGGATGTAAAGCGATACTTTAACTTCCTGAAAATGTTTCTCTGTTTACTTCAACAATAGTTTCACAGACTATCGTCAGCAAAGTTAACTTCGTTAATTAACTTGCTTGTAGAATCGAACTTAAAGGGATTATTCTCGTACTATTTCAGTCACGTAAGTCCACAGCATGAATACACCTTTTCACTTACTCTCTCTCTCTCTCTTTTTCTAATTTTGAAAATAAAACTCAAAGTCATTAACGAAACTCCCATTAATTGTTATTAATGGAATGTTATTAATTAATTAATAATTAATTAAAAGTAATTAATAATAATAATAATTAATAATGAATTAATAATAAATAAATATAATAATAATAATAAGCTATAGAATAATTTCCATAAAACATTAATTATTAGAACAATTTTTTTTTAAAAAAACTAGTTTTTACTGATAAGATCATTTAATTAGAGCGTCATTCTTTAAGATTTTTAGGGTTGAATGGATAAGATGCCTGAGACAAGAACTCGAGTAAACAACATAATTTGGAATAATTAAATTAGAGATCCAAGATACGAAACTAAAATTTACATTGAAAATAATAAAAAAAAAAAGGAGAGAAGTTGAATTTCTCTCACAAAAGTGACTGTCATTGCGCCTCGAGATCTGGTATTTTATGTCATTTGTGATATCAGTGTCGCCACATCGACGAAACTAACGGTAACAGGCTAGGCTTTAGGAGTTTCTGAAGCACAACTCTAAAGAATATTTCCATCAAAAAAAAAAAAAAAAGAAGAAAAAAAAAGTGGAAAAATAAAGGAAAACTTTTCCCTAACAGGGATTTCTTTCCAACAAGTTTTCCTCCATTGTATGCCAATCACAATATATATTGGAAATTTCTTGATGAACATGAATATTTATTTTTCCCTTCAAACAACATAAATTTATCCCACTAAATTGATAGATTTTACTATAAATAAGAAATCACAGGTACGAATCGAAAAAAATACCGAGATAACAATAAAAAAAAAAAAAAATTGCAACAATAGAATTTTTTTTTATATCGAATTTTTAGCAGAAATTAAACGAAGCTGAAGTACGCAACGTTTATATAAACGGTTTTTAAAGAAATAATTTTTTAAAAAAGAAAAATTCTATAATTTTAAGCCTAAAAAATATTTCTTGTAGTTTTCATTATAATCAACAAATTATAAAAAAAATATTTTTTTAGGCAAAAAAATTATAGAATTTTTCATTTTAAAAAATTATTTCTTTAAAAATCGTTTATATAAACGTTGCGTACTTCAGCTTTGTGAAATTAAAAAAAATATAACTGGTAAAAATTAGAGTTAATTATAATTTATTACGGTATTATATTGATTTATATAAAAATTCATAATAAAACATAATTTTATTAACGATTCAAAAACAAAAAATTATGAATAAATTATAAAATTAAGAACAAAGCATATCTTTAATTGAATAATAGCGTGCGGTATTAAAAATGTGTGTTGCAATAAACGGGAATTGGATCATATAAATTTTTTTTTTTTTTTATTACGTTATACAAAAATTGAGGACTCGCGACCAGGGACCCAATTTTCTTTCCGGCTCATTTAAAAGGCTACCTTGTGCGTGTAAAAGCTACTGGATGCATTAATATATATATATATATATGTTCAATGAATGAGCCAATATCGTATGTTTACGTTTATACACGAATACCACATAAAATGTGTGGTCATTCTCGAAAAAACAAGTGTGTTAGATTATAAAAGAACGTTCAACGAACTGGTTGGGAAATTTCCCCCCTTTTGAATAATTTTATTTCGAAAAAAAAAATATTTATTTATTTTTTAGATATTTTATAATATAGAAAAATTCGACAATTTTCATCATAAAAATACGAAGCTGAAGTACGCAACGTTTATGATAAACGATTTATAATGAAATAATTTTTTAAAATGAAAAATTCTATAATTTTTTTTTCCTAAAAAATATTTTCTGTACTTTTTATTAATTGACAAATTATAAAAAAAAAATATTTTTTACGCAAAAAATTATAGAATTTTTCATTATAAAAAATTATTTCTTTAAAAATCGTTTATCATAAACGTGTACTTCAGCTTAGTATAAAAATCATAAATTAAAAATCGAAAATACTCTTAATTAAAAATTAATTTTTTTCAGCGTTTTAGATACTAAAAATAAAAATCATTTTAGAATATACTATTAAATAGTTATTAATATAAACAAGTACAAAGTAATCATTAGAACAAAGAGTATAATTATTTAAAGAAGTGATAATGAAGTGACAATTCGACTGGTCACGTAATTATCATTCGAAAGAAGATGTCCGAAGAAAATATTATCGAGCTTGTGTAAATATATATATATATATACGATTCTTATCTTTATGCACTCAAAGATAAAACTGTTTCTACAATAGATAAAAAAAAAAAATTTTTATCTCTCTTTTCCATATAGATTAATATTTGCAAATAAATAAAAATAATATTGAATTAAATTTCAAAAAGAAACCAAATATAAAATAGAAATTGAATAAACCATTTTGAATTTCATTTAATTTTTTTCAATTATTTATTAATGACAATTCGAGAAATAAGTTTTCACAGACATAAAAAAAAGGGGGGGGGGGTAAGGGCAGTTAGTAAGATGATGGAAATTTTTAATAGTTAGCCTTAAAATAATCTTTGACCCGTGATCTATGAATGCACTTGCAAGGAAGAGCAGGCCAAGTGCAAAGTGATGTCTTTTCACCCTTTTCATTCATTGCGCAAATGACTTTCTAGAGTTGTTTGCAGAAAATCAAGAGTACGTTTTTATATACTGAACTACTTCTATTTCAAAAAAAAAGATATTTCGAAAAATGTTGGAAAATTCACCGAATCGTTGAAAATTAAAAACCAATACCTTTCAAAGAAAAAAAAAAATTTCACTTTTCATATTACATGCTGTAAAGTTATAAATTATATTTATATATAAAAATACAAAATTCAGTGGCTAAAGATTTTTTTATCACTGAGACATTTTGTTAGAAAGCAGAGAATTTCTAAAAAAAAAATTTTTTTTGAATAGAAAAAATGTTAATCAATAATAAAAAAATAATTATTAAATTTTTTAGTGTTAAAAATTTAGAAAGCGAATAGTAAAAGCAATAATTAGAGTAAAAGTATGTAAAATCAATTAGAAAAAGAAATTTGTATACAAAAAATTAATTATACAAAATTCATTAGGTTTTTTTTTAACCTCCTAGGAAAATCAATTACAATCAAGAATGTGAAAAGTTCATTAATAGTGAGAATATTTAAATGCATTACAGTCTGAGGTTTTAATTACACAAGCTCGTATTCCACACACATATAGTCACACACACGGTCTTTGAACACATTGTTTGGTTTGTTCCACCTACGCAAATTTGTATACGAAAACAGATTACATATAGCTTTGACCTAAAGAAGTTAATAAAAAGACCCGGTTTTCTTGACACGGTCACTTATTCCATATTAAGAAAAAAGATCTCACGACTTTAAAAGAAAACAATGAACATAGATCGTGTATCCGTACTTCTTATTTGTACAACGTGTGAAGTTTAAGGAAATTTATAAAACACTGAATATAAAAATAATATAATTTTTTAGAATTGAATAAAATTTTTTTAATTTATAAAAGAGGTTTTTTTTTCTTTACTTTTACGTATCAAAAAAAAGATCAAATGACAAAATTGCTACTTTTCCATTTTCTCACGCCAAGTTATATATATGATGTTAAGAACTGCGGACAGCGCCTCCTATCATTTTCACGATTTTCCCCCTACGGCGATGATCATCCCGTCACACATTCCAAGAAAGAATGAGAAACGTATGAGGAGAGTCCGGGGGGAATACAACTGAATACGAGCCAAGATTCGAGAATGATTCACAATGCATAAAGCTTGGAACAATTTGACGGGAAACTTCTCTGTCTTTTTATTTTTAACTCTTTCTCTACTATATTCTAACACCTATATAGCGGCGTGGTTCCACGCCTTCTTTGATTTACCCAACTCATCCGAGGTAAACAATCGATTTTATCAACCACGAGTTTCAAGAAAACGAGTACTCAATTTTTGTCATTTTTGGAAAAAAAAAATTACTGATTCTACGCAAAAGATATTCAACGAATGTTAATAATATATTCTTCAAAGAAATACAATAAAAGAAATTGATTTCCAATTAAATGAAACCAATTTAAAATACTAAAAATACCTTTCAAGTCGTCTGTGTAGTTGACAGACCGGTTTGATAACCAACAATTACAATACAACCTAAAAGGAGATTAATTGTTTGCAATTGACAGTTGAAGACAATCATTTTTTTTTATATAAATACCCGATAGAATAAAAAATATAATAGAAATATCAAAATAATTTAAAAAAAAACAATTATCATAACATGATTTAAATGCCAGAGTTTGTGAATAGATTTTTTTCTCAAAAAAAAAAGATGGAAATTTTCGCAGGGTTCCTTGAGATTCTATTCACTGTAACATGCCATTAAAAAATTTGTAAACACTCACATATTATATCCAACTCCACGTATGCACACCGTCGGGCGATGACTCCTTTTTTGAAGGTCGGATAATGCTCCGATAAAAATGATCCTTAGTTCTTGAGATCAGGTAATGAACGATAAAACAATTGTATCATCCCGCGCCGAAATTCTCTAAGATTCTTTGCATTTCCCGTGTAAACGTTTGGCAGGTGTAAAAATCAAGTATAAATAGGCAGGGCTCTCCGACGACAATCAATCCATGGCATACAATTGCAAATTTGTCCCGACGGCTTTTGATGGGACACTTTATCCTCCGGTATGCCGCTCGCGGCTCATTCGATCAATTGTCCAAGAACCGCGAGATTCACCTGCAATACTACCGAGTATATACGAAGGAATCTTTCTTTCTCTCTCACACGTAAGTGGCTTCGAACACACAGGGAATACAATGCACTATAACGACACTCTTCACTGAGAATTTGGTTGCTAGGAAATCGCGGAACTTGACGATGATGACACCAAAATGGCCGAGAAGCGTCACGGCTTGCGTTATTTTACTACTGAAGCAAAGCACATGTATGAGTTTACAAGTGAAAACTCAAAAATCTTTCACGAACACATCATCGAACAGTCTTGTCTTCTCGCCCTCACTCGCCAACGCCTACACGATACACCACATTGCACAGCACGCAGTAACGACGCCCTTACAACGCCAAGATCAGCGGTTCTCTGGCAATTTCTCCTCTCCACAAACTCTTTGATATCAATTTTCTTCGCTGGGGGTTGTCTACACTGGTACAGCAGTGATTCTCAATTTTTACCGATAATTATCATATTGAAAATGACCGGAGAATATAAGAAAGAATATTACCGTAATTATCAAATTACACAAATTCCTTCAAGAATATATAAATTATTTCACTAAATCACTACTTTTGATTTTAAATAAAAAGAATATTTATCTTGATAAATGATAATGTGTCATTAACTTTTGTTAATGTTAACAAATTGGAAAAAGAATTTAACAGTTAAATGTAACTTTTGCAAAATGGAAGCTCAGGGTTGAGAAGTTACGAAATTTCTTTACATGCGTACTTGGTAAAATACGTTACAGCAAATTGGACAAATTATATATACCTTCCCATCTTTGCTGAAAACTTGTGTATTCACCTTTAAAACTCTCTTTAAACCATCTACATAGTTATTATTCATTGATCTTTTATTTTTAATGTTATACAGACTTAGTTTTGCAAATTATAACATATATATACAGTATTGAAAAATAACAATGATATTTATATTTAAAATTTGATTTTGTTTATATCAATTCTTTTTAGAAAGGATAAATTAACATTATTTTCGTTATGTGTGATCATTATTGGGAGCCATTGGCTGAAGTGTATATTACGAAACAGACTGAGGATCCTGACAGTTATATTTATTGTTTGTGTAGCAGAGTTTTTATCCGGTAAATTTTCTATATTTTCTTTAATAATATTTGAAATATTCTTCATAATTTAGAATATACTTTTTAATATTATTATATTATTTTTATTATTGACAAATATAACAGAGTTATAACAATACAAATCAATGATTTCTGAATTTTAATTGTTGAGGTTTTTTTTTTTTATGTAAAATGAAAGTAGCGATTAGAAAATTAAACAATGATTTTTATTTCATTGTTTTATTATTTATTGATTTTTTAAAAATATACAAATCTATTTTATATTTATTTTTATAAATTATACTGACCTAGTTGTTATTAAAAAAAATATAATTTATTAAAGTTTCTTGAAATTTTTTTTTTATAGAACTCCAGAGATACATTCATTTATCAATGCTGATGATGTGAGTGAAGGTGACGAAGTTGAAACTGAATGCGTGGGTGAAATAATAAATGTTGAAGAAATAATTCATATCGAGGCGCAATCTTGTAATATCGAAAAACAAGATGTAAGTTAATTTTTTAATTTGAAAACTATTAATAAAAGTATTAAAAATAATTTAATTAATTGAAATTTAAAATAAAATTACTCAATGAACAAGAAATATTGCAGAATTACAAAATCAATTTTTCAAATTTACTCAAATGTATAAAAATTGTTTGAAATGTTTAAATTTTTGATAAAACAAATTTAATATCAATTAAAAATGCTTTGAGAGTTTGAAAAATTTGTTTATGAAGAAATTTCAACAAATATATATGAAGAGTGTTTAAACGTCAATTGTATTATATTGAAAAAAAAAACATTTTTCTTTATCACTTAGAATTTTTGTCCCTATTAGGAGGAACCAGTAAGTTGTTATTGCAGTGCATCACATACTGATAATAATTATTCTACCGATGAACATGATTCTATACGTGACTCCGCCAATCGACAACCAACATTATCCTTTACACAAAAACTTGGTCTTCATCAATCAGACTCAGGTGCTGATTTATCTGAATATCAAGATCAACAAGAAGTTAAAAATATTCAAACTCTTTTCGAATCATATAACAAATCATTAGGTACAACTGAAGAAACTTTAAATAAATCAATTCAAGATGTTCATATTAAAAATAAAATAAGTCATGATTTTGATTTTAATTTAGAGAAATTGCGTAATGACAATATTTTCATTGATAAAAGCAAAAATATTTCTCTTATTGAAAAAAATGAAAATATTTCTATTATTGTAAAAAATGATATTTCTTTAAATCAAACTGTTTCTTTAATTGAAAAAAAGAAGGATGAGGAAATTTCAATTCCTGAGAGTAGTAATAAAATAATTTCAATAACAAATTCTGAAAATTCAATGAAAAATAATATTGATTACAATGGAATAATTGAGGAATGGGATTTTATTCAAGAATCATCATCATTAGTTAGTAAAAATAAAATGGATTTAGCTTGGGAAAGATATTGGTCAAAGTATGGAGAATGTTTAATTTGGGCATCGTGGTTAGAGAAATATGCAAATTATATTAATCCAGAATATTTGCCAGAAAATACAGACGATAAAGAACAACAATTATCGGAAAAATTTCTTGAACAAAATACATGTTTTCCAAGTGAGGCACATCGAAATTGTGTTATTGGTCGTTCAAATTTTGAAGGTATTTTTGGTAAAAATGAAATAAGAAAATATGATTCAACAACAAAAAATATGAATTTTTCATTTGATAATACAAATAAACAGGAAGTAATTGAAAGAGAAGCTGAAGATAATAGAAAAAGAATAGGAAATCAATTATCGCCTGATATTGGTGAAGGATGGAATCCCCTAAGTCCATTTAGCGTTGAAGATAGTTATTTAGCATCAAATGCCGAAGATGAGAAATTAATAACAAAATGTGATTCAATTAGTGGTTCTATTACAAGAACAAATGCAACTTCCGATTCAATGACAAATGTCACAAAAATGACATTAACAAGTTCAAGTTGTGATTCAGCTTCTACACAATCATCGAGTCTTGTAAGTTCAACAATGAGTTCAAATGAAAGTAATGTCACAAGTAGCAGTTCAGATATTGGCAATGATTACACAGTTGAGGATAATGATAAATATTGGCAAGAATTATGGAAAGAAAATTTTCAAGAACAATACAAAAAACATTATGAAACATTTATGTTTAAAGCCAAAGAATCTGTTGTTTGTTCGGAAATTAATTTATCTGATGATAAAAATTATAAAATAAAAAATAATACAATCAATGATGATATTAAATCAGTTGTTATTGAAAAGAATGTTTCTTTAAGTAAGAAAAAAATGATTATGGAATCCGTTGGTATGCTTATGCAAAATTTGACAATGAGTTGCGAGACAAATTCTCATGATAATTGTAAAGAGAATTGTTTGGAAATTATTGACAATGATGAACAAAGTGTTGAACATTATAATACAACTGAGTCTGACGTTTTAGTTTACAACATTGAAAGTAAAATAAATAGCTCGTTAAATAGTAAAAATGAAGTTAGAGAAATGGGAAACGAGGAAAAACCAATAACCCTTAAGCGCAGGTATTGCATTTCTTTAATTTCATTTGATTTTTTTCGAATATATTTTTTTTACTTCCGCCAGACAAAGTTCTTTTCTTTAAATTCCTCTTTTTTTTCAATTATCACCTTTTAGTTATAGACAAATTTTAGAAGTGAAAAAAAAAATTTTGTTTTAGTCATGAAGCAGATGACGCTGGTGAAGGATTAGAAACTGTGAAAAAAGCATTTTTATTAATGGGATACACATTTAATGAAGAGCATAAAAAAACTAAACTACAAGGTGAAGTGGTTTATAAAAAAAAGAATATTAGATTACAAAATAGACAATTAAAAATGAAATTAACACGTTCTAAACCACTTAATAAACATATATATTTCAATGATAATGGTGAAGAAATTACAAATACATCAAATGAGGTAAATATTTATAATTTTGATGATATTCTTATAAATTTTTTAATATAAACTTTTTTTTTTAATTTCTAGATTAAGGCTGAAGTGGAACTACAATCGTCAGAAAAAGAATTTTTGACAAATGCACAATTTACATCTAGTTCCGATGAAGAATGTGAATCGTTACATAAATCGAAATTAAATTCAAAACGTATTCTTTTAAATAAATCAAATACATCTGTTGATTTAAAATTAACCAGACAAGAAATTAGTGACAATAATACGTTTAGTATTGAAGACAATGAGGAGACAAAAATTTTAAATACAGATATTATTTCTGATATTAAAGAAATAGACGATAATAATGATAAAATTCAAATGGAAGAAGAGGAGAATTCGAAAATTAGTCAGGAAAATATTTTAGTTTCAAAAACACAAAAAAAGAAAAAACGAAAGCAAAATAAAAGAAATAATTTACCAGCTGAAGTTGATTCAACACTCATGAAATATTGGGTTAAAAGATATCGATTATTTTCTAAATTTGATCAAGGAATAAAATTAGATCGAGGTGAGAATATTTTTTTTTTTAAGTCTATTTTATTTTTGTAATTTTAATTAATTTTTTTTTTTATGCAATTTTTTTTCATCAGAAAGTTGGTTTTCCGTTACTCCTGAGAAAATAGCACAACATATCGCAGAAAAATGTAAATGTGATACAATAATAGATGCATTTTGTGGCGCCGGTGGAAATTCCATTCAATTTGCATTTACTTGCGAAAAAGGTGAGTTTTATAAAACTATTTTGCCTAACAAATTATTAATTTAGATTTTTATTTTATTTTTGTTTTTTACAGTTTTGGCGATAGATATCGATCCATTAAAAATAGAATTAGCTCGAAATAACGCTAGAGTGTATGGCGTGGAGGATAGAATAGAATTTATCGTAGGAGATTTCTTTCATTTAGCACCAAAATTATTTGCTGATGTGGTGTTTTTGAGTCCACCATGGGGAGGACCAAGTTATGCAAAAAGTGATACTTTTGATCTTAATAATATTATGTATCCAAAAGGTGGAATTGAATTATTTAACGTAGCCAAACAAATTTCCAATCATATTGCATATTTTCTTCCTAGAAATGTGGATACTATGCAAGTAAGTATTTAATTAAAAAAAAAAAAAGATAAATTTAAAATTTCCTATAAAATTGAAAAAAAAAATAATTTTAATATTTAATTCAGCTCGCAATGTTGGCTGGAATTGGATCTGCGGTTGAGATTGAACAAAATTTTCTCGATAGAAAATTGATAGCATTGACAGCTTATTATGGAGAACTCCCTCAAGACTGCTGACATGAATCCACTGTTATTAGTGATATATAAAGTTAAATTTGCCATTTCACTGTCCATTTGACTAAATGTAAATAATGATTTAAAATAATTTTTTGTCTGTGACGTAAAAAATTGTAGTGATATTACAATTATTATTATTATTATTATTCAAAGTGTAATCGAAAAGTTTCAGTTTTAATATGTAATGAGATTTTTGTTTCAATTTTTGCAAACAAAAAATGATCTCGATTTCCAATTGTTTAAATTATGTTTTTAAAAAAAACATGTATTTGTATTTTCTTTTTAATTAAATTTTCCTAATGATTTGTAATAATTATTATTTTATTCAACAATTTTTACGGGGAACAACATTTAAATATCGTATAATACATTTTTGTAAAATAGAACAAAAAAAAATAAAGGTTTTTTTTTCTGTAATTTATTACAAATTTTATTTAATAGGCAAAAAAAGGTTTTTTTTCAACAAGATACAGAATAAAAACATCTAAATTAATATTCAACAATTTTATACATTTATTTTACAAAAAGAGAAAGATTTTATTTTTTACAGAAAACTTTCAAGCACGCGTGTTTTAAATATTTACATTACATGTGTCATTTTTTTTTCATACATACAATTAACAATTATGTTCTTAAATAAAGAAAATATTAAATTTGACTGAAATATCCACGATTTTCAGATTCAATAAAGATTTCTTTTTTGATATAATTTAAATAAATCGACGATTTATAAACAATTAAATTTGGAGATAAAAAATTTCTGTATAGACCTCAATAAAAAAAAATGAAATCGTTTGTTAAACATATACAATTTACATTAGTTTACTCTCATATAGGGGGAAAAAAAAATAATTAAAAACTGCCTTTTATATATAAATTTTCTAAAAAACTTTACAATAAAACTTAGTGTATATTTATAATAAAAATTGTATATAAAGTAGTTCTTTTTATAAGTTGAAAAAAAAGTTGACGTATTTTTTCGATAATACTTGATAACAATAGAAATCAGTAATATTTTCAAAATACTTTTGTGTTTTTTTTAATTATTTTATTTTTTTATGAGTTTTTTTTTAAATAATTTTTTTTAAATATTTGTTAATTTTTTGTAGATACAATTTGTATCAATTTTTTTTCTATATATTACAGTTTAATGTTCTTATAAAAAGAACTAATAACAGGAAATTGTTTTTTTTTTTTTTTTTGTTTTCTAAATAAACATTAATTCTGTTCTGTTATTAAGATTTATACAGGAGAAAGTCTTTCAGAGTCTTAGGTAGAGGAAGAGAATTAACAGCAGTTCTTTGCGTATACTGTAATATGGCGTCTCGACAAGCACCTTGTAATGTAGATACTAAAAAAATATTACCGAAAAATTCTTTTAATAGAGAATTCAATTTGCAATTATTAAATATTTATTTAAGAAGTTAAAAAAAAATATATATTTAGAAATGAAAAATTTTACTTACATCCATAAAGTTGAACTATTCTAACTTGTTTCGTTGTACCATAAACATCAACTATTGCATGCAAAGGTCCAGCTTTATAAGGAATATCCTTTTGACAAACTCCTTGATCTTCTCCATTGATAATAAAATGCATTTCCGCTTTATCTGAACCAGCTTGTGGCACATACATAACGCCTATACGACTTCCTGTATCGGTTGGAAGTATATTTTGTGAACATCCAACAGTATTTGGTCTAAAAAAAAAAAAGAAGTGAATAACAATTTTTAGTTAATTGTCTAAAAAATAAATGAAAATTAGTCAAAAATAATTACCGAAGAGCACTATAAGGAATAATACCACGAGATGTATGTACATTAACACCATCAGTATCGAGCTTTTTTTCTCTTGCTGGAATTCCATTACCTGTTGAAGGAATTATCTATTACAAAAGGCAATAATATTTTTCAGGTCCCACTTTATTTGGAGCCTTTTTAAAAATAAAGAAACATAAATAATTTTATTTGATTTTAGATCAAATGAAATATCATTCGTGAATTTATATTTTCTTAATGAACTTATTAACTTTTTAAGAAGTAAAAAACGAAGCTGAAGTACGCAACGTTTATATAAACAATTTTTAAAGAAATAATTTTTTAAAATGAAAAATTCTATAATTTTTTGCCTAAAAAATATTTCTTGTAGTTTTCATTAAACAACAAATTATAAAAAAATATTTTTTAGGCAAAAAATTATAGAATTTTTCATTTTAAAAAATTATCTCTTTAAAAATCGTTTATATAAACGTTGCGTACTTCAGCTTCGTAGTAAAAAAAAAAAATAATAATAATTAACATAAAAATTCCTCACCGTACGTAGTGCCTCCAATTCCTTCGAAACTATCCCAAATACTACGACTTTTTGTAATTGCGAAAACCCAACTTTGACCTGATTTCACCAAATTTGGTACAGCCCATTGTGGTAAACCTTCCTCATCCTCAACGGTAATATCCATTTGTGTTAAACCTAATCTCATATGTCCACTCCATCCTCTTTCATCTTTTTCAATTTCAAGTAGAAAAATTTCTCCCGGTTGAAGTGGCTTTTCACTAAATGTCAATGCATTTGCAAAACTTGCTTTGCGAAATGCCACTGTATTATCGTCGCACAACACAATATTTTCACCATGTTTGGGATGAAATCGAGTTATAATTTTCTTTGATTTTTCTGACATGATTTACCTATTAAATATTAGGTAATAAATAATCATCAAACACTATAAAATAGTTTTATTTTCAAAACTTATACTTTTGTGAACCTTCATTGATAGAGAGGTTATAGAAAAATTTTATATATTTTTAAATATTCATCGAATTCCAATCACTTATTATATTTATTATTATTTTTTAAAAGTTTATTTTAAATATTAATTTTAAATATTTTTGTAACATAAGCACATTTAATATTGATAATTATTAAATTTTAATAAAAGTTAATTTAACAATTTATAAAAAACAGAAATATGTTTTCTTTCTTTGACTTTTCTACTGTAACCAGGGTTGGGTTAGTGTGGGTGTTTTCGATTCTGGACAATTGACAGTAAAGGTACATTCACACTGTTTACATTGGCAAAGCAATGTGAAAGAAAAGGATAGACAATATAAGTTTTGAGAACACTACCTTAAAGTTGATATTAACACCGAAAAAATGGTGTTGTAAAGATGGGCTGAAATTTATTAGTTTCAAAGCGGCTTTTCTTATAATAGGTTCAGACTATTTTATAAAATATTAAATATAGTGTTTTGTAAGTTTCTTAACTTGATGATTAGAATTCTAAAATGTTTAGAGTAAGTATTTATAAAAGTTTATTAACGACGCTTTCTATAATTAACATTTTTTCTCGGCATTTCTTGATCGCATAAAAATTGAACAATTCAGTTACTATGGCCATGTTGACGACGCAGACCTACTAAAAATTAATTGATTTAAAGAATTAGATGATTTAAAGCACGATAAAAAAAAAGAAGAAGAAGATGGAAATGACTGGTAAATTATTTGAAGGAAAGGATTATCCAACACAATGGGCTCTAAATCCTTCCACTTATCAAAACATGAGCAACGACCAAGGTAATTTATAGAGAAAAAAAAATTATATACCATTTTCACATATCTTTTTTTTTTAATTATACATATCCTGCTTATAAACTTTCTATTTTTTGCAAATGTCATTTGATATTTAAGAGAATATTGATTTAAATTTACTTAAAAATTAAATTAAATTTTCTTTTACACTATAAAATTAAAAATTTTTACTAATTTCTTTTTTTGGAGTAATTTATTAGGTGTGGAAATTTTCAGAGAATAAACTAGAAAAATTATTTTTTTAACAACAGTAAAAATTTGTTTCTTTTAGAAAATTCTATACATTAATAAATGTTTAATTTTTTTTTTATATAGGTACAATATATTTTGGTGTTGAATAATTGAGGGGAAATTATTTTTATTAATTGCTTAGGAATAATTTTTTTTTTCTCATCGTCTTTTTAGTCGATTGGGCAGCATTAGCTCAACAATGGATAAAAATGAAGGAAACAGTTGTTCCTCCTGCCCCACCACCACCCTCGATTGATACGGGACAATCAGACAACGATGGAGGAGGAGAAGCTCCAATGGATATGGATACTAAAGACGATGACATTCCTCCAGCACCCCCAGCACCAAGTATAAGTGGATCAGGTATTTTAATATTATGATTAATTAAATAGGGGACGAAATAAATCAATTTGAATACTCGAAAAAAAAATGTAAATTTTGAATTTTACTTTCATTAGTATTTTTTATATAATTATTCTTTTAATTGCCATTAAATCTTTCAGTTATTTTTTTTTTAAATGACAAAGAGAAAAAGCAGTCGCTTTTTTTTATAAAGTTTTTAAAAAAAATTTCTTTTTATTTCGTTTACTGCAGACTACTATGTTATGATGAGAGGTAATGATAGATCCAAGGAAAAACAAATATTCCACAAGAAATCACATAAAAATAATTCAGGTGCGTAGGACTCTGAAAAAAGAGAGTTTCCAAATTTTTTATTGTCACATTATTATATTTGTAAGACAGCAAGAGGATTCTTTTTTTTATATATAAAATTGTGGAAGATCGATATTTCCTGTATTGGAAAAAAAAATTTTATTCAAAAAAATAATAATTCTATTTTTGATTTATGTTCACAGATGGTTGGAATCAATGGAATCAATGGGGACATTGGAATGCATCTGGACCTGGACCGGGAAATTGGGAATGGAGTGGAGTACCACCACCAGGAGTTACTATTGGACCAGATGGAAAACCAACTGGAATAAGTAATACACCAGTTGCACCAGCAGCGCCTCAAATATCGGGAAATTTCAATGTTCCACCACCGTCGGCATCATCTCCTTATGTTTATAATTCTGTTACAAATGCACAGACATACAATCAGGTTATTGTTGAAAAAAAAAAATCAAAATTTTTCCATTCCATTGAAAAATTTAATTTAATTTATTATAAAGCAGGTATCGTCATATTGGTCAGGTGATCAATCTGGTGTAATGTCTTCTCAACCACCACCATTCTTAAAAGGAATGCGTCATTCTAATAGAATGCCACCAATTCGTGGTGTAGATCCAATGAGATCACGAGAAGAAAGAGAACCAACGCCCGAGGAAGATCAATATACATTAGGTATAAATTTTTTTTTTAAATTACAAAAAGAGAAACTTATTTTTGATTTTTATAGACGCTGCCAAACGAAGACAATTACCAGCATGGATAAGAGAGGGTTTAGAAAAAATGGAGAGAGAAAAACAAAAGGCAGTTGAACGTGAAAGACAAGAAGAATTACGAAAGCAAGAAATTGAAGCACGAAAAAAGGCTGAAGATGAAGCTCGCGCTGTTTTAAATCCAAGCAAAAGCAAATTTGTAAGACTATAATATTTTTGGAGTTTTAATTTTTGAAGAAATATTATAATTTATTTTTAAATTTAGGATTCGGATTCGGAGAAGGAAACGGAAGAAGAGACAGGATCAAGGCAGGATGAAACGGAAAAAAATCATGATCGTAGTCCAGATCATGGTCGTCCACGTCGATCACGTTTTAGGGATGCTGAGTCGCCCGATTCACGTTCAGCAAAAGAAGGAAGTCCAATTTCAAATTTTACACCATCAATTCCAAAGCGATCGCGGGAAGAAATTTTACAAGATGTGGTTAGTTTTGGATTTAAAAGAAACAAAAAAAAAAGAAGAATAATAGAAATATTAAACAAAAATTAATTCAACAGATGTTGAAAGTCCGGAGGTCATTAACGGAAATTCTATTGGAAGTAACAAATGAAGAAATATCGTCAGTATGCAGAGAGGTTTGGAGCCGCGCACGAGCCAAAGGTACCCCAGATACACCTGATAGAACTAAAAGATCGTTATTTCGAACTTTTGCTTATTCGGTTACAGAGATCATTAATTCATTCTACTATCAATTTGTGGTAGTAGCGAAAAATGATAAATGCCATATTGTACATCTTCTTCGACGTGCATTAAAAACAGTGTTTCCATTTCGAGTTATACAAATTGTTTAATGTTTTTCAGAATGCCCTGCTTTACACTGTGTTTTCAGGACTCATGTACTAAGAAACATCTTTTTTGTGCATGAATCTTTAAAAAGAAAACCGAATTTTGGGATACATTTCAAATATTCTTTATACATTTTGAAAAGTTCAGAGGCAACAATGATTTTTCTTTTCTCAAAAATTTTTAATTATTTTAATCATTGTGAAACTGAACTCTTTTTTCCTCCTTTAAATTGTTGGAAATAATTAATATTATTACTGACAATAGAGATGAGGAAAGAAAAAAATAACTTTTTCGATTTAGTCGATAAGAAAAGGTTGATTTAGGATAGTATTTCGGTGATTAGAAATAAAAGAAAGAAAGAAAGAAATGAAATGAGGGATGGGGAAATTTAGATCCAAGTATGTGAAATGGATCTCAACAAAAATTGGTTACTAAATGCGTGTCTATTGTAAGCCCCTGCAGGAGAGCCCCCTGTCGCATCCTTCAACAACACGGCCCCTCTTGCTCAGATCACTCGGAAACTTGGTAAGTGGCTCTTATCTACCAATTTTCAAGGCATGGTTCCATCTAGGAATGATCAGAGGGTCTAATATAATTTGACACTAAATCGCTGATCACAATCCACATTTTAAATTTAAAAAAAAAGAAATTTCTGAAAAATTGCATAATATAAAAATTAAATAAAATAAAAAAAAATATTATTTAAATTTTACACTTGGCAATTTCGGAAAAATAAATTTAATACTCATCCCTATTAATATAACCATGCAAAATTAAATTTTCCTCTTGATTTAAAAATTTTTTACTGATAATATATTTTACAAAAATATTTGATTCGAATTTGTTTGATATATAGGTCTGGGCATCTATGGTGACAGTAACAGCGAATCTGAGGAGGAGCAGAAGGAGGATGAAGAACCAGAGGACGAAGACAGTGATGAGGAACTCAAGGTATTAAAATATTGAAATTTTTTTTGAATATTTAAAAAAATATAAATGAAAAATTGTTTTTCTCAGGAAACGTTAAGACGAAGACAGCAAGCATTTAAGAAAACAGAAGAGGAAATAGAGGCACGATTGGCTGAGGAAGAACAGGAAATGAAACGACAGGAGGAACATATTTATGAACAACAGAAAAATCATATTGGTAATTCTAGCGGCAGAAATTCAGGTATGTTTCAACGAATAATAAAATTTAATTTTGTTTTATTCGTAAACGTAATTTCGAAACGTCATATACTTTAGTTGAAAATGAAACGATAAATAATGAAAGAGAAGCATCAGAAACGATGTCAAGCGGCGGACAAACGCCGCAACATCAATTAATAACAACCGACAACACATCAAAGATTAATTCCCCAATCAAATCAGCTGGAACGGAATCTAGCAGTGATGATGATGATGACGACGATGATGATTCTAGTACCGAAACAAGTCAAAGTTCAACAAGAAAAATTAAACGATCACGAAAGGAACGTGATGATAGGAAACAAAAGTCAAAAAGTCGAAGTAAATCGAGAAATCGTCGTTCAAGGTCACGTTCTTCTGATCATTATAGAAGACGTAAATCTAGATCTAGATCACGTAAAGGTTATCGTTCACGTTCATTAAGTAGTTATAGGTCTGGGAGAAAACAAAGATCAAGATCGAGGAATCGTAAACGAGATAGATCGCGCTCTAAATCCAGATATAGATCACGATCACATTCAATTGGACGAAGATATTCGCGATCACAATCAAGGGGTAAGAGACGTTCACGTTCGCATTCCAGAAGTAGAAGAAGAAGTCCCTCTTATTTGAGTAATAGAAGAAGTAATTCTCGTTCACGTGAAAGAAGAAGAAGTCTTAGCCGATCCAGAGATAGAAGGAGATCACGTACTCGATCAAAGGAACGAAGACGCTCACCCTATTCGTCGAGAATTAAAAGACGCACTCGCTCAAGGTCCCGTGATCGGAGACGATCGAGATCAAAATCAAGGCACACTGGTCATCGTGATGGTAAGAAGTCATCGCATCGATACAAGGATTGAGAGCTATCTACTATTTTAAGAAAGGTTGTATGCACATTAAATAAATAATTATAATTATTTCCATAAAGTAATTCTTTTTTTTTTTCACTGTCATTTTTATTTAATCAACTAATCAAATTAGTCGCCTCATTTAATTAACTAATAACAAAAAAATTTAATTTCAAAAAAAAAGAGTTTTTAAATAATAGGATTTACTGCTTCGTATCCAGGCCTAGGAATTTATTTCTGTTTCAGACTCTTCTCTGGTTTACAACAAGATTTCTCGACAAGCCCAAGAGACAGCTTCAAATAGTTCAGTTAATATAAAAATCAAATATATAGTAAGCTCGTTTTTTTTTTTTTTTTAAGAAAAAATATATTAAACAGTGAATGTGCTCTTTAACGATTTTAATGTCAGTTTATTATTCATACACATGTGTTTGAAACTATTTCCCTGGTGGTTACCGAGCAATAATTCTACAAAATATGTAAATAATAAACGTAATTAATACGTACTTTATAAAGTTTCTAAATTTATTTTACATCCTATTTTTTTTTTTTTTTCAGTTGAAAGAAAATTTTTAAATATTAAATATAAAAATTCAATCATAGAATATTTAAAAGAAAATTAATATAGTTTTTTTAAAATAAAGAAGAATTAAATTTTGTTAAATAAATTGAAATTCAAGAATATAATTTGTCACAATATATATATATATTAACTCAAATTACTTTTTCATAATTTCTACATTAAAATGTATATTATTCAGATATACATATTTTTAAAAGATTGAGATTTGCACATAATATGACAATGTAGCAAAAATAAATTATTATTTCTAAAAGTTCAATAATCTAGTGTCATCTTTTTTTTTTTGTTTGTATATGCTGTCAATCTACAAAAGCTATTTAAAATTACATCTTTCTGATAAAGAAAAAAAAATTGTTTTTTAATTGAAGAAGACAATGTTTTCTCAGAAAGTATAATAATAATAATATTATAGATATCGTAAACTCTGACTTTTACAAATATTCATCTTGTCTAGAAACAAAAATTACTTAACAAAATTTACATGAATAATTTAATTACATTTTTTAAGAAAAAAATGATGGAATGAAAAGAAAAAATTCTTAGTTACATTATTTTTTTTTCTTGTCTAATTAAGAATCAGTCTTGATTCGTTATGAAACTTCGGAATACCTGGAAAATATTTGGTACACAAGTAATCGAAGTCCTCTGATATTAATGATAATAATTTATTTTGTCATTATTTTCCATGGCGTTGTTCACATTTACTATATTTCCTTAACAACATTGCAAAATCCTTTACTAGTATTCTATGATGTGATTGTATTTGGCTGAAATAGAAATTTTGTTTGAAAAATTACATTAAATTCGAGAAGATAATAGAATTTTCTTAAAAGAATTATCATGAATTTTCTTTTCGTTATTAAAAATTTGTTTTTTTCTTACACAAATTCTGTTACTTTTATGTGCCATGGAAGAAGACCATAAGTAGAAAATGTACGTCCGCAGACAATTGCTAGATCTGGATTTGGAATGCCTTCAAATTTTAATTTTTCTGCGAGAAGATTAATATTAATTTCATCTGATTGCAATACTCCAGAGATAACTCCCTTAGATAATTCCTGAACTAGAGAGACGATTTTACCTTTGCCATCGTCGTATGACAAAAGTTGTATTTTCGTTTTATGTTTAATTCCTAAATTAAAAATTTAATTCATCAAAATTTCAAATTATAAATAAAAAAAAATTAATTTCCAAAACTAAATGTTTGTAATTCTCACCATTAGTACCATTTTTTATAGATTTCACAGACAATTCAGAATTCCAGACAATATTTTGTTCGAGATCTGGTCTTTCAATTGCAATTTTTTTTCTCATAACCTTATCATTTCTTTGTAGGAATCCTAAAAATATTTATAATCTTAATGTATGATATCTCAAAGATAAGAAATTTCATTGCTAGAGCATATACTAAAAAAAAGAAATCTAAAGATCTTACTAAAATTCTAATTCTCACAATAAATGAAAAGTTCTTACCATTGTGATCATAAAAGCTGACGCAAGGAATACCAGCGATAACACACCATCCAACAATACGCACAAGATCATGAAATGAAACTTCCTCGTGGCCAAGAATAACAACCAGGTGCTCGGGCAATTTTGTTACATCCTTTATTAATTCACTAAGAACATCATTTTCCATAGATGAATTTCTATCACTAAAAACTAGTTCTATAAAGATTTTCCATTGGAGTCGACTCCAAAAAATAAATTTGTACAAAACGTGTATTATTGCCAAAAGTAAACGAAAAATGACCTGCATGATAATCTTTAACAATTAATTTTTCACACAACATAATCTCTCTTGTGTAAATTAAAAGCGAGTGTCAAGTTTGTTTTGTACTTTAATACCGGCTACCTTGACAAAATCATAATTCCTTCTCACGAGTAATCACGAGTTTCCTGGAATTTCTCCAAGCTTCCCGGTGAATCTATTTTGTGAAAACGTACTCCAAACACGATAATGCGCGTGGCGCCAACACATCACTGAAATAATCACATTTTATCATCATATACACTATACCTAATACACAAGCTTAGAATTACTAACGTCATCAATTTTCAAAGTCACAAGTTATAGAAAAAAAAAAAAAAAAATAGTAAATAAACGAATCATCAATAAAACTGACAAATAAACTTTTTAACTAAAATTTAAATTCTTAATCGGTATGAATTAATTTTAATATACATTTTTCATTGTATATTTTATTTGCTTCTTATATACCTGTTTTATTCTTTTATCTATCTTTATTTTCTCATTTGGAATGTAATTTTGAGGTTAAGTTAACTGTCAAGATGAGCCACTGACTTTTTCGATGTTCACTCCGTCAGAGAAGACGGTGATTGGTTGGATCCAATAGAATAATCATGATGATTGGATTATGATTACCATCGCACTTTTATTTTGAAATTTACCGCCACTAATTTTCCAAGTAGAATACACTAGTCAAATCCAATTAACAAAATTATTTGTAAATATAATTTACTGTTACTATTATTTTCCATTGTTTTCTTTAATTTAATGGTTTTTGTTAATATCATTTTTAAATCTTCATTATATATAAATATTTATAATTATAATAATATTAAATATCTTCTTGACTCTTGCAGTGTTTAGGTTAGGTAAAATGGCGAATTTTCTACTTCCGCCTTTACGTTGCTATCTAGAGTGTCAAGGTGAGCGTCTTTAGTTTTTTACGGGTAAAATTGCTATTTTTGTTGTAAAATAATTGAAAAATAATCAATTAAAACATTATTTGTGATTTTCAAATGCTGTATAAGTGTTTTTGATAGTTAATAAACTTATATTAACAATACATTGAACATTGTGTCTACACGTGTCTGTCAACGTGTGTTCAATAAGAGCACATTTTCAATTTATTTTCTCTCTATTTTTTGCTTCAGAACGACGCAAACATGCAGTTATACGTCCGCGGACAAGAAACTCGAGTATTCGAGTGTCAGGATGATGAAACCGTCGCACAAATTAAGGTATGTTAATGCAATTTCATTTTTTGAGGTTAGGTTCTGTTTTCAATGTTTGACAATAAATTAAAAGTTTATATTTTGAAGAAAAATTCAAAATTTTTCGTTTCCATTGTTTTTAATTATGATTTAATTTTTTTGGCATTACATGATAACCTGGCGAAGTTTAATTAATACATCGACAGAACGAGCAGTAATGCTAAAATAATATTCAAAACTCAGGGAGATGAAATGTAGACAATAGTTTTTATCTTTTCATAGTTTTGAAACAGTAACAATTAATTAAAATTAGTTTCCATATTTAGTCAGTATTATTGTTTTTGGATTTGTATTGTTCTGAATATTTTTTTTTTTCCTTATTTGTAGGCAAGAATATTAGCCTTCACAAATTTGGAATCTGGATCAATTTCACTTTGTTGCGGTGGAGCCACATTGGCTGACGATGTTATTGTTGGAGATCTTCAATTTGACACACTCGATTTCAATGTTGTACTTCTTGGAGGTAAATTATTTGGAAAATATAGAATTTAAAATTTCTGTTTTCATGTTCCTACAAGAATCGAATTATTTTTTATTTCAGGTAAGGTTCACGGATCTTTGGCTCGTGCTGGTAAAGTCAAGGGACAAACACCCAAGGTAAATATTTTGAATCGTTTTCAGTTTTTAATTAAAAATTTTAATTGTGCACTGTTAAATCTAAGCTATATTTTAAATTTTAACTTCAAGATATAGTTAAGAAGCAGTGCTAAAATAATGAGCAAATTAAAGTGAAATTAAGTTGTCTATTTGGACTTAATTTTTCATCAATTTGCTACATTTGTATAACTAAGACTTAATTTTTGTTTTTCAAATATTTAAAATACTTAACAAAATTATTATTATAAAATAAGGAAGTTTTTTTTAAATATTTTAAAATTATTTACAAATATAAAACAGGGTTTGGGGAAATTGTCTTAAAAAAAAAAAATTGATTCACAGGTAGAAAAACAGGAGAAAAGTAAGAAGAAAACTGGACGAGCAAAAAGGCGCATTCAGTATAATCGAAGATTTGTAAATGTAGTACAAACATACGGTCGCCGACGTGGACCAAATGCCAATCCTAATTCATAAATTAATTAATTTTTTACTGCTTCTCGTATGTGTAATATTAATAAGCTACTATAAATATTGTGTTATGTATAATATTTGATAATACACATTGCGTCAAGCAGAAAGAAGATTTTTCTTCATACCTTGAAATTAATAATTTTTTTTTCATAAAAAAATTTAATTAAAAATTTAAATGTTCTTCATTTAATTCTAAGTCTTATTTCATTCTCATAAAGAATTTTTTAATTAAAAAAAAAATAAAAGAAGCTTCAAAATTTATATACATTTTTTTAAAATATAAAAATGACTCTTTTATATATTGAATTTTCATTTGTAATTTAGTTAAAGGGAAAAATATTGGTTAGTATATCAAATTTTATTTTTTTAATACTATTAGTTAAAAGGGTCACGTTCTTTACATTTATATTTTCTGCGAGCACTTTCCAGTATGTTCAAATAAGAATAGTTCCATTTTTAAACAATTTTAAAAATAGAATTCTACTTTAAATTGTCGTACTAAATTACACAAGTTATTTGAAATTCGCGACTAAAGTTTAGAAACTATCTAACAAACTAAACGCGAAAAAAATATTTTACTTACTTTTGGTTACATTATTCAAGAGAATGAAAAAAAAAAAGTTTTACTTCCTAAAATAACATTCCTGAAATACCTTTATATATAACGTTTGGAAACATTTTTATTCTAATTTAATTTAAATTTTGACAATTTTAATAATTTAAAAATTCTAATATATTCCTCAAATTTTTAACTATTATTTAATAAAGCCAAGAATAGTTATTCGAAATAATAAGATTCCGCGGAATTATACAAACTCTTCAAGTTAATCTCACATTCGCTTTCTCTCTAATTTCTATATTAAAATATAATAGCATTTCAAGAGATAAAATTAAGTAACTGAATTAATGTCTTCCAAGTGTGAAATGAAAATATTTGATTTCAAACTATAAATACGAGAAAATAACAAAAGTTAAAATAAAAAATTTATTTTAACTATAGACAAAAAAATATACTAAATATATATATATTATTCAATAATTATTTGCATTAAAATAAAAAAAAAAATTAATTTCAATTTAATGAAATGAAAAAAAAGTAAAGAGTACATTTTTTTTTCATTTTACACAGTGAAAAAAAAAAATTTGTGCATTATACACGAGAGGTAATTTTTTTTCTCCACAAAACCGCGAAGTAATAAAGAGTTGGAAATTAAAAATTTTAAACGTGTTAAAACATAAGTGGATATTTCAGTACGAGTGTCACGCTGTTGATAAATGGGCGGTCTACCATACATTTTTAAACTGAAGTATCCACTTATGCGTTAACATGGAAAAAGAATTTTTTTTTACAAATGCATAAAACGACGAATTATTTTATTTATAAAAAATAATAATAAATGAAAACTCATTTTCATATATAATATATCGTTATTAAAAATTTATCTAGTACTATTTTTGATAAAATATATGAAAATCTGTATATATCTCGCGAAAAATGGCATACATAGTTATTGATTAATTTTAATTATAATTATGACAAAAATCTTTACAAATTTTCCACAAGTAATTTTTAATTAAATATAAATCAAAAATAGAATTTTTAAGTTTATTAACCAAATATCGATAAAGGATAATGTTATTCTTTTATACATATAATATCGAACATTATATATTCATTTTATGATATGCGCGGTAATATTTTACGAGGCCTTTGGCCGTTTAATGAAAAATTTTCCATTTTTTAATTTCTGAAACTGATATATGTGAGGGATATGCGTCTGCATAAAAAGGGTCCATTTTATCGATTTTCAATATAATCCTCAAAAAAAAAAAAAAAAAAAAAAAAAAAAATGTTCAAACTAATATTAAAAAACAATTATTATTAGAAATTGTCCTTTTTTTACGAGAGCATAAACAGATATTTAAAAATGTCATAAAATATTAACATTAAAAATTTTTTTTATACAGCAAAATAATTATATTGCAATACTTTTGATATCTCAAAAAATTATTTTTCAATCTTTTTTCCTCTCTCTCTCGCGTTACTTTTCTATATAATTGTCACGTAACAAAATATTTACGTTATAAAAAAAAAAAACATTTCATCCCCCAAAGGGTTTCATGATTTTTTTTTATATTATCATATTTTTACATAATATTTGTTGAAAAAAAATTTTTTTTTTGTAATTAAAAAAATTGTTCAATATAAAGTAAAAATAAATTAATAAACAATTGTTTAAAAATTTTAATTATGTGAGAGAAAAATTTTCGAATAAATATTGATTTAATTTCATTTCAAAAAGACCCATTGAAAAAAAAGTGGGCACATGGTCGCGTGATTGAAGTTGATTAGAGGGGAAAAAATGCAGAAAAAAAAAAATTCTCTATATAAAATGCGTAACACTCGCTTTTCTATAATAAATAAAACTCTACCATAAAAAAGGCATTAATCCGTAAAAGTGTTCATTTTGACCCCGAAAGTCCTGGAAATATCAGAGAGTTTTATCGGCCAACATTACCAGTTACAAAGTAGGTCGGTCGACCAAAAACGTTTCAGGATTGGTTTATATAGTTTTAGCTTTTCGACCATTTTTCTCTCGACAATTTTTTCCTTTTGAATTTATTGACAATTTTTTTTTTCACATAGAACGCATATTTTGCTATATATTTTTTTTTTACAAAGCAAAACGGCTTTTCCGCTTTTCTTGAAAATCCCTCTTCATTCCTTTTCACCCTCACAGAGTCAATCCTACGCTATTTTTTTTCTTCCCCTATAAATATGCTTTTTGCACCTTTTACTACTTTTCTTCTTCTTCTTTTCGTCTTTTTTTTTTTCTTTTTTTTTTTTTTTACTAACACAAACGGGTACCTCTTGAAATTCAGAGTGAATCATATTAGTGTGGAATTCATAACTCGAATAGAAGTACGTGACTGTGAGTCTAATGCTCACAAATCTACGAATCAAAGCACAAAATCCGAGAGAGAATCAAATACCCAAAGAAATTTAAGGGACACGGATGATGTTTTCCTCTCTCGTATATTGCGATCAGAGAGAAAGAGAGAGCCGCGCTCTTTTAACCTTTATTCAAGGGGAAAAGTATATAGACATAGTGATAAAAAAAAGAAGAAAATATATATATATATATATATATATATATATATATGTAAAAATTATATTACCAGAAAAATGCGAGAATAACTAAAACAGATTTGTTTTATCTATCAAATCATAAAATCACAATAAATCATAAATAGGTTGAATATGAAATTATTATTATACTATTTTTTTATTATTATTATTATTATTATTATATTTCTTTATTATTTTATTATTTAAATTGTGTATTTTAATATAATATTTTTTTAATGTAATTAATCGATAAATAAAAATATAAATAATTTTTTATAAAAATTATTTTATTTATAGCGAAATTTTTTTTTAATTTAAAAATCTTTTATTTAATTTTTTTGAAGGGATTAGCTATATATATATTTTTTTAATTAAACGAAAGAAAAATTTCTTATTCTCATAAATTAAAATGTAAAATATTTTTTCTTATAAAGATGGTCCCCCTTTTTTTTATGCATTTAATATTCATAAAAAGTGATATTTTAATTTAGTTGACGAGTAAAGAGTTTAATAACTTATTTTTTCTCTCTAATACGGATAATAAAAAGTATATGATTATAATAAAATTTTGTAATATTTTCAATATATATATATATACGAGGTTAAATATTACATTACAGTATTATATTTTACTATGCAATTTCTATGGCTACACATTATATTTGCTTTGTATCATGTACATGGAAACTTCTTTGCTAACGCTGACAGTCTGACATATTATAGTAGATTTCAGAGATTATTAAGAATTATATAGATGATTACAAGATAAAAGAAAAAATTTCGTATATATATAATAAACGTGTTGGATTTTATATAATTATATACTTATACAATATAAAATTGGGATTCAAGATTTATTTTCAAAATAATAATTTTTCTTTTATGTTTATAATTTGAAACATATATATTTTATGTGATCGACAAAAAAAAACATTTCAAGAAAGAAATCTCCGTTCAATGAAAAATAGCGCAAATAATAATAACATAACAAGCAATTTAGTACTGGAGAATATATATATGTAGCAATAATGTAACTTGAAAATTTATGGCTTTTACTCAAAATAAATCGGTTGACCTATTTAAAAAGAGTCGAATATCAACAATGTTTTTTTATTATTATTTTTGTATACCAATAAAAAAAAGTTAATTCGTTATCGTTCGTATATCACGAAAAAGTTTTTTAATATATATCAATATACTGTAAACAAATATTTTTCTGTTTGACATGTAAAGAAAAAGGTTTTTCAAAATGAAATTATTTATTTTGATTTTTAGAATATTGGTCAATTTTTAAAAAAAATTAATTTAAAACATATTGGGTTTATTAAAAAAAAAATGGAAATGAGAAATCATTTTTTAAAATTAAGTGGAAAAAATTTATTTGAATCAAATAATCGGTTTTTTGACTTGAAAAAAAAATTATTTCATTCAAATAATCGGTTACTTTATTATCAAATAAATATTTATTTGTATCAACTAATTATTTTATTTTTTTTTTGAAATACAAAAATTATTGGTTCAAATTCAATTTATTTAATGCAAATAAAAATTATTTTATTCAATTAAATATTTATTTGATAATAGTTAAGTAATCAAGTATTTGAAGCAAATAAATTTTTTTTTTTAGTGTATTATCAAATAAATATTATTTGAGCCAATGGTATTTGTTGCAAATACAAAAATTATTGGTTCAAATACAATTTATTTAATTTAAATAAAAATTATTTGATTCAAGTAAATATTTATTTGATAATAGTCAAGTAATCAAGTATTTGAAACAAATAAATTGTTTTCAGTGTATTATCAAATAAATATTATTTGAGCCAATTATATTATAATTTATTACATTTATTGCAAATACAAAAATTATTATTGGTTCAAATATAATTTATTTAATGCAAATAAAAATTATTTTATTCAATTAAATATTTATTTGATAATAGTCAAGTAATCAAGTATTTGAAACAAATAAATTTTTTTTCAGTGTATTATCAAATAAATATTATTTGAGCCAATGGTATTTGTTGCAAATACAAAAATTATTGGTTCAAATACAATTTATTTAATTTAAATAAAAATTATTTGATTCAAGTAAATGTTTATTTGTTAATAGTCAAATAATCAAGTATTTGAAGCAAATAATTAAAAAAAAAAATTTTTTTAATATTATTTGAGCCAATTATATTATAATTTATTGTATTTATTGCAAATCCAAAAATTATTATTGGTTCAAATATAATTTATTTAATGCATATAAAAATTATTTAATTTAATTAAATATTTATTTAATAATAGTCAAAGTAACCGAATATTTGAATCAAATAAATTTTCAATCAGTGTAATCAACTAATTGGATATTTGGTTTATAAAAAAAATGAAAAATGGATATAAAAATTAATTATTATATTACTACTACTCAAATAGTTATTGTATATCAATTTCTAATTAACTAATGATTATATAACATTAATAATATATTAATAGTATAATAATAATAATTACATTTTGAAACCATATATAAATATCAATAATTTTCAGAAAACACGAAAACTGAAAATTGGATTTCGAAATAAATTTATTACACGAAAAGGCAGTTTTATTAGAAAAAAAGGGGCCAATTTTCTCCCCCTTTTTTCATTACTAGCGATAAATTTAAAATAAAAGGAAAATTAAAAGAAAATTTTCCAGATGAATTTTGCTTTTTGGAAGCCCGAAATGGAATCACCCAAGAGTGATAGGGTGGGACGAGAGAAACCCCGAAAGATGGAAATTCAGCAGGAAGGGGATGATCGGGGGGGTGTGGGTGGTTGGGAGGAAAAGAGGGGGGGGGGAGGGAGAGAAGGAAGCATAGAGAGCAGAAGCGAATCGAGAGGAGGGAACATAATCGGGGAAGAGAGAGAGAATGAGGAAGATAAAGAGGCAAAGAGAGATCGCGAGAGAGCGAGAGAGAAAATGAGAGAGGGGGTTGAAGTTAGAAGAGGAAAGGGTCGGTTTGTTCGTAGGGCGGCCGGCCGGCCAGTCGTGCAATCGCGGCGACATCGGTCGCACATTTTTCCGCGATGATGACCAAACACTTTCTTTTTTCATATATATTAAAAAAACATTTTTTTTAACACTCAAAATCATTAAATATGCACTCCCCAAAACGTCGATAAATACCTTAGAAAGCAGTAAACTAGGTCAACCAAAAAAAAAAAAAAAAAACCAAAAGAATATTTTGCAAAAAAAGTTCTTTTTCTTTTCATATTCATCGTCGAGGAAAAAAAAAAAAATAAATCCAGATCAATTTAATGGGGATAATATTTTCACCCGAGGGAAAAAGTTTCAAATAAAGTCACTTTTCCCGGTTGAAAATTCAAAGTTAATGTGTTTAAAAATGAAGTGATTAAGTGATTTAAACAAGATCAAAAGATGAACGATAGGAAAAAAAGTCAACTACATTTTTAAAAGCGCGGATTTTTTTTTCAAATTTCCATAAAAATGTATTTTATGAAAAAAATTTAAATTCCAAAAAAAAAGGGTAAAAAAAATACAAGAGTTTAAATTGTCCGGAATTGTATACATATATATATATATATATATATATATATATATGAGTACGAAATTTCAGTCAAGAGGATTTCATTTGAGCGAAATCAATTTGAAGAGACTTAATTTCATCGATATAAACATAAAAGGAACCGGGACAAATTCCAGATGACCTGATTTAAACAAAAGGGAGAGAAAGAGAGTGAGTCTAATTGATACAAACTCAAAAGGACTCCTTGTAATGATTATCAGATAAAATACAACAAAAAAAAAAAAATTATTTTTCACTCAAAAAAAATGATACATTGAAAATACAAAAATAAATTTCAAAAAGAAGATTATTTGTTACAAACAATTTTTTTTGTCAATTTCACAGGGGACAAATTTATTTTAGAAAAAAAAATTTATTATGGATTTGATGAGAGGAGGAAAAAAAAAGAATGGATAAGAAAAAAAATCCCAAGGGGAATAGTCTCGACAAAAAAAAAAAACAACAGAAGAATTCCAATCATGTAAAAATTGAGGGGGGTGAAGAATATAAAACTTCCAGGGGAATAATAATAATAGTCGAAGAACAAAATTGTTAGCTAAAAAATAAACGAATTTAAAAAAAAAATGTTTTTCCAAAAAGTAAAAAATTTATCAAGGAAAAACAATTTGTGCAAGGATAAATTTTTGGAGGGAATTCTCTCTGTAGTCATAAATTTGAAAGGAACAAATACTTCAAGTATATAAATTCCCTGAAAACGAATATATACTTCAAAGTATAAATTTTGTGGGAACAAATATATATATATATATTCACTGGAAAGTTTAAACTTGGAACATAAATACTCTAGGTATAAATTTGAAGAGAGGACAAATTCACAAGTAATAGAGATCACCTCAAATAAATCTCAGAAAGGATTAAAAAAAAATGGTTAAAAAAGAATGAAGAAAATTGATAAGGATTAAAAAAAAAATAGAGAGAGGGGAATGTGAATGGGATGAAGGTGATGAGATGTGATCTTGAGTCGATAGGGGTGTGTATAGTTGAAAGTAAAAGCCACGAGGGTGACGCGCTGAACAGCGTGCCAAGGGATCTATTGATTTGTTTTTGTTGTATGAGACCCACTGACCGCGTCGAATGTGTGTCAGTAATCCTGGAAAGGGAACATGAAATCCTAATCATGTTGTTTTCATCATTATTATTGAATTATCGAATATTAACAATAATGACAATTTATGGGAGATATGGATTTCATTTTGGTAGTGAAACCATGAGAAATTCATCTCATATAACAAATCTCAAAAATCAATTGATTTTTCTAAATCTTTATAGGAATCATTATTTTGATTGTCCTGCGCTACTAATTGGAAGTAAATCGCTGATTTAGAATTTCCAATGACCTTCTATCAATAGTCGATTTATTGACCTGACTTGATTTAACACAGATGCTGAAGAGCATCTCTCACTTGATTCTCAAGCACTCACTCTGTACCAACTCTCCCGTTATCAATTGTCACTCGAAGCACCGGGTGGCTTATTGTTGAAACCTTTAGAGACAACACGCGTTGTCTGCTAATGAGCGAGGCGAAATTAGGAAACTAACAAGGGAGAGCCAGTATATGAAATGAGCAATGATGACGAGGGTTTTGAGACACGGGAAATGGGGCATGAATTAGAACTCATTTGGTAAAGTGTTGCGCCTAAAGAGGGTTACAAGAGGTTCAAGCGGGGTCGAACGAGTAAGAGGAAAAACGTCAACTAAAAAAAAAAGAATTAAGGAAGATTCATCATTTCTAATTAACGATATCGAAATCTTTATTTCAAATCTAATTTCCAAGATATAATTCCAAGTTTATCTAATTTGACACTAACATCCGTCCTGTGATTAACCGGAAGGGTTACCTGATGTTTAAAATCAGATTCAGAGGAAATTAAGGATTCAGGCGAAATTATAAATTTCATTTAACTCGGATATAGCTTTTGCATTTTGTGAATATACAAAGTCCAGTCTTAAAATCTCGGGTAAAAAAGGTTTATTTCAACGAATATTTCCTTCAATGAGGGGGGAGAGGAAAATAACATACTCTCCTCTCTCTCTCACTCACTCTCTCTCTCATGACCTCGGTTGAGTCTAAATCGATAACGCACACTACTAGCTGAAAAGCATCGTTTTACTGGCAAAGATTAGCTCCAGGGAAACAATTCGATACGCTTGAAATTCATCAGCAATTATCGTATCCTGAGGAAAGAGAATCCCCTGGCAACTGACGCCAGAAAGCATCCAAGCGGCTCTCTCTAGACCCTTGAAACTTGAGATTTGATTTCGATTCATTAAAAATTGCCCGAGCTTATTTTTTTTTTCCAGGGTGTTACTAAGTAAATCAAAACTTAGATAACCAACTCAATTTTCATTTATTAAATGGAGCGATGAGATAAAAAAAATGGGTCAACAATTATTGAATTAGATCCCTTTTTTTTAATTTGCAAAAATGATTGTTTTAAATTTTATTGTCATTAATTTAATGATAATCCAAGTTGTCGACATGGCTCTGTCGCCAAAAGTGCCTAGCGAAAGGGAAGCTATCTTGATTCAGGGTGATGTGGTACTAGGTGGTTTATTTCCGGTGCATGAGAAGGGTGTTTCCGCCTGCGGTCCAAAGATTTACCATAGAGGAGTTCAACGTTTAGAGGCAATGCTCTTTGCGGTTGATCAAATTAATCATGAGACAAAAATTTTATCACAAACTACACTTGGTGTACATATATTAGACACTTGCAGTAGAGACACATACGCCTTGAATCAGAGCCTTCACTTTGTGCGTGCCTCATTATCAAATTTGGATTTGAGTGTTCTTGAATGTGCTGATAAATCATTGCCAAGGGTGAAAAAAACAGTCAATACTGGAACAATATTTGGTGTTGTTGGTGGTTCATATAGTTCGGTTACACTTCAAGTGGCTAATCTTTTGAGATTATTTCATATACCACAAATATCACCAGCATCAACAGCATCGGCATTAAGTGATAAGACAAGATTTGATTATTTTGCACGAACAGTACCACCAGATACTTATCAATCAATAGCACTTGTTGATGTTGTTAAAAGTGCTAATTGGTCATATGTATCGACAGTTTATTCTGAGGGTTCTTATGGAGAATATGGAATTGAGGTATTCACAAAGGAGGCAATCAACAGAAATGTTTGTATAGCGGCTGCTGAAAAAGTGCCAAGCACTGCTGATGATATGGTCTTTGATGGGATTATTCAGAAGTTAACCAAGAAGCCTAATGCAAGAGCTGTGGTATTATTCACAAGAGCTGAGGATGCAAGGAAGATTTTGGAAGCCGCAAAAAGAGCTAACTTGACCCAGCCTTTTCAATGGATTGCAAGCGATGGTTGGGGTAGGCAAATGAAGTTAGTCGAGGGTTTAGAGGAAGAAGCCGAAGGTGCTATCACTGTTGAATTACAGTCAAAGGATATTCCAAAATTTGATAAATATATGGCATCATTAACGCCTGAAAATAATAAAAGAAATCCTTGGTTTGGAGAATATTGGGAGGAGGTTTTTGGTTGTGTTTTAAGGAAAAATATTGGTAAAACGAATAATAAAAGTGTTCAAGAATGCGATCCTGATTTAAGACTTACGCCCGAATTGGGCTTTGTTCAAGAATCAAAGGTGCAATTTGTTGTGGATGCTGTTTATGCATTTGCTTTGGCTTTACATAATCTTCAAAAAGACATTTGCAAAAGAAGCGTGGGATTGTGCAATGAAATGATCACTTACGATAGGGGCCAGTTTTATAAGAAATATCTTCTCAACGTGTCATTTATAGGTGAGTATTATAGTTTTATTAAAAATTAATAATTTTGTTTCATCTCTACAATAAATCTGTTTCAAACAAAATGTTTCTTGTTATATCAATGAATTATTTTTGTAACTTATTAAAAAGAAAAAGCTTTATAAATATTTTCTCGAAAGACTTCTTTATAATATTAAAAGTATACGATATTTTATCCTGAATTTTCTTTAGTACTGTAAATAAAGTGTATAAAAATATAACTAATACACCATTGAAAAGAAGTTTTCTGTGCTTCTATTGTTAGAGGGAAAAAAATGTCATTCGTAGTTCCTCTCATTATTCCACTTTTTTAACCGATATATATAATAATTTGGAAAAAACACGCATTCTTCGATGAAAAGAAAAACATCGAGAATAAAAATAAAAAGTATCAATGGATTTTTAATATTGTTTCCAATAATAATAATAATAATAATAATAATATTTGAAACAAATGAAATGATTTTCCACGGTGCGCCAGAAGGAGGTTTAAATAAAAATGAATTGGCACTTAAAAATTCTTTTTGATTATGGTTCTAAGATGAATAAAAAACTTTTCTCAATAGGTTTTAAAATCAGCTTACATGCCCAATTTGAAACAAATTGAGTTTTAAATATTTAAAAATAGTATTTTATGAAGAACAAGCATTTATTTAATGTATACTTATATGCGTATAGATAATAGATGTTTCAGATTTGGGTTGATATAAATTTATTAACAATGAAGTTATTTTCTTGTTTCGTTTTTATATTTATGCATTAAGAGTGTCGAACGGTATCTGAAATTCTTTGGCAAGAATAGAGCTTTAATTATCGCTCTGAACGTGAAATAGTATTGATTTTAAAATACTTTTTTCTCGAAACACGAACACTTTTAACAAAATTAGCCAAAATCCTCATCTTATAAATTTCCTAAATCCAAAAGACTGTACGAATCCATAGAAAAACATGGTTGCAAAACAAAAAGTAGAAAAGTAATCTAATAACAGCTGCGACTTTGTGCGCTCTGCATGCTGCTGCCATCTGACGGCGGCAGGAGGTAATGAACCCCTCATTATATTACTTTTCGTTTTGCAATCGTGTTTTTGTATGGATTCGTATAATCTTTAGGATTTAGGAAATTTATATAAGATAAAGATCTCTAGCTGCTTTTTTAAAAATTGTCCGTTTTTCGAGAAGAAAGTATTTTAAAATCAATGTTTATCATTTTCACGTTTAATTTCGTTTTTATAGAGCGATAATTAAAGGTCTCTTCTTGCCAAAAAATTTCAGAGATCATTCGACTCTTTTAAATAAATTTTGTCACTCTTAACATCGTTCTTTTAACATTATAATTTAATTTTTTAAAATCGGACACAAACACTACAGCAATATAATTAGTTATATGTAAAATTGAAAATAAGTAATTATTTTATCATTTATTACAGTATTTATTAGATTAAATAAATTTTGATTCCCCATAAAACACTGTTTTTATATAAAAACTCAATTTTATTTAAATCGGGCAGGTAAACTGATTTTAAAAACTATTGAGAAATATTTGTTATTCATTTAAGAATCATAATCAAAAAGAATTTTTAAGTGCCAATTCATTTTTATTTAAACCACCTTCTGACGCACCGTGTTTCCCCCATTTTTATCTATTCAAAGAAATCAAATTTTTCATTTATCAAATAATTTAACTTTTCTCTCAATAATCTATTTTATTTATTAAAGATTTTCTATGTCATAAAAAAAAAAAAAAATGGTACTGACAATTCAGTATATCATGGCAATAGGGGGAAGAGAAGTTAGTGGGAACGTTTCACAAGAAAAGGCTGATTCATTGAGGTGAAATTTGTGGATAGCCATCGATCACTCAAGTTTAACTTTGATCACTTCTCCTACTTGAAATAGCAAGGAAGCTCATGGGGAAGATAAAATTTTTGGAGAGTGAGAGAGGGAGATTTTAGTTCCTTGTATACGAGGCGAGTAAAGGGTTTGACCTAAATTATCTCTGGGTGCTCGGAATACATTGAAAGTGAAGTCCAGATAGTTGAGAGTAAATGGATACACCGCAAAGATGAAATGTAACACTTTTCAAGTATCTAACACTCTCTGACTGCTTTTTCCCTGCAATGTATAACTGAGTGTTCATCTATAAAGGATCTCGTTCAAATAAAATCATTTTTCAAAATCGTATCATATTTTCTCTTTTCACCAGACACAATATGTTTGGATTTTTATTTTATATAAATATAAAATATTGCTTTGGTTTTTGTTTCTATTAATTTTGGTAAAAATGAATTCCTTTCTAAAAAAGAGACCCTATTCACATATACCGTCTAGGTGCAAAGACCTATACTAGGGTTAACGTTCCGGAACGCAACCATTAGCTGAAGTCAAAATTAATATGGTGCTAGAATTTCTTTTAAATAATTTTTCATATACTACTATTTATAATTTTAAATAGTTATTATTTTTCAATATTTAAAACAGTGGATTAATTTTGTTAATCGCTTTATAATTACATCAATATCTGATATACAAAAATTCGAGAAAAAAACTTACTTTGAACAGCAACTCACTATCTGCAGGAGTACTCCAAAAGCCACCTTTCCTTCAAAGAACCAGTCACCTAAAAATTAAAAAAAAAAACTATTTTATATAAAAACTCCAAAAATAATATATTTTAGAACTATTTTTTCTCGGTTTTATCCTGAAATTTTTTTAATATTTATCAAATTATTTTCACACTGAAAAAAAAATTCTGGTTAGGGTATATTTAACATTACTTTCTAGTTATGTTAACCAGAATTCTAGTTGAATTAACTAGAATTCTCGTTAAAATAACCAGAATTCTGGTTAACCTAACAAGAATCAAAATGTTAAATATACCTTAACCAGAATTCTGGTTATTCTAACTAGAATTTTTTTTCAGTGCATATCAAATAAAATATTCTTTCAAATTATCCAGGAAGTCCTGTTTCTCATTTAACAATATAACAATTATATTCAGTAAAAATAAAATTTATCTATATGTAAATTTTATAATATGAAAAATATTCTTCTTTTCTTAATTAACATATTAAAACATATTTTCCAATTTCTCTTATTGTTACTTAAAATGTTAGCGCGAGATGAAATGAGGTGAATTTAAAGATGAAACTTTATGGCTCGAAATAAAGGTTTTCCGCGCAATAAGAAAAAAAAGTGCATCAACGATGTAAATAAAATATTTATGTACATATACTTTAAATGCAAAAAAAAAAAAAAGAAATTAGCTTCCCTTTGTTCCATATTTTTGATATTATATATGTTATACATATATTTTCAACTCAATCGATCTGAATAAAAATATTTTACATTTAACTAAAATGAACTGGGGTACAATGGAAAATAAATTTAATTTGCGAAAATCCTTTTGTTCTCTCCGCACGATATATATATATTTGATAAAAGTCAAATATTCAATATTTCATTTTTAAATTAATTGCGAGAATTTTATAGAATTTATTTAGGCAAATTAATGAATACTATATAGAATTTTTTTTTTGTTTTATTAACTACATAGTATATTTTTTTATTAACTGAAGTAACTAAACTAATTAAGTTAAAATAAACGTAAAACTAAATCTTTATTTTATTAACAAAAAAATAAACATAAAAAGCTACATGTGTTTTAAAAAAATTTTATTTAATAATTAAAATTCTATTCTAAATTTGCAAATTTTAATTCGAACACTAGAGGAAAAAAAAAATATATAATCTTTTGAAAAAAGTTTCATTTAATTAAGAAAAAAAAAAGGAGGAAAATTAAGGGAGCAGAGACCAATTGTCTCATTTTTAACCTTAACAATATAAAAGTAATTTTCTACCTAACAAATTTTTTACAAGCAGATGTAATTACAGTGAATGTCTTGTATTGTATTTCAGGAGGTTAAGAATTTCTCATTACATCCTAGAAACAATGAAACGAATCTCTTCAGGTTCTTTCGAGCTTTACAAATTTCGAATAAAACTTTCTAAGCTTAAAATTATATATACAATTTGGATTAAAAGCCTCCGATCCATAATCACTATAAATATTAACATTATTTTAATTATTATTATTCAAAAATTGTTTATAAAATATTTCATTAAAGATAATTATTACATAAAAAAATAAAAATAGAAAAGTGTTAATAAGAGAAAATAATTTACAATCACTAGAAAATTGTAAATGAAAAGTTAAATTTAAAATATTTTTATGTTTAAATAAACGATGATTTATATACGCAATGATTATAATATATATCTATATATTATAATGTCCGGGCTTTCAAGTTGTAAACTGAAATTATTGAATTTAATCTCTCGTTCAACAACTGCGCGCGAGTTTTAATATCAGACACGGTAATTCCTACGAGATATGTAAGTACTGTGGATGTTTTATATACCCTTATAATCCGACATTGCTCAGTGTTATATACCAGAAGCATCTCATTTCGTAAATCGAAATATTATTTCACGTTTGTTATTTTTTAGGGGAAAAAAAACAAACAAAAAAAATTTAGTTAAAATGCGAACAAAATAAAATTTCATTTAATTAAAACTCGTAATTTAAAGTACGAGGTTTTTTTTCATTTAAATTGAAAATATAACGAATCTACGCATATATAAAAAGAAAAAGGAATTTTAATAAAACATGTTTTAAAACTATTTTTTAATTTTCTATGTGAATAACTGATTTTATTTAAAATTGTAAACAATGTAAGTAATAATTTTATATTGCCTTTTTTTTATTCGAAAAGGAAAAATTGACAAAAAAAAAATTTATATATACAACTTGAAAAAGATGATTTAGTCGATAAATAAATTTTCATTGCGAGGTCGACCTTGTCAGAAATAGTTCTTAGTATCCAATGGAATTTAACGTTTGCATAAATATAAAAATGCATTTTATGGACGTATGTTGATCGTTTAAACAACTATGTGAATTGGTTTAAAAAAAAAAATATATATATATATATATAGTTGATATATCGATTATATATTGCTATCCAACATGAGATATAGAATGTGTGCAGTAAATATCGTCTCTCTTTATCGTCTTCCAGTTCAGCAGATTTACTATAATTTATTTTTTGGAAATCCAGCCTTTTATTTGCCACGTTGTACAGTGAGTATATAAGTCACTTTATAACGGAAGTGAAATGATGATGATACATATACACACAAAATGTTGTCAAGAAGTCAGAGAGAGAGAGATGAAAATGCAGAAAGAAAAAACGGTATACGGTGGTGAAAAATTTTATATGATAACAAAAAAGGTTTTTGGGGTCGCACAAAAATTCCCAAAAAAAAGAAAAGAATTGGCAAATAAATCTCGAGATATAAAAGATTCTTCTCGAGGTAGCAAAAAAAATTGTTATCCAAAAAAAATTTTAATTATTAAATTTTCTCATTTTTACTTTATTTAACCCAAACCTTGTAATTTCAGGCGTTAACTGTAACCTTGTAATTCGATCAAAAACTTTTAGTTTATAATTATGTTACAGACGATGCGGGAAGTGAGGTAAAATTCGATGAGCACGGTGATGGACTCGCACGCTACGAGATTCTCAATTTCAGGAAAATGAATCTCAGCAGTAATAATGGATATCACTATAAGGTGCGAATTAATTAAAAATTTAACAATCTAAAATTTAATTTATATAAATTAAAGATATTTCAATGAAAAAAAAAAATATTTAATTTTAAACAATTTGTAAATTTATAATACGATTTATATATATATGTATATTGATTGCTTTTGTACAATTAATATAAATTTTGTTTCATTCAAAGGTAAAAGTTGAAACAAATTTTATATTTGAATTAGTAAAATTTCACTAAATATCATTATAAACTTCAAAGGGAATAAATGACCTTTCAGAATTATGTATATATATATATATCTCAATCAAGGAAAATTCCACTTGGAAATCAGTGGAAACATCATTGAAATTTCAGTGACTGAACTATCGGTAAATCAATGTGCTCATACACTGTGTATTCATTGATTTAACTAGTTTAAAGGCGAAAAAAACATTTGAATTAGGATTTCAAAAACATTTTACAAAGTTGTTTACGATATTTAACAAGGGCTATTTAAAAAAAAATTATCATTTATCGGACTTGTGGGTTTGGTTTTAACAACAGAATTGGTATTTAAACCACAAAGAAAATTAAAAGGCATTAAAACAAGCTACAACACTTATTATTTTAATCTAATTTTGCTTATTTTAATACCAAAATGAATTAAAATAAGCAAAATTGGATTAATATAATAAGCTTATTTTAATGCCTTTTAATTTTCTGTGCATTTGTTTGTTGCCTCAAACAAAAATTTTGATTATCCGAACCAACAAAAATGCTTTTCTAAATTCAGTTGTGTCAACAAAAGTTTGGAGACAACAAATGGTTTAAATAACAATAATTTTGTTGTCAAAAACCAAACCCAAAATGTAAACCTTGATATAAGGAAATAATAAATCTAATCTCCAAATAGTCGTTATTAGATTGAAGGAAACAAATGTTTTTTCTCGCGTGTCATTTCCTTTGAAATCGATTCCTCCTGATCGAATTCACCTTTTCACAAAAGAAGAGAGAGAAAGAGTTTAAATCACTTTGAAAAACCACTGAAACATCTATTTTCAGAGCACTTTGACTTGTGATCGAAGGAACGAGAGAGAATCTCGCAATAAATCTTGCGCCTAACTGAAAGCTCACTTATCCTCATGAAAGATCTTTTACACTTTAAAATCCCTAAAAAATTACGAGTTTCCAGGTGCCTTTTTGTGATAATCGATCACTGTCTATCCATCCTTCTCTCTCTCTCTCTCTATATATATATAAGCTTCCACTTGCAGAATCAACCCTCTCTGGAGCAATAATAGCAATCGTTCATTTCCGTTTGCAATTCCTGAATTATTCATATAGTCTCGATTTTGCAGGTGGTGGGCAAGTGGGTTAGTCTTAAATCCCTCGACATTCGAACAGATGAACTAATTTGGGCACGTGGTGCAAAAGATATGCCAATATCAGCGTGCTCATTACCCTGTGAACCAGGCATGATTAAGAAGCAACAGGGTGACACTTGTTGCTGGGTATGCGACCAATGTGAAGAATACGAATATGTTTTTGATGAAATGACATGTAAAGATTGTGGTCCAGGTAGATGGCCGCATTCTAATAAAAAAGGTTGCTATCAATTGCCCATCAAACATATCAGATGGACAAGCGCATTTGCAATAGTGCCTGCTGTTATATCATGTTTGGGAATTATAACAACACTTGCTGTTGCTGGATTACTATTTAAACATCGTGACACACCAGTTGTTAGAGCATCCGGAAGAGAATTGACCCTTATCCTCTTAGCTGGAGTTCTGGTTTGTTATCTCAATACATTTCTCCTCTTGGCAACACCAACCACAGCCACATGCATCCTTCAGAGATTTGGCGTTGGGGTCAGTTTTAGTGCTGTTTATGGTGCTCTATTAACCAAAACTAATAGGATTGCAAGGATTTTCGATTCAGCAACAAGATCAGCTGTCAGATTAAGGTACATCAGTCCCACATCGCAAGTATGCATCGCCGCTGCTCTCATTGCATTTCAGGTTTGTTATTTCTATTATAATATTTGATAAAATTAAAAAAAAATACGGTTAATTCGCGATATCGGTTTTTTTTCCAGCGAAGTGGATTGCCGCATTGTTATAGTTGTATTTGTTGGGGGATTAAACAGCTCAGCTGGTGGCTTATATTAGCATGCAAATGTGATAATCTTTTTTTTTCCAGTTATATTTCCTGATTGTACAATACACGGTTTTCCATTCCACAAAATTACGTTGATTAATAGTCCAATTTCATTTTCAAATATCAGTTGCGATTTATTTGAAAAATAGTCTTTTCAAAAAAAAACTACTTTTATCCACAGGGATTAAAAAAAAATTATATGAATCTCCTTTTTTCTCTATTTTCATTTCGAAAATTCTATTTTTTAACAAAAATTCTTCAGGTGGTGTTGACATTGGTTTGGATGATTGTGGAACCACCGGGCACACGATACTGGTATCCTGATAGAAGAGAAGTGATTCTCAAATGTAATATTCAGGACATGAGTTTTCTCTTTTCACAACTTTATAATGCAACCTTGATCCTTGTATCTACAATATACGCGGTAAAAACGAGAAAAATTCCTGAGAATTTCAACGAGAGTAAATTTATTGGATTTACAATGTATACAACATGTATAATTTGGTTGGCTTTTGTACCAATATACTTTGGTACTGGTAATGCCCACGAGACACAAATCACAACACTTTGTGTGGCTATAAGCCTCAGTGCTTCAGTAACTTTAGTCTGCCTCTATTCTCCTAAAGTTTACATAATCATCTTTCAGCCAGATAAGAACATTAGAGGAAAAGTTACCATGGGAGGCAGTACGTTTAAGAAACAATACAGTAGCGCTGGAACATCATCCGTATCAAAATGTAAGTCATTTGTAAATTAAATTTTTCTTTTTTTTTTACTTTTCTTTGAAAAGAATTTATCGCAATTTTAAATCTACTTTTTTATATTATCTATTTCTATTTAATTTCGATACAAAACTTAAATATAGTGTTATAAAAACCAATTTCATTAACTTTCTGCATATATAGGAAATTCAATTTCATTAGTAATAAAACAATTTCTGTCATATATATTAAAAAAAAAAAAATCCTTTTGGTTCGTTAAGATAATAGAAGTTCATTCTGCTAAAAGAATCTTCATTCTTTATAATCAACTAGCAACTTTGTCGTCCGCAAGCGGCCGACTACGTTGCTGGTGTGTATTAACCATATTTTTTATTCATTTTTTTTTCAAAAAAATTTAATATTAGAAATGTAAAAAAAAATTTCTTTATATAGGATCTACTGCCCAAGTAACACGAAATATTGCTTGAATGTCAAGCTGATATCAACCGGGAATATTTTTGTGACATTACGGGAACATTCCTCGGTGATTTATCTATGTGACGGTCTTTCACACAAAAAATGTAACGCATTACAAAACTTACATTCGACATTTATTAAACCTAAATAATTCTGTGGAACTTTACTTTCATTGAAATCTTTAAAAGACATTATTGCAACTCCTGCAGTTTTTTTATTCCAATTATCGTTTTTACATGCCAAATTCTTTTCTTGACGCACTTTCTTTTCATCTTCCGTTTCCGTAGAAAATTTTTTCTTCTTACATGACAAATTATTTTCATGACGCACTTTCTTTTCATCTTGAGTTTCCATTGATATTTTGCTTTTCCTACATGCTACATTTTTATCCTTGCGTATTTTCTTTTCATCTTCAGTTTTTATAGATAATTTCTTTTTTTTTGCATGTCAAATTTTTTTGCGCTCTTTCTTTTTTATTTCTGTTTTATTACCATTACGTTTTCTCACTTTCTCATTTTCCTGTCTTATTATTTTCTGCTCATATGTAACTTCGCGCCTTGCCTTCCTTTTTCTGTCCTTCTCTTTAATTGCTCGAATTATCTTTTTATCATTTTCTTTACTCAGAAAATTCTTCATTTTTAAATATTCATGTGGTGAAATTTTGTTCACATTATTATCAGTTGTACGAATTATTTTCTTTTCACTAGTGTCATTTAGAGAATGTTTAATTTTTAAATATTGTGTTAATAGAACTCTGTTAATATTATTACTGTGCAAAGTATTAAAAACAGAACAAGAGTTTAAAATATAATTTTTATGTTCCTAAGTTCAATTTATGAAAAGACGGTTCTAATCATTCTCTATTATCGAATTCCTATTGTGAGACGTTCTTACTGCCGGAAAATGATTTAAGCGATTATTTTCAAACATTGACTTAAAATGGTTTCAAATTTTGTTATTATCAGTTTCATAATTTACACGGTTTGGCGTTACGTGATATAATATAGATGTTGCAAATGCTATTGCATATACTTCACACTAAACACTACAAAAGGTTGTTGATTAACAGCTTCAAAAACTACTGTTGGTTTAAAAGGGAACAATCTAATTAAACATTTTATTTGATGCACATTTAAACACCCCTTATTAAGGCTATCAAAAATATAAAGCCTTAATCTATCGTAATAGACACAAATTCAGTGACAATAATTGTTAATACCGCTAAAAAGTATTTGAATATTTTTATCACCTTCTCTAATTGGGACAATAAAATCAAGCATTTGTACATACAAAGTACTTTGCATATTGAAAAAAGAATTGGAATCTTTTCTTAATAAATCTTCAAATTTGAACATATGCATGTAATTTAACAATTTCTTTCTATTGTCAATAATTTTTAAATCTTTATCACTTAAAATAACATACTCTTTTATGTTGTGCATAGTATACTTCGTTTAATTTTATTTTTGATTTATGAAAATCTAAATATCTTTAACCCTTTCGCTCACTCTCTCTAACATAAACAATTTTGTCTTTAATTCAATACAACCAATTTTACCTTTTATTAAAAATAAGCAATTTTTCCTTTAATTCAATACAATTAATTTTACCTTTTACTAAATATAACCAATTTTTCCTTTAATCCAATATAACCAATTTTGCATTTTATCCAATAAAACTACCAAATATCCAAAAGAATGAGAGAACTATGAGTAACTATGAATCAGTAACTACTGATCAGCCAATAAGTGCAAAAAGGACACTCTTATATGAGTAATCAGTAGTTCATTAGAAATAACATATATACGTATTTATACCTGTATTAAAACCCCGGAACAAATACCACAAAAAAACCAACCATTGGACAATAGAACCATTGTTAATGGGGATTAACTCTGAGGACCCAGGTAATAATTTCTTTTTTCACATTTATTATATAGAAAAATAAAGATGTACCAACCCTTGGCCAATAGAACCTTTGTTAATGAAGATTAACTCTGAGTACATAATGAAATGTACAGTAGGTTTACATTGACATCGGCACGTCCGACGTCTCGAAATTTTTTCCGTGTATTGGGATCAGAAATCACGCGAAACTGACCCACCCCTGAGCCTTCTTGTGACAACCATCTTGGTTTTTTATCTCTTTCTTTTGTATTTGTTAGAGAAACACGGAATGAAAACATGGTCACCACAACAAGGCTCACACCAGATGGCGTATCGCAGTATTTCAGATCCCAATTATCACAAGGAAATATAAAGATAAAAGTCAAAAACTGAAGAGGTAATGTATATCTTTCTTTCTCACATCAAGGAATATAACATATAATTTTCATTTAATATTGCATTTCTCTATCTAGAGGATTCAAAATAACATAAGAATATCTTCGCCTACAAATCTTACTCTTCTTTCTTTCTGTTTTCAAAATAAAAAAAATATGTATATACCAGTATTAGACTCTCAGAACAATTACCACAAACAATACCAATCCTTAGACAATAGAGCCTTTGTTAATGAAAATTAATTCTGAGGGGCCAGGTAATAATTTTTAAATTTTTTATTAAAATTTTCTGGGGCTCTAATACAGGTAGGGGAGAGTGATATACAGTGGGACAGTTTAAACAGTAGGTCACTTTAATTTTCTGAAAAACTACTAAAGAAACTCGACCAAAATTTAAATGTATAACCATGTTTATGACAACACACTATCTATACGCATGCGCATTTATACTTACACAGCGACTAAAAATGTGATTTTTTATGTTAAAAAACATTAAAAAATTCAAAATTTATAATTATTACAATTATTGTTCGGCAACATTTGAAAAATAACACTTGATAAGAGAACGACTATTCAAATTTTCCTCCAAATTGTTTTTATGTTATGACCAAATTATGACGTATAATCAGCAGTACTGTAAACGTAAAAAAAAATAATAACAATTTTTTATATGAAACTTGACATCGTATTATAAAAATGTAAAATATTATTAAAATATAAGTGTTTTGCAACATTTGTTGACGTTATTTAATGCAAAACATATATATTTATAAAGTATGAAGCAGAATATTATTATTGAAACAAATATTCATTATTTAATAATAGGTGTCCCACTGTTTAACACAAACCTTGAAAAGAAGAAAAATGTATCAAATTCCAAAAACTTGAAATTTTTCTATTTAATCACAATATAATTTAAATAGAATATATGCATTATGTGGAAAGGAGTTCAAATATGGTAATACCAAAAAGTGGACAAAAATATATAAAATTGAAAAAAAGTGATCTTATGCCATTTTGAATTGTCTAGATAGAGAAACGCAATGTTAAACGAAGAAGTACTTATGTTATATTCCTTGGTGTATGAAAGAAAGGTATGCGTTACCTATTCAGTTTTAGACTTTCTTTATAGTTTTTTCACGTGATAAAGGGAGAAAGAAATTATTACCTGGGTCCTCAGAGTTATTAATTAATCCTCTTTAAAAGATTGCAGGTCAAGCGAACCCTTATTTGCAAAATAAAGATATATCTTTCTCTCTCCATAACTTGTTCTTTTCTCTGTCACCGAAAACCCAGCAGGGGTCCGGACGGAATGAATGAATGAATGAATGAATACCAAGATTATTATAGTTAATTTTTCCTCAACGTTGGGAGTTGGTTCGATAATCCAATGCTCGGCAAGTCGTGTCAGCTACTAATTAATCCGGTGAGCAACGTGCATAAAGTAATGTCAGAGTTTTTAAAAAGGGTTGCTAAAAAAGTCTTGAGAGACAAAGACCTTTTTTTGCCTGTTAATTTTCAGCCTCTTATTAATTACTGATAACGCTAAATTAAGATTCTCTATACTTAATTATATGACAGTAATTACTAACAACAAAACTAATTAAATATATAAAAAAAGGGGATTTGAATAATTTAAAACTATATTCATTTTTTTTTTTTTGTTGAGAAAAATGTTATCACGGAGTTAGGAAAATTACAATTTGAAACTCAATATACTTTCTACGATTTCTTTAATTACTCTTCCTTTCGCTTTTCCTCTCTTTCTCTCTCTCTCTCCCTTCCTCTCTCTCTATCTCTTTTTCCCCAATGCTTAAAACGTTAGAAAACGGGAAACCATTGGATAAATTTTGTTATTTCCCGGTAACTTTAAAGCCAATTTCTCGTTCACTGTTAAAAGCTCTTCCCTCTTTCCAGTTTTAAATTAAAATCCAACAATCAAATCGGCTTGAGTCTCGAAAATCGAATAGAGCAACTCGTTGATGAGAATTTATTAAAAAGTTGAAAAGTGACTTTTAATTTAAAGTGATTATTATTTGCAAATTAGATTTTAATTATTTTGCAAGAGACAGATACTGATACTAAATTGATTGGATAAAAGAATAGAGATACTTTAATTTATAAAACTATAGAATTTTATAAAAAAATTGCAATTTCATTAAAATATTTAGTGAAAAATTTTTTTTTAATATTTATAATTTAAATATTTTTTTTTCATAAAATGAACGTCAAGTTATAATATTCTTTGCTTACTTTTAATATTCGACGCTTAATTAAGTAATTTGCATGAAAACTGAATTTTGATTCAAAAGATATTCGTCAGACTTAATCCATATTAAATTTAAATATTTTGGTGCTTCATATTTAAGTATTAAATTTATGGAAAATTTGTTTAAAATTAGCGATGTGCAAAATATTTACAATGTTTAATTAAAAAAAAAAAAAAAAAAATTTTCAAGAATTTTTTTTTCTTTTCAAAGTGAAACAAATGTTATTTTATTTAATATTTAAAAAAATGTTAAACAATTAATGAAAAATGTAAATAAAATCCAAATAATAAATAAATAATTACATTTATTATTTAAAAAAAAGTTTTTAGTAAATTTTTATTAAATATCTGATTTAAATTTTTAATTTACTTTTCAATAAAAGATATTTTTCAAATTCAAACTTAGATTTATTAAATTATTAATTATTTTATTAAATCTATTAAATAATTAATTATATTTCAAAAATAAAAGAAACCATTGGAGTAAAATATTTCTAATTTACAATTTATAGTTATCTATTATATTTAACTAAAAAAAAAAAAAAAAAAAAAAAAAAAAAAAAAAAAAAAAAAAAAAAAAAAAAAAAAAAAAAAACTGTAAATTTATTTGAGAAAATGGGTCAAAAAAATTAGTAAAACGAGATAATCTAACAAATCCCCTGTGTTACAGTATAACTGCAAATTACCGTCCACCACTCATTACGTTAAAGGTCAATTTTCCAAATTGTTATTACCCAAATGTAGTTAACACACTGATTTGAGTTTAAAAACCTGTAGATTTATTCAGACAATAAATAACTGTATAACAATTAAAAATAAATTTTTTCTGACAAAATTCTGTTTTTTTTTTTTTTGTACAATGCAGATGAATCATGACCTTTTTTTTATGAAAAAATTATAATAAATGAAAATTTTTCTATTTATATATTAATAAAAATTGGATTATTAAACAAAAATTATTGAATATAAAAAATTATATTATAATAGACTATAAGACTATAATATTTAATAAAAAAAGTTGGGAAAAAAATAATTTTTTTTTTTACTTCATTTTTCATAAATATTTTAGCATTGTTTTCTTTATTAGGAAATAAATTTTTTATGTTTCAGATACGGGTTGTGAGATGATAAAAGAAAATATACCTTTACAGACTGCGCTGACTGCTGCAGTGCAAACATCTGTGGGTGTGACTGAAATCTCATTATCATCAAACTCCTCTAACAAATTACTTAATAAAGAACAAATAGCTCAACTTTAAATCTCGCGTGATATATTTTAAATTATATCAATATTGAGAAAAAAAAACAGGTGCCGTTCGATATTTATCTCAATATCGTTTAATTGAGATATGAAAAAAAAAAAAATTTATAAGATTTGCCAAAACAGTATTTCGTCAAGATGTATATGTATAGTGCGTGTTTAAGTGCAAAAATGAAAAAAAAACTCTGCGACAAATAATGATAATGTGCGATTAGTTATAATTATATTAAAATGCTATAAACTATAATCGATCGTGATTTTTAGTAGCATTATATATAAATAAATATATATGAATAGAGGCTAAAAAAATTATAAAGTCTCTGAGTGTGTGATGTGTCGTATATAAAATAGTTATCAATTGCATTCATCGCGAAATCGGCTCTAAGATTTAAAATATTTATTATTAATTTTTTTTTTTGTAAAAATTATCATTATTATTTTTTAATTATTTATTTATTATTTTATTTATTTTTTTATTTTATTTATTTTCTTTATTTATTTTATTTTTTATTTTTATTTTATTATTTATTATTTATTTATTTGTATTGTGAATAATTTTAATGCACAAATTTTAAATCCTTAATTATTTTTTTATCATTTATTAAAATTAAGATAGGAAAAAAAATTATTATTGAAAAATTTTTTCGTATATATACATATATATCGAGGGAGAAAGTAAGATGCAATAATTGCATACTTTGAAAAGAGTATACATTCAGTGAAGTTGAAACTTGAAACAGTTTTGAGGTAGAAAATCATCTCTCTTATATATGAGTTTTATGACTTAGCGCAACTTTATAGAAGACGTTTCAAAACCGGAACAGATTATTGAGAACGTCAATTTAACTTCTGGGAAGCAATAATTATTCCGGTAATTATAAAGAAACAGGCGTGAATTGCTTAAAAAAAAAAAAAAAAAAAAAAAAAAAAAAATATTTCCATATATCGTGATCAATACAGGAATTATTTAATTCTATTGAAATTTTTTTATTAAATTAGTTATTTAATATTTAATTAAAACAATTTTTGAAAAGTTGTTGAATTGAAAAGTTGTTTATGAAAAAAGAAATATTTTTTTTTTAAGGGAAAATTATTACTTCCCTGTTGTCACTTGTAAATCTGCGTCACGGGGTAAAAAAAAATTCAAATAACTCATGATATATTCTAGGGGAATGGCAAGATCTCGTAAAAGTTAATATTTGGCTCAGTACGTGACTAAAGGTAATGGCTTATTATTTTTTTAGTACCACTTTAGATTCTATGTGTTCAAGGGAACGTATACAAATAAAATACTGTAATAAGCCTCATATATTTTATTTAAATTTTCAAAAAAATTTGAAAACCTACAGAATTATATAGATAAAGCTTTTATTTAGATAAATTGGCCTTTCTCATCGTTCAGTATATTTGTTATATATATATGTATATAAAAAATGAAGAAAAATGGATTATATTTAGTGTATAAATATAAAATCTATACAAACGTTTAGCAAATAAAAAAAAAATTGTTTAAAAAATGTGTTATTAAAAAAGTATTAAATATTTAAATCTATTATCTCTCCAGATTATAAAATCGTTTAAAAAAAATTAATATTTGTAAATAATATAATTTTATTAAAATATAAAATTATATATGTTAATAGTACAAAGTAATTAGAATTAATTACTCAAACTATTAAATACAATCCATTTTTCTTCTCTAAAGATTTATTTCTGTTTCTAAAGTTTAAAAAAATTTGTAAATAAAAAAAAAATGTACCTCTAAAATGACGCACTACATATCTAAAATACTCAGATTATAAAATCTCAAATAATTTATTTTTCATTTATAAAATGCAAAATTTCAAATAAATTTTAAATAAAAAAAAAAATTTTTTTTTTAATTGCGGAAATTTATATCTTCTGTAATTTATATTTTCTATAAAATATTGGCGATTTTATTTGGTTAATATATTTCGAAAAAATAAATTAAATTACTACAAATAAGTATGTTAAGCGGATAATTGTAAAAAATTATGATAAAATGATATGGCTATTATAGATAAAAAAAGAAAAAAAAACGTGACACCTTAGAGCCGGAGAATCTAATATTACCATAATTCATCTTTGTGAAACTATTTATCATAAGTCATTGTCATGAATCATCATACACAGTATTGTTATTGTTAAATAATACATTGATATATTAAAAATGTATTGTGTGCCATGAGCTCTATTTTTCTGGATTCCTCGTGATCTCTCACACCCCCCCCCCACCCTTTAGTCTTTATATAAGCTTCTTTTCAACTTTTATTATAGAAAGCCTTCGAGTCAATTTTCTTGTACAAAAAGAATTAAGCTTCTGAGAATCGCACGAGGGGTTCATGAAGAAAAAAAAAAAATTGGGAAATAAAGGAATGTTTAAGAGAAAAAAAAACCTTTCGATTTTTTTCCTTGAGAAAAAACTTTTTTAGTCCTTTGAAAGAAAAATTCAATGCTAAAAAACAGTTTCTAATTCTGGAAAAAGTTACTAAATAAAAGGATCTAAATAATAATTGGTGTATAAAAAAATAAAATACTAAATCTTTTTTTTTTTTTTAATTTTTCAAAAAAGTAAACATCAATTAATTGCTTTCTTGATAATTGTAGTTGGAAAATTGAAGTTTAAATTATTGGATTATTGCGTTATCCCGCTTTTTCTGTAAAAAAAAAAATAAAAAAATAAAAAAAAGAAATAAGAGTTGTGTATATTGCTTGTTTACTCGAAATATCGATTTGAGAAAAAATATAAAGAGAATCAGCGTTGATAAATATAACTTAATTATACCAGAATATTTTAAGGAGAGAAAAAAAAAATGCAAACTCAACACAAAAAATCGCGAAGGAAGGAAAACTACATTATTTTCTAATCTCATTCTGTCACTGAAGTTTTTAATTATTTTTTTTTTTTTTTTAATGGATTATATTTAGTTTATATGTAATTAATTTTAAATCTTTTTAAAAAAAAAAGAAATAAAAATATATTAAATTTAAAAAATTTTTATATTAATATTATTATTTTTGTTGTTGTTTTGAAAAATGTACTAAAAAGTTTTTCTTAAAACTAGAATCAAAGTGGGACAAAAACCAGTTTTATAAAGAAGAAAGTATAGATTTCAACGCTTTTCAATATTCCATGTGGAAGTTTTATCTGTGTTACTGACTCGATTGCGTAATACCGATACAAACGCACGTCTCTCTCTCTCTCTCTCTCTCTTTCTATCCATTTGAATAAACATTCACGTTTAATATGTACACGCGCTTTAAAACGAAACGCAAAATAAATTAAGTTTTAACATTTTTTTTCTATAAATAAGTGAATTATAATATTCGTTATTTTCTTATACAAGTGAAACTCGTACATATGTTCAATGTGAAATGTTCTATCTGTGTTTATAATCTTGGTATACGGGCATTTAATCATCATTCATATTCCAGATGATAAGAAATTCATCACCCAAATGGAGTTTGTATAATACATTCGCTGCGTTGGTTACAACTATACTCAATTGATTGATTATGACAGTGTATTTAGTGAAATGAATATTGAAAAAAATTAATTTTGATAAATTTGACGAAATAGAAGCCCCCCCCCCCCAAAAAAAAACAAAAAAAAATGTAAGTCAGCATTTTATTTTAATTGCAAACAATAAATATAAAGTATATTCTTGTCATGTGTAAAATTAAAAAATTCCTCTAAAAATTAAAATTGCTACGTTTCAAATTCAATTATACTAAAAGCGAGGAAAAGTTATATATATATATATATATAAATACAAAAATATATTTAAAACTTTGGCTTACTGAAATCTCACATAATTTAATGAATTGCATTATTAAAATTTCTTTGTGTATTTAAAACAAAAAAAAATGTGAATATCTAATTTAACTGCTTTTCATTTTATAACAACTGGAAAAATTTGTTCGAGCGTAAAATGAAAGGATTAAAATAAATTCCTTGTCGAAAAATAAAAATTCCTTTTGGTAAAATAAAGCAAACATTTTATATTTATGGAGATCCAAATGAAATGTTGTTTGTGTTTAAATTTAAAAAAAAAAACAAATAACTGCGGTAGAACAAGGTTTTTATATTTTTTTTATACTTTCTTTTCCTCGCTTTCTTTATTTATACCTCTATATGAAACTAAAATGTTATATATATAGATGATTTTTATAGTCAGAATCTAATAAAATTTTAGTTTTTAATGAAAAATATATGCGTGTATATATATATATATATTCACGACAGATATATATTGGATGACAGTTATTGATTTGCAAGAGATCTGCATATTTCACGAAATGGGAAATTATTCATAAAATACGGATTTCACAAGCCTGCTAAGTGACATGACAAAGTTTTCTTGCAAGAACTCGTTACTCATCTAAATTTACGAGAGAGAAACTAGTTGAACCCTAATGGATATTTGCAAACTTTTTTCAAGACCAAAAAAAAAAAAAACTTTTGATTACTTTATTCGCACTGCCACTTCTTGGCGCGATGAAATTTCAACCTATTATTTCATGTTAGCATCTCAAAATTATTTTTTCAAAAGTAAATTCAATTATTTTATATATATATATTTTTTTTTTGAAAAAATTAAATCAGACTTGAAATACGTTTAATTTGAAAACAATCTTATGTTTGAATTAAATATCTATTTACAGCTTCCTTGACTCTGTCAAGTCAATACTTTGATAAAAATAATATTGTATATTATTTATAAATCCACGGCAATCGAGATTTGTAGGACAATGGCTTATTTCAGTAATAAAAAAAAAGACATAATATTTTACCAATATCCAGATGCAATGTTATTTCTGGGTAGTATAGATCCTTGTCCCAAGAGAGATTGTTACTCTTCAGTCCTTCACTATATATATGTGCTAGATACACTTCACTATTTCACTATTTACGTTCACAAAAAAGTTATTTGAACCGAAGGGAAAAAGAAATTAAAGAAAATAATTCTTTACTATTATTATTATTTTACTTTGGAAAATTGATTTTCTAATAAAAAAATTATTTTATTTGATCTCAATCCGATTTTATACCTAATATTCAATGACTTTTGAGCTTCATCAATATGATGTAATTAGTTCACATTTTACTAAATTGATTTTATTTACTAGTAATCTATTGAATTATCAAATAATTTAATTTTCACAATAAATTAATTAATTTAATTATGTCTAATTAATTAGTTATTAACTAATTAATTAATTAATTAGTTAATTTAATTTAATTTGACATAACCTACAAATAAATTTCACTACACAATCACTGTTCACTGAAATTCACAATTAAAAAGAAACACTATTACAATTGAAAACTGAAGTTTAGATGTTTAATTAATTATTTTTACTTAAATCTGATTTAAAGGACAATTATTTCACTGTTAAAACAATAAAACTTTAATGAAATTAGAGAACACGACTGAAAAATAGTAACGACTGTTCGTTTCAAATTGACAATGTTCAATGTTGCCAATGTTACAGCTTTGCCAACAATTTTGCAAAAATTTTTAACCGCCAAATTCAAAACATGATATAAACAATTTGATATAAACAATTTTTTTTTGCAAATCGTTAATAAATTTATAAGTATTATATATTTAAAAAGAATACTTCCTTTGTCATTTAGATGACAAATTTTGATGTTTTGATTAAAACAAAATTATTTGTCCATTAACAACAAAAATGATTCATTAACCTAAAAATGGATAAATATTAAAAATTACCAGTATCCAAATTAAAAATTTCAATTATAATTACATTAATTAACTATAAATAAAAGTAAAATATCTCTTTAATAATTGGAATGTTTCCAAATGATAAATAAATATATAAAATATGATTTAAAAAAAACTTGGCTTAGTGAAATAGTTGTAGGAAAAATTTAAAGGTTATCTTGTTATTATTCAATATCTTGCAAAATAATTATTGAATTGAAATAAATATTTTCTGCAGTAAAAAACAAAGAAGAGAAGCCTGAAAACGGAATTATTCTACGGATGATATTAAAATTTATAAAGTTAAGTATTTCCTTTGAAAAGACCAGATTTTTTACAATTTTTTTTTTCGATTCCAGGCACAGAGCAGCTCGTTACGGTTGCCTTCAAAGCACTTTTGCAAAAAGCTGTCGTTTCATTGTTTTGTCTTCGTTTAGACAAGGAAAAATAGTACCATATAAATTAACGGATATCGGCGAGGGAATCCGCGAGGTTACCGTAAAAGAATGGTAAATAAAGATACATACAAGTACAAATGCAATACCTTTCGACCCAGGTAAAATAAAACAAAAAAAAAAAAGTCCAGATATATATACCGTAATAGCTTTGTTTTTTTTACACTTTTTAGAATTTACTTGGATTTTAAGCTTTGTTGTGTTTCTATTTTTTTTTTTTTTGAAAAAGAAATTTCTAAATCGTAGCGAAACAAAATCTGAAATTTTCTAAAATTACAAAAAAGATGAAATTATAAAATAGAAGAAAAAAATTAATTAAAATTTATGAAAAAAGAAAAAAAAATATTTGAATAATTATTTTTCTTTTTTAAATAAAGGTTCGTTAAAGTTGGTGACAAGGTGGCCCAATTTGATAATATTTGCGAGGTACAAAGCGATAAGGCATCAGTAACAATAACGAGTCGTTACGATGGTCTAGTTAAAGCTTTACATTATAAAATTGACGACATCGCTCTTGTAGGAAATCCTTTGGTAGACATTGAACTTGTCAATGAAGAATTTGACAATGAGTTCAGCCAAGAGAAAAATATCCAAGAGCCAAAGAAAAATCAGATAATAGAAACAAGTTCAAATGTCACAAGAGACGATATCACGAATGTTGAAAATCTCTTAGGAAAAGTATTGGCCACTCCAGCAGTCAGGCGAATTGCTCTAGAAAATAAAATTAATTTAAAGGATGTCACATCCACCGGTAGAGATGGACGTGTTTTAAAAGAAGACATTCTTGCTCACATCAAATGTCATATCGAAAATTCCAACGACGACGACGACGATGAGAAAAAAAATCCCTTGGTAAATGTCACTCCCGTCAAAGGATACGCCAAGCACATGTGGAAAACAATGACTAAGGCTTTGGTAATTTAATATAATCTTTCAAAAATAATTCCCATTGAGAAATATTAAATAAATATATTTCTTTTTTTAAATGCAATTAAATTATCTTATTGAAAGAGAAGTCGCTTTCTCAGATAAGAAAATCGAGTTTCTTTATAAAAAGAAATTTTTTTTTTTTTTTATAGACTATTCCACATTTTACGTACAGTGACGATTGTGATGTGACAAAACTGATACGCTGTCGTGAGGAAGTAAAAGATGCATTGAAAAAAGAAGGAATCTCTTTAACTTACATGCCATTTTTTGTGAAAGCAGCATCAGAAGCCCTGAAGGAGTTTCCTCAACTAAATGGTTGGCTCGATGATGAATCGGAGTCGGTGAAAATGGTCAAACATCACAATATAAGCATTGCAATGGATACGCCTCAAGGGTTGATTGTGCCAAATATAAAGAATGTCCAGAATCTCAGTATTGTGAACATTGCCAAAGAATTGAATCGACTACAAGAGCTCGGCAAAAAATCCTCAATTCCACTCAATGACATATCAGACGGGACATTCTGCTTGTCTAATATTGGAACAGTAAGCTGAAAAAAGAAAAACATTCAAAAATTCACATTTCAATTACTTAAAAATATTTCACTTTATGAAATTAAAATTAAAAATTTTTTTTGCATTAACATAAAATTGATATTTAATTTCATAAAGTAGAGAATTTATTTTAAATTATAGAAATAAAAAAAATCAGATAAAGATAAATTAAAGACGTGTTTCTTTTCATAATATATATAGTTAAGAAAACACGAAAGGAGTAAAGAAAATCGATAATATTCAAGTTCTAGATCTATAAACAGTGTCCAAGGCTTAACCACTAATGACTTAAAATTGTTATCTAATACAACATGGTTTTTCTGCACGCACGTTAAATCGATTTGTTCTCGTTTTTTTTTTTTTTTTCTTTTTTGCTTTTTCCAAACGAAACATTGATTTGTTTTGATAAGCAACTTCTTTTTTTTCACTAGCATTTTCAATTGTAAAAAAAAAAAAATTTCCACGAAGCAATTATTATTTATATCAAATAAAAAAATCATAAAATTCTCTTTTTTAAAACGATTTCATCTCATATTCTGAAATAATTAAATACGTAAAACTAGTTAAAATTAAATGCAAAAATGTTTGTAATTTAATATTATAAAATGAATTTTCAATAATAATTTCAAAAAAGCAGAAATTATTATTATTTCAATGAATTGAGATTTTAATCGTGAAATTGAGAAACGATATTATAGACATTCGTTTAATAATATGAAACATATTGAATAAATTTTCAAATTTCAATTGTAGAAGCAAAATATTATTTTAAATACATTTTCCATATTAACAGGGAAATTCTATTTTTCAATTTTAGATTGGCGGTACGTACATGAAACCAGTTATTTTATCGCCTCAGATAGTAATAGGAGCTGTCGGAAAAATTCAAAAGTTACCGAGATTTGGCGAAGGGAATTCTGTGATAGCTGTCAATCTCCTGTCAGTTAGCTGGTCTGCCGATCATCGAGTTGTGGATGGTGTAACAATGGCAAAGTTTTCAAATCAATGGAAACATTACGTAGAAAATCCACTACTTCTTGCTTTAGGAAAATAATATTTTTCAATTAATTAACATTTTTTTTTTACACCTCGATATTATTCTCATTGATAAATCAATATTTTCATTTCCAAACTTTTTTTATGTTTTTTAAAAATAAGTTAAAAATTTTGTTTTATAATTAGTAAAGTAAATTATTCTAAAAATAAGAAACAATTGTGAGAATTATTAAAAAAACAAAAATTTTTTAAAAATAATTTCAAAAGACTGGAATATATGTTGTTACATTGATTTTACAATAAAAATGGAGACTGAATTCAGAATATCTAGAATTTTCTGGAGTTGTTTTATTTGGTTTTTTATATACACAGGTGTTATTTTTTTTTTTTTTTTTAACAAAATGTCTACTAGATAAATACAAAATATATATGATGTAGTCAGTCTGTTTAGAATATTAGAAATAGTGCATACATACATTGTGCACGCAATTGAAAAATATTTACAATTAAGTCTTTTGACTTTTGTATATTCATTCCTCTAATTTTAATTGTTACACAAGGAAGTTTTGACAATAATTTTTTTTTTTTTTATCTAGGAACATCTACAAATTTCAAATATTAGGACATGGAAGACTATTCGAAAGTCACATCAATAGTCCTCACGATTCGTCAACAGTAAATTTCGAAAATTTCTATAAATTTTGTTTATAATTACTATTTTTTTTTATTATTTTTTCTTTTATATCCTTTTTTTTATTGAAATTCATTCACGTAAACCAGTTTCGGTGAATTTTTTTTCTAAAGAAGATTTCACAATTAAATTAAAATAATTTGAAATTGAATTTTCGAAAGATACTCTTTTTGAATAAAATAATAATTAGACAACCATTGATAATTGTTAATTAAAACAATTATTTCAATAAAACAGGAAATGCTGAAAATTTGCTGAAATTGTGTAATACAAATCGTGATTGTGAAAATAATTCTCTTATACATGTTACAGCTCATTTAATATGACTAGGAGTAACAATTCTCTCTCTAAAAACTAAACGCTCGATATTTTCTCTATTATTATTATTTATTTATTTTTTAATTATGCATCCGATTGCAAAATATATATAATGCAACGGATTTATTTTTTTGCGACGACGATGCACTTGTACATTTATAAAAAAATAACAAAAGCGTCTCTACCATATTCTCTTTAATTAAATGTAAATGCATTTTTAATTATCCACAATTTAAATTTTTTTTTGGAAAACTATTAAACTGAATATTAAAAAAAAAGAAACCGTAGAAATATTTTTAAAAGAATCAAAAAAATATTTAATCTTACTCTACATTTTTGTAATTGTCCACCTTATTTTTAAAATTGTACAAATTAAAAAATTATTCTATTAAGTATAAAAAATAAATATCAAAAATTTTTTCCATAAAATTAATAAATCTTCGACTCTTTATAATGATTGTTTCAATTGATTTCCTTGTATGTAAATTAGCATTTAGTTAAAAGTGAAAAATACACGAATCAAATACAATTTGAAATATGTAAATATTTGTAGTCCATGAAATTCAAATATAAAACAACTACTGCCTTTAATTTCTTTGCATAATAATTAACTGGTATGGCATTGAATGCAAATTGAAATTAAACTGACTTGCAATTAAACCAACTAAATAAATATTCGAAAGACCTGATTTTTTTTAAAAAAGAGAGAGAGAGGAACAAGAAGACACTGTAGTTAATTTCCAATGTTATACCGATTAAAAATAATTTACACACATTTTTTTCTTAATAAAAAGTTTCTGATTCAATTTGTTAATTAATTTAAGGAATAAATTTTTAAAATTAATTTTAATATTTAATTAAAAAAATTACACTTGATCATTGGATAATTCATTTTTTAAAAAAGGATTTTAAAAATTACATCTATATTAATTCGTTTTTAAAAATTAATTTAGAGATTGATTACTTTTTTTTTTAAATTGTCCTAATCATTTATAAGAATCGAAAAAATTCCAATCGAAAGAAAATGTTATTGATTTTTAAATTATATTTTAATTCACTGGTAGAGTCACGATTAATAAAATTATTAATTATGAAAATTTAAATAAAAATCAAAAATTACGTAAACAAAATTAAATAAAACTTAAAAATTATTGAGCAAAGAAACTGAAAAAAAAATATTATGCCTATTAAGATCTTCTATAGAGGACTATTTTTTCAAAACAGATATTATAACAATAACTACGTTATTCTGTAAAATTACTACATATCAGTAGAAGAATATTCTCTTTTAATTTTCAACTAACCGTAGTTTAGTAGAAATATTTCGTTTACTCACAAACAATTTATATTATTTATATGAATGTGCGTTTAAAACGGAATTTCTTTCATTCTTCATATTTTTTTTTAAAAAAGATTCTCTCACAGAGAGAATATATCAACAAGTTGTGATTTTGGACGAATAATTGAATTTTTCAACACTGGTTATAATAACAATTACAACTAATAAAAAAAATTGTTTACACGACATTATATAAGTTAGTTTTAAATTATAAAAATACCTTTCTTTTTTTTTTGTTTCTGTTTCAAAAAATATCCTTCAATCTGCACAGCTTTTGCATATTGATATGCAATTTTTTTTTTAAATCATTTTCAAATCGAATTCTTCAAATTATTATTTTGAAGAAACACAGATGAGAAAAACATGTAAGATTCATAAATCCTAACAATAAATTCAGATCTCTTTTTGTCATGAACTGAATTTTTGACAAAATGACATTGTTTTAATTTTAAAATTAAATCTTGTCATTTTGTTGGATGGTTTTATATAAGTATATATATATATGTCTATTTATATATAGTAATCCAAATTTTTGTTACTTGGGAAATCTATTGATGTCGACTTATCATCATGGAAACAATGGCACCAGTTGCTCGTAAAACAGCGACAGCAGTCTCGTGATCCGATTTCGTAAAATCTATTCCATCGACTTCTAAAATTTTATCCCCCGGACGTAAAGTTCCTTGTGCTGGACCATCTGGATTTACTTTTGTCACAACAATTCCCTGTAATGAAAAAAAAAAATTGTTATTTTAATTAAAACTCCTGTTAATTGATCATTAGAATTTAGATTAAAATATCTCACCGTCTCTGCTCCTGCAATTCCTCCAGCTATACTAAATCCTAAACCTGGATTTTTCTTCAATCGAACCGGCAACTAGAATTAAGAAAGAAAACAATTAACTAAATTTATTACTTTTTTGAAATTATTTTTTAAAAGCTATTATTTAAATTAATATTATACTTACAACATTCGCATTTTTGTGTGGTCCAAACATCCATTTAAATTTTGGTTTTCCATCGGAGCTAAGAGTTGATTTAACATTTATCGAAGATGGTGTACTTCTACCGGAATTCGTCTCATTTTGTACGTCATTATCTTTTTTTGATAAATTCATATAAAAATTATTAAGCGACGTATCATAAATTGTTTGTTCGCTATTTAAAAAATTCATATTTTCCGATTGATTTAAATTTTCCATAATTCCATTATCGTTTGATGTATTTTCATTAATAGAATTATTTATTATTTGATCTGATTGTTTGATTTCATTGGTAATTGATGAACGAATTTTTTTCCGACAAATTGGCGATGCCGACAATGAAGTAATATTGATCTGTTTGACTTTCTCATTGTTAGTTGAACATTCGAAATTGTTTTCACGTGAATCAAATGTATTCCCTATTTCGACATTTTTCAATTTTAAAACAGGAATTTTACTCTGCTTCATCGATTGGTTGAGATTATTTTCCGATTCAAGTGACTTTATTCCATCACAAACATCAACATTGACATTTGTTTCATTCCCATTGAAATTTACATTTGTTTCATTTAAATTCTCGTTGTCATTGTTTGAATTGACATTATCAAATTTTGTCTTATCAATAAATAGTTCATCGTTGTTATCATTTTGGGAATTATCCTTCTTAGATGGTGAGAGTTTCAGTGATGAGAATGTTTGATACGTATCGGATACTGACGCTGAAAAACAAAATTGTATATTAATAAAAAAAAATCAAAAATTTAAATAAAGGGAGGAGAAATTTAAAAATACCTTGATTAAGTTGTTGGAAAAAAGCGGCTTTTTTGGAGAAAGCCGCGGCAATATGATAAGGCGGTGGAACGGGAGGAACATCACTGATCCTATAAATTGTAATATCCTTATTATCTAAAATTTTCTCATCAGACGTTTTTTTATAAGGTTCAACAAATTTTTCCGATTCCACAATTTTTGCTGTATTCGTTTTTGAATATTCATCCGGTTTCCATGTTGAATTCACATAATCGGCTATTGTCGCTGGTTTTGCGTGATACTCTGACATTGGATTGCGAATGTATTTTGCCTCACGAATTTCAGGATTTGTTTCCGTAGCGAGGACAGTTTTAATTGTATCGTCAGCTGATTCTTCCGAATTATTGGGCTCTATTTCTAATCCTAGATTGCTATTCACAATAAGATATTTCGAGGAATAGTATTCGACAAAAGGCTGAGGCACATGTGCAACATTCTGGAAAAAAAATACTTATATAATAAAATAATATTATCGATCAAATAGAACAAGTCTATAAATTATTAAAATTTTACGTACATCTTGTAGTGGACCATCAGTTCCTGAAATTGAAGTGTTGCCAACTGGAATCATTGGTTTTGCAACTATAGCTTCCTTTATAACATCTCCTTGATCTACTTGTAGCTAAAAAGAAGATATTCTAAATTATATACAAATTTTAAGATAAAGCGAATTATTTTTTATTATTTAAAAAACGAACCTTTTGATCATGTGTGGTCTGATGATGCAAGTTGCGTGCATGCCTGGCTAGATTACGCAATTCCTTCGGATAAGGCGTTGGTGCGCGATGAAGTTGTCTCGGTAATTCCGAATCGACTTCAGCGGCAAAACATATTCTTCTTCCGGATCCGCCAACAGATCCGGAAATTGTTCCCAATGTTTGGTCCATTTCTAGACATAATTTATTGCAAATTACGCCTTTCCATAAAACAGAATCAAGCTCGATTAGAGAAAAAAAAAAAGAAAACAACAAAAGAAAGAAAATATATAATCCAAAAAGGGAACAAAAAGTAAATAATTTAAATAAACCAAATTTCTCCCTTAAAATATTCTTACCCCTTCAATCCTCAACTTCCTGAGTGTTTTCCTCTAAGCAGCGAAAATATAATCGTATCAAATTTTTAAAATTTAATTTTCTTCAGAATAGTTTAAGAATAATAGAAATAAAGATTTTAAAAATTGACTTACGTTCAAGGTCCTGTCGTGGTTTTTGTGGAAGCATAAAGCACGAGAGCACCATCATATCCTCCTCGTAATTAAATTCCTGTTGTAGTGGCACCAATGGTTGACTTTGATTATCGCTCAGCCATAAAGCCTTAAGATTTGTCAAATTAAGAAGCGAGACAGGTAAATATTTTATACAATTATTGACGAGATTAAAAACTCTTAACGATGATAAATGACCTAATTCAGGTGGTATTTTCGTTAAATTATTTGAACGTAATGATAATAATGATAGTGCGGTGCAACTTCCAATTTCAGGTGGTAAACAACGTAAATAATTATTATCCGTATTGAGACAATGAAGTTTACGTAAAAGACCAATTGATGGCGGTAAATATTCAAGGAAATTTTTCGTCACTATAAGTTCTTCTAAATTTGACATTTGTCCAATGTCTTTTGGCAGTGAATTTAATTGATTGTCATCAATTTTAAGTGTCACTATTGTGCGTAAATAACATAATGAATCAGGTAACTCGTAAATTTCGTTGGATGAAAAATTCATTATCGATACATCTCGCCAGCCTTGAATCTCGGACGGTATTACATTTACCGAGTTCATTGTACAATCAAAATGATTTAAATGATAAAGCTGTTCAATATTTCCTGGAATACGACGTATATCATTGCCATCTATCCATAATTCCGTTAGATTTATTAAATCGCCAACAACCTCAGGCTGAAATTAAAATTTTTTCAAATTTATTTTTAATTTAACATTTTTTTTGTTTAATTTTTATCAAATTAAAAAAAAAAATGTTTATAAATATAGTGTGTGTTATTTACCAGTTCTGTGAAATCGTTATTGCCAATGTCAAGTCTCTGTAAATTAACAAGACGACTCATACTTTTTGGAAGTGTCATCATGTTATTCTCGCGAAGCTCAAGTGTTCTTAAAGCTGAGAGTCTTCCAAAATTCGCTGGCAAATATTCTATATAAGCATCGTTGATATACAATTCCTGTAAACCTACAATGTGCGTAATTGCATCTGGAAATCGTTCAAATGGATTGACACTGATATCGATTGAACGTAAATTTTTACATTCCTTTATACTATCAGGTAACTCTTTTATACCTAAAACAAATTCAATAAAAAAAGAAAAATAAGAACTATTTTCTTTCTTTTTATCATTAAATTTAATTTTCTTACTATTTTTACTGAGATCCAACAATTCTAGATTAATCAATGACGCTATGGCGGGTGGTAATATAGTAACTTCATTATCACTGAGGGAGAGTACTCGCAATTCATGGCATTGGAATAATGGTCTCGGCAAATCTTTTATCTGTTAAAAGTAAATAATAAAAATTATATAGCTATTAAAATATTTATTTAATAATCTATTAAAATAATAATAATTGAATATAATAATAATTAAAAACAAATCGTAAAAGAACTATAAATAAAATATAAATATAAATACATTATTGATTAATAATTATTTTATTATTTTATATATAAAAATAAACATACTCTATTGGCATCGAGATATAATATCTCCAGTGTTCTTTCATAGATGAACACATCGGGCGGAACATCGTAAAGATTGCAATGATTTAATTGCAATTCACAAATATCTTCTTCTTGTGCTCTTAAGCAAGCAGTGCACTGCCACCAAGCACTACCCATTTCACATTAAAACTGTATTTTTTTTTTTTTGGTCAGCCTTTATGGTTATATATTTTTAAAAATTCACAAAACTTAAAATACTTGATTCAATTTTCTATCTGTAAAACAAATTATTTACTTATTTTCAAAGAAACTAGTTTTTTTTTTATCTGTCTTAGTAAATATTTCAACTAAGTTATTTTAAATATTCTAGCTATCTATATAAATATTTTCTAGTTAACTATCTCGTTAAATATTTCCAGTAATCTATCTTGTTAAATTATTTAGCTAATTACAGTTATTTTCGTTAATTAGTTCTTGTAATCTATAGCATAATAATCATTCGTAAAAAGTAAAATCAAAACAAAACATTTCTTACCTCCATAAAAGTTTTTAAAAATTCTTTTGTTCCAAGAATGTTTATTAGTAATCATTTATCAACTGAACAAACAATCAATTGTTACTTTGACGTAAGCACAATAAATAATTGTCAAATAAGACATAAATGATAAGTCAGTCATTTTCTTCGTGCCGGTCGCGTCATTCCTGATGTCTTAAGAATCATCATTTTTGTGTCACATATATATATAACCGATGAACGTCAGCATCTTTCAATGGACCGGCTGTATTATATTCATTTTAAATAGAATGACAAAGAAATTCACTGATTTTTTGGAAGACTGATGGCGTATCGTTCACTATTGAATTGTTATAATTAGCACACAAATTACTATACTATATACTGACACTTTTGTTATCGATTGATGAGGCGAACAAGTAAGAAAGCGGGATACACGCCATTTTTATCGTAAAAAATTAACTTTTTCAAAATTCAAAAAGAATAAATTTCACAAATAATTTAAAATAAAGTTTCTTGAAATGATTTTAGATGATTAATGTTAAAAATAATATCTCAGGAAATAAAAGTAAACAAAGAGATATCATCAAGATTCATCGCACAGTGATTTCCATTGGATTTCTAAAAAAAAAACTAACCTGTTTAAATCGCATGAGCTATTATCGATTATTCCGATATATCGAATACTAGCGCGAATCTTTAAAAGTCTTTACGCAAATATATTTTATTTAATAAGGAATAATATAAATTTCTCTATTAATTTATTTATGTTATTTTTAAAATAAATTTTTTTTTTACAACTATACTTCAATACTTGATGAAAATTCGTTTCAACAGGTATTAAAAGAAAGAAATCTAGAACTGGACAAGTTAATATCTCTTGTGTATTTCCCTTAAAGTTTCAATATTGGCAGTACTGATTCATATATATTTCATTCATAAATGTATGTGTGTAAAAGCGCACATGTGAAAACAATAGTATACTATCATTGTATTAGTGTGTACAAGTGATAATTTTTGTTGCTGACAGTTCTTATATTAGTGTTTTTGTGATTATTTTACAAAATTTAGGTATATTAAATTATAATAGTTAAGAAAAATTTAAAACAATTTTTATTTCATAACCTAAAATGAAATAAATACGAATTATTGAATAATATTTAAATAATATTATAATTATAACCTCAAAATTTGTCTATATAAACTTAATTTCACAAATTTAATAAAAAAAAAAAAAAACTTTTGTATTTTGTTGTTTACAAGTAGATAATGTTATTAAAAAAATTGAATACTGCATTTTTTTTTAACAATTAACTTAATTGTATTCAGTGAATTAATGATGAATTTAATAAATAATGTAATTTGTATTAGTAAAATATTTATAGAAAAAGTTTTTTCTACAGATTCAAAATGAGTTACCACCGAGGAGGTGGTAACAAACCAAAGGGTTTTGGTTTTGCTGGCTTTCAAATGACGGGTTCTAAACGAAGTGGAGCCAATATACCACCACCAAATATTAATTCAAATTTAAGTAAACAAGGATATCATACAATGAGTTCAATAACAGAAAATGCTCTTTCGGCCTGTTGGGGTGTTCCAAAGAAACGTAGCAAAACTGAGGAAGAGTAAATAAATTAATTTTAAAATATGAAATTGTTTTTAAAAATATATTTCTAATTTTTTTTTTATCAATTTGCAGATATTTCGACGATGACGATGATGCACCAACTTCTTCTTTGGAATATATTCCAGCACCAGGTTCACCTACATATGAATTAATGAAAAAAACCGAACAAAAGAAAGAAAGTGACAGCGAAGAAGATCCTTTGGATGCTTTTATGGTTGGAATTGAGGCAGAAGTAAAGAGAAATACTTATGAAGCGGAACTTGCTGAGGAAGAGAGAAAAGAAGAGAAAAATAAAGGTTTCCGACAAGACATCGATGGCGAAGACAACGAAGAAAGTTATTATAGGTATATGGAAGAAAATCCCACAGCTGGATTACAACAAGAGGATTCCGATCAGGAAATTGAATACGATGAAGATGGAAATCCAATAGCGCCAGCTAAGAAAAAAGAAATTGATCCCTTACCACCAATTGATCATAGTGAAATTGAATATGAACCATTTGAGAAAAATTTTTATAATGTTCACGATGAAATTGCAGTATTGAATAAACAACAAGTTGATGAATTAAGAATTACATTGGGAATTAAAGTTTCCGGTCCTTCGCCACCATTTCCAGTTACAAGTTTTGGACATTTTGGTTTTGATGAAGTAATGATAAAGGCAATTCGTAAAAATGAATACATTCAACCGACGCCTATTCAAGCACAAGCAGTACCCGCTGCACTTGGTGGTCGTGATATTATTGGAATTGCCAAAACTGGAAGCGGTAAAACAGTTGCTTTTATTTGGCCAATGTTAGTTCATATTATGGATCAAAGAGAATTAAAGCATGGCGATGGTCCTATTGGTTTAATTTTAGCACCAACTAGAGAATTATCTCAACAGGTATTATTTTCATTTCATTATTTATAATTAATTTTTTTTACTGTAAATTGTATTTAAAAATAGTGCTTTAAACAATAATTTCATTTTAGATTTATCAAGAAGCAAAAAGATTTGGAAAAGTTTATAATATTCAAGTTTGTTGTTGTTATGGCGGTGGTAGTAAATGGGAACAAAGTAAAGCACTAGAAGGCGGAGCAGAAATTGTCGTTGCAACACCTGGTAGAATGATAGATTTAGTTAAAATAAAAGCGACAAATTTACAAAGAGTTTCATTTTTAGTTCTTGACGAAGCTGACAGAATGTTTGACATGGGATTTGGTGAGTTATTAAAAAAAAAAAAAAATTAACTTTAAAATTTGTTAATAAGATTTTAATTATTTATTTTAATTGAATTTTCAGAACCACAAGTACGATCAATTTGTAATCATGTGAGGCCTGATAGGCAAACATTATTATTTAGTGCAACGTTTAAAAAAAAAGTGGAAAAACTCGCACGTGATGTTTTAACAGATCCAGTGAGAATAGTACAAGGAGATGTTGGCGAAGCAAATACAGATGTAACACAAAATATTGTAATGTTTTACAATAATCCAACTGGCAAATGGAATTGGTTATTGCACAATATTGTTGAATATCTCAGTTCTGGTAGTTTATTAATTTTTGTTACCAAAAAGGTAAAAAGATATTCTAAAATTACAATTATTTATTATTTTCTTATTCATGCACGTAAATTTGGAGTTTGTGGTTCTTCACATGGGGCTTCTTTTATAGCTGAATGCAGAAGAATTGGCGAATAATCTTAAATTAAAAGAATACGAAGTAATGTTACTACACGGTGACATGGACCAAATTGAAAGAAATAAAGTGATAACTGCTTTTAAAAAAAAGGAAGTTAGTATTTTGGTTGCGACTGACGTTGCAGGTGAGACTTAAATATTTTCTTTTTTTTCTAAAGCGTTTCCATTGAATTATTATTAATTTCATTTATTGTATAGCTCGAGGATTGGATATTCCACATATCAGAACGGTGATAAATTATGATGTGGCTCGTGATATTGATACACACACTCATAGGATAGGAAGAACTGGAAGAGCTGGTGAAAAAGGTACAGCGTATACCTTGGTAACGGAGAAGGATAAAGAATTCGCTGGTCATCTTGTAAGAAATCTTGAAGGTGTGAATCAAGAAGTACCAAAAAGTTTGATGGATTTGGCATTGCAAAGCTCTTGGTTTAGAAAATCGAGATTCAAAGGAGGGAAAGGAAAAAGTTTAAATGTCGGTGGTGCAGGTCTTGGATTTAGAGGAAAAGCTGAAACTCCATTGGAACAGGTTTTGTATTTATTGCTTTTTTCTATTTTCTTTTGTATAGTTGTATCAGATAAATTTCCTTTTTATTTTTTTTCAGACTGGAGGTCCTTCTACGCAACAACAAAAAGATATAAGTGAAGTTGTTAAAAAATTAGAGAGACAAGGACCAGGAAGCGATCGACTTTCTGCTATGAAAGCAGCTTTTAGAAGTCAATATACGTCGCAGGTTTGACGTTTTTTTTTTTTTTTGTTCTTTTCTTTTAAAAATTATTATTATAATATAATTTATAATATATTTTAATAATTCAATTACAGTTTAGAGCATCATCAGATCACACATGGGAACAAACAATTGTTCCTCCGTCAATAATTATGCCTCCACCATCTACGATAACGGCAAATAGTTCTGAGGAACAACAGGAGGAACAAGATTCGAATAGTTCATTAGGAACAGAAAAATCAGAACGAAAAAGAAAAAGAAAGAGTCGATGGGAGTGATTATCGATTTTTGGGGCATACGAATTATTGTATATACATCATTTCTCATGAAATATTATGCAATTTCGGGTAATGATGTTTCATTTGATTTTATAATAAATCTTAATTTTAAAATAGTAAATATTCGAATTATTATTTAAAAAAGAAAATACGATTATGAAAATCATTATTTAATTCAGTTTAAAAAAAAAAATAATAAACGTTGTTTTTGATATTTTTTATTTTCTAGAATACTTATCATTGTTGAAAAGTTGATTAATTTTTATTATTACAATTACACCTTATTATACGAGTTTGAAATCAATTTAAAAACTATATCTACAACTTTTTTTTCGAAAAATCAGCATCCAGTAAAGAAATAACCAGATTTTTTGCATTGCTTTTTGAATGACATAAAAAATAATTTCTGTAAGTAATTAATGGATTTTTTCAATTTCTTTTTTTTACGCAATGTAAACCACTGATTATTTATTTAGGGCTCCGCTGTTCTTCGAGAAAACACACTGAATTAAAAATTCTTTTTTTTTAATATTTAAAATTTACTAAAAATCAATATTAATAAAAAAATCATTCATTTGTTTTTTAAAATGACAAAATTTCAATTTTTTTTCTCTTCAATCAGTGTGTAATCTTTATTTTACAACTATTGATATTAATACTTAATCAGGATAAGATACAATTAGCGCGAAATAATAATTAAAAAAAAAAAACTCAGAAAAATATTTTTTATTTTTTAAAACATATTTGAGAATTTTAGACATTCATTTATTTGCAATGCTATACTTTGTTCTTGTATAAAACGCACGTGCGTCTATTGAAACTTGCGAATCATTTTATTTTTCTTTTTATGGAATAGTGACCATGATCATGGAATTACACTACGTAGATGTTAAATAATTATTTGCGAGAAAAGTCATTTTGCATGTTTAATTAGATATTTTTCCATTTACAAAAAACAAAACCTTTTTAAAATTTATTGTAATAAAATATATTTTTTAACAAGTTTTAATTTCAAATTTTACTGCGAAATTAAAAAAGAAACTTTAATCGCAAATTTTATATAATTAAAAATGGTTTTTGGAGTCGGAATTACACACATAGAATGATGAATGCCTTTTAAGTTTAATTGAAGCTATTATAATTCTCATATGATTATTATTGTCAACTTCTATAATAGAAGTGTTTTTCAAGGATAAAAAATTCCACTTTGAGTTTTCCTGAAGAATTTTTAAAAAATAAAAATTATACTTCTGAGTTTAAAAATACAAAAAAAGTAAACATACATATGAGACATATATTTAAAAATATTTAGTTTAAAAAAAAACAAAATAGTTTATATTTAAAAGCACATAATGCAAAATCTTATTTATACGAATTGATATATCACTCGTATTATCATGATTGATCATGATGAAAAAAAGCGTAACTATAATTATGCATTTACAAGTAAAATACAATTTAATATTATAAAAAAAATAATTCATATATAATCTCAATGAATGTTGTTTTGAATTACATTTCATGTCCAATTAATTATAATTTATATATAATATGTCTTATTTAATGTAATCACTTGAGTAATAATTCAAATTTCGTATTTTTTTATACATTCAAAAAAAAATTTTAATTCAAATTTATAAAAATTTCTCAAATGATTTAAATTAAACATACTTGTTTATAATAATTTTTTAAATTATTGATTACTCATATTCGATTCTTGAGATTACAATTTAATTTTTTTTTTATGAACTGGTAACTAACTTAATTTTTCTTTCTTATAATATATTTTTTATAATATATACTAATTATTAAGAAATAACTTACCTAAGACGAAGATATTTGAGCTTGGATAATCGCGATTGAAAATTATTTTAGATTCAATTTGTATTCACAAAAAAAAAAAAAAATTTTATCTAAAGATTTTAATTAAAACCTTCGTGATTTGCGATTATCCAGTGAATTTTTAATTAGCTTCGAGATATTAAGGTGGCAAAATTTCTATAAAATCATGGAATTTTTCGAAATCTATTAATTTTCTTTTTTTTTTAAGAATCGACAAATTGTGGCATGACAGGAGTACTCTTTCGTCGTGTTTTTTCCAACTGTTGTGATGTGGTGTTTAACAATAATCCAGATTTTCGATTTGTATCGGCACCTTTACCGTTAAATTTTTCCATGGCACGTGTATAGGAACCAGTGCAAACTTTACCCCAAATTTTTCTATCCTCTAAATTTGCACTCGAACGACTTCTCATCTCAATAGTTGAACGTGGAGGAACATCTGATTTTTGTAAATCCGTTGACCATAATGTTGGAATTGTTCGTTTTGAATTTTTACCTTCGTCTTTTTCAAGTGATGTACTTGAACCACGAGTATTTGCATGATGAACATCCTCCCATGACATTCCAATGTCCAATGATTGAACACTCGAGGGCGTTGGACAACTTCCTTCACTTGATAATGATGATGATCTGACAAATGACGGTGGTACGTCTAATTTTGTACTATTTTCTTCATGATGATCATGTTTGAGACGATTTCCAGATGATGGATTTGTGCCATTATTATTATTTGTGTCATTATTATCAACAGGTAAATTATCATTGAGAATAATTTTTGCAATTGTCGTTCGTTTACGAAGATTTTCTAAATTTTCTTTTGGCGTTGTTTGAAAATTGTCAATTTTTTGTAAAATATCTTTGAGATTCACACTGCTATCGGTGAATTTTGACGATGATTTACTAAAAATTCGATGATCATCATCTTTACGAGTATGTGATGTGGCTTGAATTTCAGGATAAATATAGTTTGCTATTCTCTCTTTTTGATAAAGAGGTGATTTTGAACATGTTTTTTGTCCTTTTTCTAAACGATTTATTTTTTCTTTTTCTGTCTTTTCTGATTTTTCATTTTTTAATTTTTCCATTTTCTCTGATTTTTCCGTTTTACCAAATTTGTCAGTCTTTTCAAATTTAGTTGCTTTGACACCATCGACACATTGTTTGTATTTTTCATCAATTCTTGTGTCAAGAGTATTTCGAACTTCGGGTTCCTCGAGAAAATTTGAATCATCAGATGTGATTTTAATTTTATTGCTCTCAAAGGGCCATGATTGATTATAAGTTTTGAATTTAGTTTGATTTATTTTTGTTTCATCAGTTTTTGTATTATTAATTTTTGTTTGATCCATTGTTACTTGATCAGTGATTTTATTTTGCTCTATTTCACATTGATGTGTTTCATTTGCATCGATATCATCATCATCGTCCTCATTACCGGAATCATTATCAAAATCTTTTAAAATACCTTCATTTTTTTCGCTACGTTTTCTTAATTCCTCCCAATTTTTTCGTGGTTTATAACTTGTTTTACGACGAACGATACTTCTTTCAGTGATATTAATGTCGGGAATGAAAAGTCTTAGGGCTTTTGGTCCAGTTGGAAAAGTGACTTCGTTTACACGTTTCTCAGTCATAATTGCCTCAAGGCTTGTTTTTGACGCAACTTCTTGATGTTTATTAAATGCCGAGACTAATTGTGCAACAGTGTATTTTGGTTCTTCATTTTCTGATTCGGAATGTTCGTCTTTATCGTCTGAATTCGCTGAATTATTTGAATGATTCGAAATGTCGGAATGTTGTCTATGACATGGTTTTACTGACAATAGACTACGATCAGGTGCTGTCTCATCGGAATCTTCAGTGAGTGTATCCGATTCAATGGATTGCAATGAGTCGAGATTCTCCTCTGATCCTGATGTTGAACTCTTTAGAACGTCTGCGAAGAAAAATGATTTAATTCAAATTTAAAAATAATTTTTACTGTATCAATAATAATTTTGAGAAAAAAAAAATCTTACCTTGTAGTTTAAGCTCCGATTTTCCAACAGGATCTTGCATCTCTTCAACGTGCTTTTTTCCAATTTTATCAGATTCATCGTTTCTAAAATGTTCACCACTCTCTGCCTTGATGGAACATGGAATCTTGCTTTCGGATCTTTTGACTCCAGGTGAAGGAGGTTTATTGGAAATTTTCGTTGTCAAATGTGATCTATTATTATTATCAGCGTCACATGAAGTCACTAAAGAAGCATTTGATGCGGCAATTTCGACGCTTAATTGTTTAAATATAGGAAGCATATCTTCCGTTTGTGCACGTTGATTTTTTTTTCTTTGTCTCAAGCACTCGAGACTTCGATAAATATCCAAAACACCCTGCGACTTTGATAGACTCTTCAATCCATAAAGTTTTTCCCTTGATCGACCAAAAAGTGGACTTAGAATTTCTTTACTACCAGCGCTTTTATTTCCATTCAATAATAAACATGCTTGTGATTGAATTTGATTTAAACTTCTCATTCTTGATAATAGACCACGAGTTGCACCGAGATTTAAATTTGCTTGCGATTTACTTTGTGCTTGAGTGAGAAGACCTTGTGTTTGTTCTTTGTTTAATAGACAACTTTGACTCATTGCAAGACTTGTTTGCGATGAATTGAGACTTGTTTGAGAATCGGCAGGACTCATCATGTATTCTTCACTTCCTGGTAAACTACCACGACTTCCCGTACGTGTATAACTCAAACACATTTCACTTTGACTTAAAGTGCAATTGAGACCCTGTGTTGTTTGTTCACTTTCCGTGAGATTTGCATTGCTGCTAGCTTGACTCAAAAGTGCTGCACGTCTCAAATTTTCACGGCTCACAACACGTTCTAAAAGTACTTCACGGGATTTTGATAAATATCTTCGTAAATGAGGTGATGCTTGTGTTGGCGCTCCTCTAAGCCATTCGTGACGTAGACATTGTTTCGATGTCATTCGTGCGCTATTTTTTATAAAAAAAAATTAATTAGTATTTTTAAATTGAATTATAAAAAAACAAATTAATCACGTTTAGAAAAATAAAAAGAATTTTTCTATTTAAAAAAAAAAAAAGAAACTCGATAGATATTAATAAGAAATAAAAAAACCTGTTTCGTGATAAAACACATGAATAAATATATATTGTAAAATTGACAATATCTTGGTCTCTCGAAAAATTTAAATTTAAAAATTGAACGCCTACATTTTGCAAAGAAAATGATAATAATTTAAATATTATATTTATACTAACGCATCTTATAGAGTTAAAAGTATCAAATCATTTTTTTTTTTTTTGACAATTGTTCTTTTTTTCATATTTATATATATTTTATCGTAATTTTATGTAAATTCACCTTGGATCAAGCACGAGAAGTTTGGCAACAAAGTCCTTTGCCTGGGCGGAAACGTCCTCAAAAAGTTCCTCTGGGAAGTCAACTTCACCCAAGGAAATATTTTGAAATGTCTCTTGATCAGTTTCACCACCAAATGGTGAGAAACCCGTCAGAAGGACGTATGTCGTTACACCCAATGACCTGCATTTAAATCAAACATACATTTATATAATATTCAATTCAGAATTTGATTCAAACAGTGATGGGTTAACAAGATAGGGATAACAATCACTTTTTCATGAACAACTTTCAGAAACTTTAAATTGTATAAAATTGAATCCGTTTTTTTTATTGAGAATATTTTTGTTTGTGCAAATTTTATTTTTTTTAACACTCACCACATATCAGCCGCTAGTGTTATTGGTTCATAGTGCAAAATTTCAGGAGCTGAAATGAAAATAAATTTAAATAGATTTTTTTAAATTAATAATTTAATGAAAAAAAAATGTAATTAAACAAAAGGAAATAAATTTTTTTATGTCTTCATATTGAATTTCAAGATTCGAAAGGAGTGAAAAACTCTCATTTGTATAATTAAATTGGCATTCAATTACAGAAAGTGATGAATGAAAAAGTTGATATTCGCTGTCTAAATTTACATTTGTAAATTAAAGTTTAATTAGTTCCTTTTTTAATTTCTATTGGTGAGAAAAAATTTAGGGTAAAATCGCAGATGAGTTATAAACATTAAATCATGTTCGTTAACTATTTACTGTTCATTAATTCCATCTACCAAATAAAGTGTCCATCAACTATATCAAAATTTTTTTTTTTTTTGTATTTTATTGTGAATTATATGATGTCAACGTCCTCATTTACATACACATGAAAATACTAAAAATATTGCAAATTTTATCAAGAAATAAAAAAGATAAGAATATTAAGCAAAACAAATATATAAATTCTCTTTTTTTTTAGTATATTTAAATTTAAAAAACAATAAAAATTGTATGCTTTTGAATTAAGAATATTATTAAAAATTGAAATTATTGGGAAAATTTAGTTAGCTTTAAAAATTGAATTGTACTAAAATTTTGCACACAAAAGTTTTTTTGTAAAACAAAATGAATTTTAGAATTTCTATAACAATACACAAGTTTTCAGTGACAATAATGTGGGCGTGAATAACGTACACATGTTTGTGACATCATACTATCGTCTCGCATACCGTGCAGAGAGGTCTTGGCATTGAAATATACGATATGTATAATTTAATACAACACCTTCGCGTTAAAGTTGTGTGTAAAACGAAAAACATATCCGATAAAGTTTCCCATAAAAGCTCATGTTTGTTGCGTATGTACTTTGCGTCGTGATTTTTTGGTATATTCCCAAAACTTCTGTATTTTACATATAATATGTATAAATATATAATAATGCAGAAAGAAAGAGAATTCATTTAAATATTTTTATGATAATCTTCTGATATTGGTGGATTTAATCGCTTTTTATTATCAAACTTCCGTAATATTCGTAATTTTTTTGTATATAGCGAATTGAATTTTAACTGCAAGTTAAATTTTTCAATAAATTTTATATTTATTTAAAAAATTTCTAAAACGAAAATTTCTCACCAACATAATCAGGTGTTCCTAAAATTTCTCTGACTTCAGTACCTTCCAGGACCACTCTAGAGATTTCAAAATCACACAATTTTACATCACATTCCGGAAAACTTCCCATCATTACAAGATTTTGAGGCTAGAAATAAAAGAGAAAAATTTGTTAAATAAATCCTTGAAATTTTACTTTTGAATTTAAATAATAAAATTATATCTCCTGTTAAGAAATAAATATTATTATTAATCATATAGAGAAAAAAAAAGTTAAAATAACTTTTTTTTTTACGACAAAAACGATAAGTCCATTTATATGTCGAGTAAATTTCAATTGAGGGTGTATATATTAAAGAATTATATTGAATCTGCAGTGCGAATACACCAGTCAGTAAATATTATAATGAAACGATGCTTTTATTGAGGATCTTGAGGATCATAAAAGAGTTGACGCTCCAGGAGGTCTGAACAATCGTTGAAGGTAGCCATCATTTCTATATGTAATAATCGAAAATAAAATTAATTTAATATATATATAAATCATTTTTCAATCTCTACTGATTGTTATATTTAAAAAATAATTTGTTATTAGAACAATAATATAAATATTGATGACAGTTTTAAAATGAGGTTAGGTTCAGTATACACTCTCATACAGTGTTGGGTAGGTCTTGAAAAAAAATGTAAAAAATTAAGCAGAGATGGCAGCACAATCGTTCCGGCGTTCAGCCAATAGGAAAGCAGAAGCGAATGTGAAGGGTGCGAAGCGAGCGTCACCCGTCACGTCATTGAGCCATTGGATCTCAGAGGGGATGGACGAAAGGGTGAGTAATTTTATAATTAATTTCTTGTTAATTTGTTTCATTTTGTACATTTTGTTAAGAAATTACATTAAATATTGAATAATTAGCTAAATTGACTTAAATATTTAAACGAATTATTAGATTTTAGTAGCAAAAAGGAAAAATAATAGCATTGCAGATTTCACGGACAAAGAATTGAAATTTTTTTTAATATTCAAGTTAAATGAGTATAAATATATTTAATTTTTAGATGAGAACTTAAATAACAATAAAATAATTAACTTTTTACAAATTTATGTAGTCAGTAATTAAAAAATATATTTGTGTAGTGAGGTTAGAAAAGGGTGGTGGGAGTAGAAGCCATGTAACATTACAGAGTTTGTATGTTAATGGCCAACCCTGTGTACATTTATACAACTTTGACTTTATTTGCAATCCAAGTAGCATTACAGAGTTTGTAAGTTAATGGCCAACCCTGTGTACATTTATACGACTTTGGCAAATTTGCAATCCCGCCATATTTTTCTGTCCCTCGTTAACAATGCCGTTAAAAATTGTTAATCATGAAAAAATAATTATTCACATGTTTGTTTTATGTGTCCAATTAAGTTATTCATTGTAGTTTATAACTATAATTCATTTAAAGTTAGTGTTCACTTGTTTTTAATTCATTTTGTGAAATTATTTGTGCTGCTTTTTTGTATGGATAAAAGGTAAGTTTAGGGAATAAGTTTACGAGCATATTTTATAATATTTTGTGCCAAAATTAATTATTATATTTGTTATAATATATTTTCATGAATAATTAAAAAAAATACTAGTAATGAAGGAGAAAATATTGTTTTTTTATTTCTAAATTTCTATAACTCTGTATATGTATACATGGTGTCATTTGACCTTGAACTTTTCGCTTTTTATGATTATTTTCTGGGCCAATAGATTATAATTGATTATAGTTTGAAAATCAAGGTTAATATAAACGATAACAAAAAAAGGAGATTGTTGTGCTATTATTTTGTATAAAATGTGTATTGTAATTTTTTTGATTTATTTTGAAAAATAATAATTTTTCAGTGAATTTGGAAAATAATTGCGGAGAACATAAAGGATGAGACACATCCAGAGGGTCGTAATTTTCGTCTTCTAGTCAATTCAAGGAAATTCGTGATCGGTGAGTCAAATTTTTTTTAATTCTCTTTTCTTTATTTAAGTTATATATTTTATTGTGTTCTGGTGCTAAAGGGAAATTACTATTTTTTTTGGTATAGTTAAAAAATTTTTAATTGATATTTTTCGTGAAAATTAATTTTCTAATTCATAAAATATAATTTAATTATTTTCGCGTTAAATTAAAAAAAAAAAAAAATTGTTATATAATATTTGCCAAAATCGTGAGAATAATTATTGACATTTGAGAATAAATAATAATAAGAGAGAAAACGCATTCGATTCAATTCTTCGAATGTTAATAATCTGGTTATCTAAAATCTAGAGCAGCTTCCTACACCTATCTTGCAATTCTTACATGCGTTCTCTTTCTCCAGCTCGTATACATGCCACCCTTTTCACCCACGCAAATTGTCTATTTTAGAATTAAGAGAGGGCTGCAAAAATCATTGACACAGTCAATTATCTTTATTTTTAGCTTTTTTTTATTATTGTTGATAGATATTAATTATAATAATAATAATTATTATTACTATTTTTATTATTATTAATTTTTATTGAAACAATAAAAGCTTCCCCTATATGTGATGCGCTCTGAATAAAGGGACGTTAGAAGCAAACGAATTATAGGTTATGTTTACGATTATTTTACCTTGATTAAAAGTTTCTTTTTATTTATATAGAATAAAAATCAGTTTTTATTGAATATTTTGAATGTAATAAAGACTTAAATATCAATAATTTGTATTGAAAATTGATCCTCTGTGTATATTTTCACTTTGAAATTTTGAAACATAACCTATAATTTTTTGCTTCTAAGGTCCCTTTTTTCAGAGCGCGTCACATATAATTTTTCATAAAATTATTTTTCAATAATTACGATAAATAAATAATTATGATACAATTATTGTTGATAGATATTAATTATAATAATAATAATAATTATTATTTTTATTATTATTAATTTTTATTGTAACAATGAAAGCTTCCCCTATATTATAATTTTTCATAAAATTATTTTTCAATAATTACGATAAATAAATAATTATAATACAATTATAAATAATGGTAATTTCATAAAAGGTCCAGTAGATAAAATTCTGACGTAGTTTTAAAAATATTTATTTCGTTTTTATTGAGAAAAAGTATTTGTAGTATACCGAAATAAGCAGGTATATATGTATATATATTATGTGAAAGCATAAAATAGAGGGCAAAAAAAAAAAAAAAAGATTTGCTATAGGTCGTTACGTAGGTCGATTTCCTTTGGTGGTATCCTGTGGACTTATATCAAAGCTGATGTATATATATATATATATTTTTTTTTTTAATGTTGGAGTCTTGAAAATCGAGATCAAGTGACGCGAAATTTCTCCCCAGACTTTTTATATTCTTCTTATATAATTGCTTTCGTTTCTTTTCTATTCACTCGCAGAATGATTCGTTCGTCAAATTTTTATAACTCAACGGACAAATTTTGATGATGCCTATCAATCAAATTCAAAAATAATAATAGTCAAAGCTTTAAATATTTCGATAATAAATTCTCACTTTTAATATTTGAATATTTAATTCAATGTCGATATAAAAAAAAAAATATTTTTCTGTTGTTAATCAAAATGCGAATTTCTTTTTTTTTTTTAATTAAAAAAAATTGATTTTTTTTTTTTTATTAAAAATTATTGTTAAATCATTCTCAGAATATGAATATTTTTTATTTATTTAATTTTTTTAATTGAATTTAAGAAATTAATTTAGCAAAGAATTTAGAAAAAAAAAAGAAAATTGTTTTTTAATGATTTTTCGTAATAACATAGTTTTTTTTTAATTTTTCTTTGTGAAGCTTTATTTGAAAAAAGAGAATTACTTGGACTAAAAAACTTTTTTTTTTTTTTTTTAAATAAATAGAATTACAGTGAAATAAAATTTAATTAGATTGTAGAAAATGGCAGATGTAGGTAAATTAGATGTTTCTGTGAATCAGATACTAAGTCGACTAAGTCTTCGAATAAGGCAAATAAAGTAAACCACCTTGAGCCACACTTGGGTCTCTGTATGATAAGTCAACAGCTCAAAATGATGAACATTTGATTGTATCGCAACTTCCAATTAAATAAAAGAAAAAATATATATATATGCTTTATTGTATTCAATTATATGAACAGCAAATATATAATATGCAAATTAAAAAATTCAATTACATTTATAGTGTAATTTAACTTGATAAAAAATCAATTCAAAAATTTATTAATTATTTTTCTTATTGTAATTAAAAAAAAATTGATTCTTTCCAATTTTATAATAAGAAAAGACTTATTTTGTCAATCATAAGGAAAATATTCCAAATCTAAGGATTTACTATTTCCTGCAAAGATAGCAATAAAAAAATTCTATATTATTATTATTTGATGTTTATTATTAGTGTTAATTTGTAATGCAATTGCATTGCGTTTGCATATTCATATATGATTGTTAATAGAAACATATATAATTTTTTTTTTCGAAGTTATTAAACCCAAATGGAAAAAGACATTATCAATATAAAAAAACGTATAGTGTTTCCGTCAAGAAAGACAAATTAGTGATGTCATTTTACAAAAAGGGTTGGGAAGAAAAAAACTTGATTCACAATATATATATATATATATATATATATATATATATATATATTGATTAGCATTCAGAGCACAACACAATCAGGATCAGAAGAGACACGTTGATTCATGGCCATTTTTATTGGGACCTTCTCTTATGAAACTGTTCTCGTTTCTTTTTGCATCTTCGAGTTATATATATATATATATATATGTATATATAGGCAAAAATTAAAACTTTCAATTTAAAGAATTTAATGATCACAAAATTAGTTCAACCTCGATTCATTTGATTGATAATATTTTTATAATTGGAATTACTAATAGAGGATTTACTATTTTTTATTTTAAATTATTGGGAATTTTTATTTTATTCACATTAAATTTCAGAGATTTTTAAAACAATCTGAATTTTTCTTAACTTGATAAAGGATAAATATTTTAAGAAATATATAAAAATAAAATATAAAAAAAAATAACTTTCTTTTTTACACAGAAAATGAAAAGACATTAAAATAAGCTGCAACGCTTATTATTTTAATCCAATTTTGCTTATTTTAATCCATTTTGGTATTAAAATA